AGGCATAGGCATCTGCGTATTTTGTTGACCACTCTTAATTGCAAAATTATTAGTCGGCCATGTGACTCAATGAGTTGACTCGGCCGCCCACTTCGGCTAGGCGCCATAGTTATTATTTCTTCTCTTCGCTGTTTTTTCTCGGATTTTTTCTTTGGTTTTCTTTGTTCAAACGTTTTTTATTTTAACTAAAGTTTTTACTATAAAATATTTTTTGTTTTCACATAATATAAGTGTTAAATTTCAATGCCATTGAAAACAAACCGGACTAAGCATGCTGTCCCATCATACGGGTCCGTATGTCCGTGTTATTAGTTCAACCGTTTTTCACGCAAGTAAATTTAACACTTATATTATTTTTTATAGTTTTTTACAAATATTTTTATTATGTAAACTATTTTTTAAAAACTATATTTTTTTATTATATAAAATGTTTTTATTTCAAAGGTTTTTATTTAACTAAAGTTTTTAATATGTAAAGTATTTTTGTTTTCAAATAATCTAAGTGTTAAATTTCAATGCCATTGAAAACAAACCGGACTAAGCATGCCGTCCCATCATACGGCTCCGTAAGCCCGTGTCATTTGTTCAACCGTTTTTCACGCAAGTAAATTTAACACTTAGATTATTTTTTATAGTTTTTTTACAAATATTTTTACTATGGAAACTATTTTTAAAAAACTATATTTTTTACTATACAAAATGTTTTTATTTCAAAGGTTTTTTTTTTCAAGTTAAAATTTTTTATTTTTTTGGCAAATATTTTCTATTTTAACTAAAGTTTTTATTATTTAAAGTATTTTTTTTTAAATAATCTAAGTGTTAAATTTCAATGCCATTGAAAACAAACTGAAATAAGCATGCCGTCCCATCATATGGGTCCGTAAGCCCGTGTTATTAGTTCAACCGTTTTTCACGCAAATAAATTTAACACTTAGATTATTTTTTATGGTCTTTATACAAATATTTTTATTATGTAAAGTATTTTTTAAAAACTATATTTGTTATTACACAAAATGTTTTCATTTCAAATGTTTTTTGAAGTGAAAACATTTTTTTTTACTTTTTATTTTCTGATTTGAAACTAATTTTTTCAAATAATGTTTTTTTATTTAACTAATTTTTCACTCAACTAATTTTTTTTCAGTTAAAAGGTTTTTCATTTAATACGGCCTAAACATCCCGTCTTTCGGGTCTTAGTTCAACCGATTTTGGCGTAATGTAACTTAACACTTAAACTATTTTTTCTGGTTTTTAATAATAATTTTGTTATGTAAGGCCCATCATTCCCGGCTAATTCTAGTTTTGGTTATGAGAGAGAGAGAGAGAGTGTGGCGAAACAAAACATGTACAAGGACTAGGAGACATCTATTACGGTTAATCAATGAACAAACATTACAAAAGTAATCTGTAATTTCTTTCTCTTAATAACCAAGACAAGTAAAAAAGAATTTCTACACAAGTAGATTTTCAAACGATTGCCCAAAATATCTTTCTGCAAAATAGAACAGTTTCTGTCTTCTTGTATTTGTCTTGAAGCTCATGTGTTTCAACTTCCCAAAGGAACTTAGGAGCCAAGTCTCGGACTCTTGAGATGATTGATTCCTCGTCTCTGATAATGATGAATCCCTGCAAACCCCAAAATCCGCATTAAACGTTATTTCCAGTCACGGACATAACAAGATGAGATGGGTTATGATCCAATGGTAGTAAACCGTTAAGGCGATAAGGTTAGTGCACTGTAAAATACCTGAGGGCGTATAATGCGGTCCATCTCAAGCATGATGTCCTCTAGTAAACAACCTTTACTGTGGATTTTATAGTGAGCGAAGAGATGGTCCGCATGTAGAAGATCGTAAGTACGGGGATACGTTGAGAACGGCTCAGACCTATGTGGCACAAGTTTTACTACTGGTGCTAAACTTAAGTGAGAAACGATGAAAATTTGAGAAAGTGATCATATTTGCTTACCAATCATGATAAGCACCAGTTAAGCCCCTCTGATAAATTCCGGATAAGGTATCGTTCATCGTAGCAGGTACAACGTTCATGACCCAAACGGGATATGAGTTCATGGCTGCGGCAAATCCACCAATGAATGCATTTGTGTCCATCACATTTCGCACTTCGGTCTTATTAACATTCATTAACTCCCAGTACTGATTCACTTGTTCTGTCCAGAAGTTTGTGTCCAATGTAAATTCATCTTCGCTGATGCCTGGTGAAAGTTTTCCCAAGTGAATTAAAGGAACCAGACAGAACATAATCTCGTTTCTATGATGAATTGAATAGAAGAAATGTACCTTTTTCTGTTAGACTTGTTGGATATGACGATAGACGTTCAGTTAAAGAAGAGGGTTTCTTTTGTATATTTTCAATAATGTCCACACAGTCTCTAAGAGGAACTTTCCATGAAGTTTTCGAAACATCTTCTACATCACATATAGTTATAAGCTCTAGCTCTGAATTCTTCCTAAGGCAAGCCTCGTCATCTTCTTTAACCCATATTGCAGTCTGTACCTTTCGGGAAATGAGCTTCCAGCACATTGCGGTAGTTAGATTGACCAACTTATCCCAAATCATGGGGAAATCTTTATCCTTTCTGTACGCAGGTGGTGCTGAATAAACAAAGTATCCATTGGGTCGGAGAAGACGATTAACCTCTTTAATCAAGATACCATCTGAAGAATCAAGCCCAAATGACTGTCTTTAGTTCCAATTGATACAAAACCAAGAAAGGCATTGAGAAACAGAATGAAGAACACAAGAGACATACCATTTTCATGCCAATCAACACGACATCTTGAGCAGTGAACCATATCAAACGAGGCCGCAGGATATGGCATTTGTTTGGTGGCTATGGCAGAGATCATTGCGCTGATTCCTCTCTCCAACGCAAACTGGATTTGGTTTTCATGACCATCTTTAGGGGCAAAAGACATTGTCTTTATACCTAAAGGAAGAAGATAAGCTGCAAAGCTAGCAACTCCACATCCAACATCAAGAACTTGTTCAACCCCAGCTGAACGAAGGTCACCTGTTTCATTAGTTGTCATGTTTCCTAACCTGAAGTTACATACAATAATGCAGGGGAATGCATTAGGCATAAGTATAAAACTCAGTCTAAGCTTCGTCTGCTAGAATTCCAAAGTAATCTAGAAATCGAAACACATGATAATTCCAAATACCTCTGGATGTATTCTGGAGCTCCGTGTTTGAAATGAGTACCGCCACCAGGGAACCACCATAATTGACCTTGTTCATGCACCCAATTCTGGCCGCCTTTCACTTCAGCAAGATGCGTATGATTCACATTGCTTCTCCATACATAATCTCTGCTAGTTGGCCAGCGTATTGGTATCTTATAATCTTTTGGCGGAGGCACCAAACAAAACAAACGCTGTTCAAGTGGCGGACAGTGTCTCTCAAGCTCTTCTCTTCTAGAAAGATTCAGGCTTGGGAGAAGCTGTTGCACATAAGTGACATTGTGACAAGGATTATACTCATTGAACTTCAATGGACAAACATTCACCCCACTCGCAGGGATCGAAACAGAAGTTCTCCGGTAAGTAAGCTCTATTTTGTTAGCAAAATTTGATGGACCTGAAACCACAAAACTGTTGCATTATCGATCCATGTCCTATTCCAGCAGAAACTGAAGACCTAAAAGAAGAAACTAGCGAGCTAAATTCGATCCAGAAGAGAAATCTAGTGGGTTTCAATCAATTTAGCTCCGGAAAACCAAAAATCAAGCAAAGCTTGGAAATTTAACGATATGCAGAGAAAAAGGATAAGACTTTAAAAAATACAGAGGGAGAGAGAGCGAACCAGATTGTGATGGAGAAGAAGAAGAAGAATTGGAAGAAGAAGAAGGTTGGGAAATGTAAATAGGAGAATTGTTTCCGAAGATAGAGCCTGCGTAAAATGATCCAACCATTAGAACCAGAGCCACCATTATCGTCTGTCCCGATCTGGCCGAACCCAACACATAACCACCTCCCATGGTTTCTTTATTGCTCTTCTTCTTCTTCTACTCTCGCTCGGTCTTCGATTCTTGCTTTATATACTTTGCTTTCTCAAAATCATGTGAATCTATTGAAGTGACTGAACCAGAAGAAAGCTCAATAGAGAAGATGAAGATCTCACTTCATTCCGTCGGCAATCCATGTGAGGGAGAGGGACACGCGACAATTCTTTATTTTTTGTGTTGTTTTGCATATTGGTCCCTAAACAATTTTATATTCACATATTCACCCTTATATTTTCTTAATTATAATAAAAGTCCTAACAAGTTTCTTTAACCAGTGAACAGTAAGTACTATTGACCTCACTCCTTACATGATACAAAATGTTCCCTACGACCCTACCTTTAAGCTTCTAGGTACAGTACTTAGCTTCTAACTGTATAAGTAGTACAATAAGAGACTATTGACCTCACTCCTTACATGATACAAAATGTTCCCTACGACCCTACCTTTAAGCTTCTAGGTACAGTACTTAGCTTCTAACTGTATAAGTAGTACAATAAGAGACATACTTAAATGTGAGATTGATACATTATACAATTGCGAAGAAAAGGCAAAGCACCAACTGTCGTGGGTAGTTATTTAACTGTCAATTGCCAACCACCAATTCCACAACCGCTTCTAGTAGATTAAATGAGATCACAATGCCGAGTCTCATACTGAGGATCATAAAGCGGGCAAACATTTTTTATACCTTAACCGATAGCTCAGATGGATGCAGTCACAGATGATGAACAACAAGTTTCATCAAATTTTGCGGTTCTTCCTGCGTAACTCATGCTCAAATCTTTGTTTCCTGACCCTGAGAACCAACATCAAACGCCTTAACAATTTGCATTGCGCAGTCAAACAGTCGCTAACGATACTGAAGACATATCTGTTATGTGATACACACTTTTTTTTCTTAAACGTGGCATACACTTTCGCCTGATCTCAGCAATAGCCATTTGAACTTCTTACTCTCGTGCAGATGATATAACCAATTGGAGAAGATAGCAACAGGTATCACCTGAGATCAATGAATGAACTACTATCAACATCCTGAAGAGTTATTTTGCCCAAGTATACATCACTGATGTGAGTGGAACACAAAGGGAGACATTTCCGATTCAAAGCTAAGTGGATTGTGCCCATGCCACGAACCCATTTCTCTTCGTCTAGTGGGTTGATACGTAAACGGTTTTGCAGTAGATGTACACGGTACATAATTGTATCTGTTCGTTCACAAAAACTAGCAGCACAGGAAAGCAAGGGCTCATCAGATGCGAGCCTGATCAAAAGCAAAGACAGTGTGCCATCCACAGGTTTTGGGTCTGAAAGGTTCTTGTCTCCCATCATCTTAACCTCTCTTTCCGATGGAAAATGCGCCTCTTCACTCCCGTCAATATCTGATACTCTGAGATCTTTCGTGTAGTGTCTAATAGCTTCACGTTTAGTGGATCCGTGCTTCTCTGCTAGTGTCAAAATACATGAGAACCTCATATGATAACTCACAATGATTTTGACCATCTTATAATTGTGGCAACAACAGAAGAAATCAAGCCATTTACGCCCTACACCCGCATACCATTTGATGATATCAGAATCCTCGAGAGTCACAAGGTGAATGATAGGCCGTGGTCGTCCCATGTTGTTTGTGAACCCAACTAACTTAATAGCCTTTCTGACAAGTTCCTCTGGAGCTGACACCTTCATGCATAACTTAGTCAAATCCTCAACTGTCCTTTCAGCATATCTCTGTTTCTCTTCTTCTTCTACTCTCCTCTCCTCATCCTCTAGTACCTTTTTAGCTAGGGTCGGAGCCAAATGTTTGTCCACCTGCTCCTGAAATTCATCATAAGCATCAATCAGGTCTTGTGGTAATTTCTCTCGTATATGTCTCAAAGAGAGAAAATCTCCTCTAGTGAGCAGCCAATGCCATTTCCAGCGCTCTTCGAGAGAACCCATAAAGTCTTGCATAACTTCCTCTCCCCAGCTCTGGAAAATATCGTTAACCTCACTCTCAATCTCACCTTCAAATTTGAAACTGTTGCTCTGCTTGATTTTCTTCAAGACATGTCTAAATATTTTCAGCCCCAGTGTCTTCCGATTCCTCTCCCTAGCATTTCTTAACTCCAACTTCCTAACGTCCTTCTGCCTCTGATACTTCTTCATTGCTCTGATCGCCTTCTCAGACTTGGGCGGGCGCAAAACCGAAGGTGGAACAGCCTGAAGATACATCCCTAAAAAACTAATTTTCTCTGAGACTGCACTATGAATCGATGTGTTCAATCTATCTACTCTCAGCTCTAATCTCTGTTCCAAAATGTCTAAAATCCGCTTCTTCAAATCCATCGTCAGCATTTTCGAGCCTGATGTTATCACAAGTATCTCATCCAAATACCTAACTGCATAAATATTTACTGGCATAAAGAAAACATTACCTGTTGATTCCTCGTCTCCTGTACCAACACGAGGATTCTTAACTTTCATCTTTAGCCTCAAATCTTGAATCTCTTTGTCAAGTCCATCAAAGTAAACATTGATCAAGATCGAACACAAGCCACATTCTTGTGGAAAACCTCTACCACAATTACATCCACCAAGTTCAATCTTCAGAATCCCAAACTCAAACAGCTTCTTTATCATCTCAATCAACAAAACATCGTTGATCTTCTCTCCAACAAAGCCACACAGTTTATCCACATTACGTTCGTCGAACATTTCTCGAACAAACGAAACTCGAAACCACCACCGTGGATTCTCCACCGAGTTTTTCAGGTAACGAATCGCGGTATGCCTACCCATACCAACACGTCCACCATACGAAAACGTAGAGAATCGATCATCATACACAATCTCAAGAACCATTCTAATAGCTTCTATCAACACTTTGAGTTTTAGATTTGGGAGAACAAGAGATTCATCACATCGTAACTTTTCACTTGAAGAGACGAATTCGACGCAACAGGAACGAATATCAAACCTACCTTCACGAATCTCGCGTCCCATTTCTTCGATTGAGAACCTCCGGGAGACGCGATCGGCTAACTCGCCGGACGAATTGGCGGAGAGAGACAGATTCTGACAGGCGGCGAGAAGGACACAAGGCAAAGAAACGGCGTTTTTAACGAGACTGTAGAACTTACCATGAGAGTATTGCTTGAGAACTAGGGCTTCGAGCTCTGATTTCACCAATGGCTCAGTGATGGTTTGGTCGGAGTTCAAAAAAAGCGAAGAAGCCGTACTAAGATTCCTCAAGGAAGAAGAGACAAGAAAGGAGATTCCACGGTTGTAGAGAGAGTGAACTCTCAGCCGCAAAACCATGGAATAGCCAAGGTTCAGGAAAGTGTTCGTCTGAATTGTTCACCGGCGGCGACGGCGGAGGAGCAGAGAGGAAGAAAACAAAAATAGAGAAATGGATCACTTTACTTTTGGGCTTTGATTTCGTGGGCCGAGTTCTCAAGTGAAACAATAAATGTTTTTCTGAATTTTTGATTGTTTTTTTTTTTTTTTGGTAGCATACATGTTTTGATCTAAGCCTATAACACATGATGATCAGTCTCATTACGTTATAAAATGACATTCAATTTGAAACGGAAAGAGTATAAAAAAAAAACAATAAAATGAATGAAGTTAAATATATTAACAATTATGGCGTTTACTTATGCATATACATACATGTGTGTGAAAAGTATATAAATACATACTCATGTAATGAGAAAAAAATAAATTAACAAAGATGGGAAAAATTCTTATATGCTTCCTTTTCTTATTTTCCATCTCCATTCAGAAAATAGACTCTATTCTTACATTTAGGCATTACAACATCGAAATTTCGAATCATCTTGCAAGTAACAAACTGCTTATGATCAATTGTAGATCCGGTAAAGATAAAGGAACCAAAGTTGAATTTCTTCCCGTTAATGATGTATGGACAATCAAATTCACAGTTTACCCAAGAACTTTGATATGGTGCAACTTATGGATGGTAATTTCAAATTTTACTTTGACTTCTTACACAATTTTTTTACGTACGCATCTATCAATGTTTCTACGATATTTTCTAGTTTTATAAGTATATTTAAGCTACTCATGTGTATATATTTTCAGGGACCTAATTATGTGCATCATGTGAGGTTTAACGCATTTCTTGGGAAAGAAAGTTTTATACATGATATATGTGGAGGTAGGAAACCTAACGTATGTTTTTGGCAAGCGCAAGAAGATGGAATATATGTACGCAATAATGCAGCCGGAACCTTTAAGTTAATGTATAAATGGGATACTATAAATAAATTAGAGACTTCTTTTCAATGAGACAGATTTTGGTTTAAACCAAGATAAAATAAATAATGTGGTAATCTATTAATATTTCGTTTAGTAGAATGTGTTGTTTTTCGATCTTTAAGAGTAAGAGTTTGTTGAGAAATGATTTAATTACATTTGACCTTATCTTGACAAAAGTATTAAAAAAAAAAAAGATTTACCTTATGATCTTCTTCTTCTTCTTCCTTTAAAGATTTACCTTATCGTTGCCCAAAATTAAAAGATTTACATTATATCAACCTTGCGAACTATTTGCTACAAGTAAGTTATTTTTACATTGTGAAAAACAAATACTCCTTCCGTTTCGGTTTAGTTGTCGTTTTAGCATTTAAATTTTGTTTCATAATAGTTGTCGTTTTAGGTTTTCAATGCAAATGTTTTGTGAAAATTCCAGTTTTATCCCTACTGTTTTAATGTTTTGGCCAATGAAATTTTTTATAAAATATATTAATAAAGGGTAAAACAGAAAATTTAATGCTTTTCTTAATTTGTGTGAAAAAACCTTAAACGACAACTAAAACGAAACGGAATGAGTATTTCTTATGTCTCCTAAAATTTTCTTATATTTTTCAAGCATTTAATTACATATTTATTGTCCTCAAGAAAATTATTTTAGTGGGTGTTATTTAATTATGGAGTTAAAGTTATTCTTTAATGTTTAAATTTGTTTAATATATTATATTTTCATCTATTTGTGTGTATTCCGAAATTTCTTCGCTATATCTTGGATTTTGATTTTAATAATTTACTCTTGAAACTTCAAAAGATTTCATTTGAGATGACTTATCATACAAAAAAATTACAATTAGGTCTTTTAGTTTCGAATAACAATAAATTGTAGTATAGAAATTTAAAATCTTTGTTGAATAACATCAAACTTTAAAATCTATTAAACATGATTTATAAATATCATATCCAATAATACTAAATTTTAAAACATGATTTAGAATCATTAATTGAATAACAACGGATTAGTATATATGTAAAGTAAAAGTATATATTTATTAAATTTCTTGTGTCTAGAAGTGAAAACTAAAAGCAACGAAGACTTTCTAACGATATAATGGTTAACAAATCTATAATATTATTGCTGATATATTAGAGCTCACATAGATGAGTTATAATAGAATTTTCTTCCTATATAAGACATTATATCAATATTACTCCAATCATGAGAGACTATTTTTTTTTTTGGTTTAACATTAGAGACCATTTTAATCAATTGGGGATACAAGTGCAGACGCTTCGAATTAAATCGCAGATAACATGAGAGGTTGGTGGACAACCAGAAAGGTCACAGTCTCCGAGTCTATCACACTGACCACCAATAGGAGAGCCATGAGCACATGTACATTCGTGCTGTGTACTACATATTATATGCTGCCCCATTCTGCAACGACGAGGATCACATTCCGCAACACTCTTACATTTACCTTCACTTCTCAAAATCAGACCTGTATATATATATATGTAAATTACAACCAATTAATTTCAAACCAAACTAAAGCATATCATTTTTAAAAAATTAGAATAAAATACTGCAATTGAACTCCAATTTAGATTAAAGAAACATGCATATAATAATATATACGTATCTATAATTAAATTATATAACACCCAAAACGTGTGTTTTAAGTCGACTAAGTGCAAACGAAATGACTAAAATTTGAGAAACTTACATGAAGAAATTAGGAGAAGAACGAAGAAAATGTTTGTTACTTTTTCCATTTTAATTTGTTGCTTACTAATTTTCCGATGTTGTTCAATTTTTTGTTTTTGTTTTGGGTGATTGTAGGCTTGTTTGTATATATGGGGTTTTGGGTCTCCTTTGTACAATTAATGTAATTGAAATTGCTTCGATTTGTTTCTATATGTTTAAATTCATTATGACTCAGTCAAAAAAGAATAATTCAACACTAAATTTATTACCTTATGGCGAAAAAGATTTTTTTTAAAAAGATTTTACCTTATAATCTTCTTCTTTTTTTTTTCTTTTTATAAAAAAATTTTTCTTCTTAGTCTCCCGTCTCCGGTCTCCTACCAAAAAAAATGAAATCTTCTTCTATTTTTTTCAAACTAAATATTTACTGCCCAAAAATAAAAGTTTTACATTATCAGCCGAATATTTGCTACATGTAAGTTTTTTTGTACATGGTGAAAAAAACAAATATATCTTACGTCTCCTCAAAATTTTCATATATTTTCCAATCATTTACTTACGACATCTCCTTCTCAAAAATATATTTTAGACATTTTTTCAACACAAATCGTCGTATTTTTCAATACTTAACACACACACGAAAAACGAAGATTTACAATGCCTTTTTATTTATTCAACACATATTTTGTTACACACATTATCACTAGGAAAGAACCCTAATTCTCGAGAAAACACTTCAAACGCCAGAAAATCTAAAAGTAGAGCAAAAAAGAGCAAAAGATGAAAAAATTTGGTATCTAGATCGATATCATCACTGAAGATCCATCATTCAAGAGAACACGTTGAAGTTCAAGAATCCGTCGCCGTCTTCGTCCACTGCTGCTATCATACGACTACATTCCTCTAGATCATGTCTCGAGACGGCACCGACGTCGTTGTCTTTGTCAATAAGCTTGAACGTTTTGAGAAGCTCCACGTGTGAGTACGGAGACAGAAGAGAATCGTCATAAGTGGTCACGACGGATAGGTTTTTGCATGATTTAGAATCATTAATTGAATAACAGTGGATTAGTGTTGGATTTCCAATTCCATCCAAATCTATGATTGATTAGACATTTTCTTCAACACAAATAAATTAACGAATTAAGGAAGATTTACAATACTTTTTTATTTATTTGAGCACAAATTTTATTATAGACATTGTCAATACGAAAGAACCTTAATTCTTCCTATATATATAAGACATTATATCAACTCCAATCATTAGAGACCCTTTAAATATTCAATTGGGAACACAAGTGCAGAAGTTTCCTCTAATTGTATCGCATATAACATGAGAGTTTGGTGGACAACCAGAACTGTCACAGTCTTCGACTGTATTACACTGACCACCAATAGGAGAACCTTGAGCACATGTACATTTGTGCCCTGTATTACATATTACATGTGTCCCTACTCTGCAACCACGAGTATCACAATCCGCAGCACTCTTACATCGAAACTGACCTTCACTCCTCAGAATTAGACCTGTATATATATATACAGATGTGTAAACCAGACCCAAATTTCAAACCAAACTAAATCATAAATAAGAAAATTACATTAGATTAGAATATTGCAATTGAACGCCAATTTAGATTAAAGAAACATGCATATAATATATACGTACTATAATTAAATTATATAACACCCAAGACGTGTGTTTTCAGTTGACCAAGTTCAAAAGAAATGATCAAAATTTGAGAAACTTACATGAAGAAATTAGGAGAAGAACGACGAAAATGCTTGTTACTTTTTCCATTTTAATTTGTTGCTTACTAATTTTCCAATGTTCTTCAAAAAAAAATTTGTATTAGGTGATTGCAGACTTGTTTATATGGGGGTTTTGGGTCTCCTTTGTACATTTAATGCAATTAAAATTGGGTCGATTTGTTTCTATATGTCTCCCTAATAAACGGGTAACTTAACTTAAATAAAGAACTTTTTCAAAAAAAAACTTAATTAAAGAAAAAATAACAAAAAACAGGTAACTTATGTATTTTCGAATTTCCAATTTATTTTTGGGGCTTTTGCAAAAATGCGACTTTTTCAATGCCACTTTTCAAAAATACCCCTTTTTTAAAACCTTATAAAAAATGCTCTTAAAAATATAAGATTTACCCAAATATGTATGTAATATTATTAAAACATACACAAACTACATTTCTATGTATCTAAAATCTTATAAATACTTTATAAAAACCTTATAAATGCATTTTAAATACCTTTAAAAACCTTTAAAATATCTTGTAAAACCTTTGAAAAACCTTAAAAATCTTTTAAAATAACTTGTAAAACCTTTAAAAACACCTTATAAAACCTTATAAATACTTGGATCGAGTCTTCAAGTAGTAGTTACAATCCATAAGTACCTTATAAACCTAATAAAACTTTATAAAAATTTCAGATTTAAAAAGGGGCATTTTTGAAAATAGACATCTAAAAGGGGCATTTTTGAAAAAGGGCACACCAAAAAGGGTATTTTTAACAATTTCCCTTTATTTTTTCTCAATACTAGATTTATTACCTTAACTTGGCGAAAGCCATATCTTATTACTATGTTTTTTTTGCTACATGTAAGTTTTTTTTTACATAGTGAAGAATAGACATTGCCACTACGAAAAACCATAATTCTCAAAACAAAGACTCAGAAGCGCGAGAGAAATCTAAAGGGAATTATGGCCAAAAAGAGAAAATATCAAAACTTTTGGTAAAGATCCATCATTCGAGAGAAGTCTTTGAAGCTCAAGAAGACTTTGATACTTATAAATGGTTAAAAACTCAATATTATTATTATTACAGATGTCCACAGATATTACATCTCAACTAGAAGAAATTAGAATGGAATTTTCTTCCTATATAAGACATTATATCAAAATTACTCCAATCATTAGAGACAATTTAAATCAATTGGGGTGACAAGTGCAGATGTTTAGATCGCAGGAAACATGATTGTTTGGTGGACAATGTGCAGAAAGGTCACAGTCTTGGAGGTTATCACATATACCACCAAGAAGAACACCATGAGCACATAAACATTTGTGGTTTTCACAATATGGATGCTCCCCATGTTTGCAACTACGAAGACCACAATCCGCAACAGTCTTACATTGAAACTGACCTTCACTCCTCATAATCAGACCTGTATGTATATGTAAACCAGAACCAAATTTCAAGCCAAACCAAACCGGACTAAATCATATGTCTCATATAGATATGGAACACAATTATTTCACGAATTTTCTCCGCTTGTTTTGTTTAACGGTGGTGTATACGAATAAGCAATACCTAAAAGTATGAAAGTGGTCGAGAATAGAAAATTGCAATTGAACAGCAAATTTAGGCTAAAGGAACATCCATAAAATATTTACAGATATATATAGCTAAATTTTTATTAACACCTAATTAAAACGAGGTCGAGACCAAGTTCAAAAGAAATGATCAAAATTTGAGAAACTTACATGAAGAAATTAGGAGAAGAACGAAGAAAATGTTTGTTACTTTTTCCATTTTAATTTGTTGCTTACTAATTTTCCGATGTTGTTCAATTTTTTGTTTTTGTTTTGGGTGATTACTAGATTTATTACCTTATTTTGGCGAAAAAGATTTTACCTCATAATCTTCTTCTTTTTTTTTTCTTTTTATGAAAAAAATCTTTTTCTATTATTTTCAAACTAAGATTGTTATCATTGCACAAAAATAGAAGTTTTACATTATCAGCCGAATATTTGCTACATGTAAGTGTTTTTGCACATGTAAGTGTAATGAATGAGAGAATTTTTTTCTGAAATTTACAGATATATCTCGATTTCACAAATGAATTTCAAACAATAAGCAATGCAAACATACACAAGAGGCGCACCAAACCCTTTGGAAACTCTGCAAATTTACTTGAGAATCTATTCACTTGAATCAATCACTCTAAGCATCTATAACACTACCAGTCACCGGTTCTTGTAAACCGGAATCTTCTGAAGAAACAGTAACCAGACTCGAGCCGTTATGTTCTTCTTCTTCTTCTTTATCATCATCTTCTTCTTCGTCTACTTCATGTTCTGATACAGAGCTATTATCCATCTCCTTCTCCGGTATATCGAGCTGTACACTCTCCGGTAACTCTGTATTTTGATTCCCAATTGACGACATTCCCAAGTTCTCTCTTTTAACGACATTTAACACAAACCCGTTACTCGTTCTCTCCGGCTGTAGAAGATCACCTTCAGTAACTGTTATGCTTGAAGTGCTTGTTCCAAGATTGTTGCTATTGCTGTTTGATTCGCTCTCGGAGTGAGCCGCTATGGATCTCGGGCTTGGAGTAAACGACCCACCAGGAGGAACTGCTGGAGAATTGGGACTGCTACTAAATCCTCTGACCAATGCAATGTCGATATCAAGACTCTGAACAAAATCAATGAACTTATTAGCAGATGCTGTTCTCATTAAAGGTCCACCAGTTCTTGTCCAAGAACTCAACTCCACGCTCTCGGTTTCACTGTCGCTTAAATTCCTGCCCGAAGAAGCGTGGAGGTTATTGTCAGCGACTAGGTCATCCAGTGAACCAGTTGAGTTCTCTCTGGCAATGATGTTCCAAGATGGGATTCTTCTTGAAGCATTGAATCGGGTGGTTGATGCTAATCCGTGATGAGACGATGACGTAGCAGTGGCGGCTCTCTCGGCGCTTTTCTTGAGCCTACGCATATGGTTAAGAATAGCTACAGAATCATCAAGTGCAAGCTCAATCCCACAGTTTGATTTTATGGCTGAGAGCTTCTCCCACGTGCATCTTCTTCCTTGGTTAGCCGCTTTCTGAAGCTCGACATGAGTCGGGTTTTGTATAATCTTCGAGTACTACACAAAATCCACAACCCAATAAGTATCCAAGCAAGTCCAAAATCTCTGATTTCAATAAAAGAAAATTCAAGATTTCGGGTTTTGGATCAAAACCTGAGCAAGAGTAGCAGGCATTACAACTGTTACATCACCTTCCCACTCCTGAGCAAAAAGCTTTGCCAGTCCACCGAGCGGAAAACCGAGCTCTAATACCTGGTTGCATCTATGTTTGACCTCCATCTCCACTAGATGTGCGAGCTAAAAAAGGCGAAATAAGTAGTGCAGTTAGAACAAAGAAAAGAAACAGAGGCCAACAAAGACAACTATGCGAAATACATACCTTAGCTGCGAATCTACCACCGTAAGCTCGAACTAAATCCTTTAGACGCAGTAACGGAGCAATGTGAGGATTGGCTTGGCTCACAATAAAATGATTGACATTGAACAGTTCTTTAAGCTGCATCATTGGTAAATCAACCTCCAAACTACCATCTCTCCACCGGCGTCCAGATGAATTAGTGCCTACTTCTGGATCCAAATTGAAAGGTGGATGATACGGTACAATTTCTCCACTTCGATCTTTAGCCATTAGTTCTTGAGCTTCAAAGAGACCAGGAAAAGCACAAGATGCAGTCACTGCGCTCCATATAACCACATGAGGCGAAGTCAAATAGTTAAGACACCGAGGAGGTTCATGCTTTCTTGGGGAGCAAACGGTGATCCCGAGAATCCTTCCTGTCATGTCATAAGCTTCTTGGAATGTGAGATTACTTGTGAGGTTTCTAAGCATACATTGCAACTGTCTGATATCGTGTAGAGCTCCTTGTGTCATTACCCGTTTCACGATTGAGAAAACGCCTCCGAGCTGATCAAAGAACTGTAAAGAATGCAAAGAATTCTCAAAGAAACTCTGTAGTTCTGGCCAAGACCTTGAGGCCACAACAGCACAAATTATGGATCCAACACTAGAACCAGCAATTATCCGAGGTAAAAGCTTATGCTCAACCAAAGTCCTAACCACACCTACATGAAAGGCACCAAGAGAAGCCCCACCACTCAGAAGCAAAGCCGTTCTACCAAAGGCGTGTCGCGTTTCATGCATAAAGGAAAGCTTCTCTTCTAAAGCAAGCTCCTCCGAGTCAGAGTTACAAACCATTCTCAATTGAGTAGAGACCTCGTCTATATACTCTTTGATATGTCTAGGAACCTGAAGTCTACCTTTATGAAGCTCCGAATTACACATATTACCGAGATTCCTCACGAGATCAGCTCTCATACAAAACATGATGTCTCTAAGTGAGGCTTCTTGGCGACGATGACGAAGCTCCTGAAGCTTGTTCTTAACCAATTCTTCATCATAAAGATCAGATTCATTCATCTTTAATGTCTCCTTTTCTAACATCTTAGCAGCATGAGCCCATTCCTCATAAGTCAAAGCCGTCCGCATCATGTTCCTCCAGAATTTCCTCCGGTAAGCCATTTCCGCCTTCATTTTCACATTCGTGTAACGTTTCAACATGAAAGCAATGATTGTAACCACTGCTAAAATCCCTTGAGGGTTCCGGGGATGAAACCACGACACAAACGGTGAAACGGTCAGCTTAAATCTAAGAAACCAATGCAACAAGAACCGAAAGAGATCACGCCTAAGCTGTGACATTGATCTACAGAACAAGACTCTGAAAGCAATGGTTCGACCCATGATCGATGATGGTCCAATAGAAAAGGGATCAACACTAGCCTCATTACTTATATCCATTGATTCGAAGATGATTTTGTGTGTGTTTCCAACTGCAAAGGGGTAACAAAAAAAAAAAACGAGAACTCAATGAGACGAAGCTCATATTTATTAAAACCTCTGCAGAGAAGAAACAGAGTCATGATCTATTTTTGGAATCTGAAACCGTGTCAGCTTTTTTTTGTTACCCCAAATTAGGCTAATCAATGAATCTATGAAGCATTTCTCAATATTAAGCAAAGCAAACTCATTTTTTTAAGAAAGAATGATCTTTTTTGCAAATTAGAGTTTCAATTCGATGAAAAGAGGAGACTTTTGACAAGATCATGAACTCGAATTTTCTTAGCGCCAGCCCAGGAAACAAAAAGAGAAATTTGATATCAACAGATAAAACCCAGAGATTCATCACAAAGACCCGTAATTGAAAAGCAGATAAAAGTTAGAAAGAAAGTAGCCAAATTTACCTGATTCTGGACTTGGGTAGGTCAGAGGAAAATCGACAAGCAAAGAAGAGACGTGAAGCAGAGAGGTTTACTTGGGAAGAGAGAAGAGATCAGAAAGAAGGAGTAAATAAATGGGGCAATTTTAAAAAGAAGATTTTTGCATAGGGAATCGCGACGAGATAAGACAGAAGAGATCGATAATGGTGACACGGACGCAGAGTCAGACTCAGACTCGGCCGAGAAATGGCCGATCATGACGGCTTCTTTTTTCCTTTTCTTTTTTCGATTAATGTGACTTAGACAAAAAAAAAACAACAAAAATAAGGTCGTTGGATAAGATTTTACGCAATTCCCACGTGGATTTCAAAAACATCATGATGTTTTCATCTCAAAGTCGAAACAGCATGTAGTCTCATGACACTGTTCAATCTAAACGCTGCGTTTTGTTTTATCCTTCTCCAAACGCTTAGAACAAAAGTCAAAATGTTCAATCATCTAAAACAAAATGACAATTTGGCGATTGGTATTTGTTACTTGTACATATGATTAATCAAATTGTTCTTTCCAGGCAATCATATTGTAAATCCAAATTTAGACCTCTCTTTCTATTAGGGTACAGATAAAAAAAGAATAATACTACTACTATACTTGAAAATTTGTGCCCAAAATCTTGGAAATTAACTTTTTCAAAACTTGGAAAACTAAAATCTTGTAAATGTAAAAGAGACGTCATAAACGAAACTTGGATGATCCAACCATATTCTTTTATTTTTCAATTTTTAATATTTAGAGCTCTACTTTTTTTTAGGACTTAGGTGTTTAAAGTATACTAATCTCCTTGAAAGGACCAAGGAGAATATAAAAAAAAAAAAAAAAAACTCGAAATCAACTACTACCATTTATGAATATACTCTACTTCAATGACGACACATTATTTAAAAAAAAAAAAAAAACTTATAAATATTCTAGAGAAGGTGAAAAGCCCTAGTTGAATCACTTGAATGAACCACGAGTCATGGCGCCTCGTATAAACCAGGTAAGGTTTATTCTTATCCTCATGGTTGTCGCTTCCGTGGCCGGAGGAAATTTTCCGGTGAAGCAAGATTCAGCAAAGAGAGATACAATTTGGGAAGAAGTATTTCACGAGGATTATGGTTCTTGGAGCCCGACTCCAAAAATTAGAAGAGGTAGTCCAGCACCTATTCCTCATGATTTTACACCACCACGTAGCTTAAAAGCGTAACTCGAGATATTTAATTGTTTTGTTAACGATCAACACGAGATTTTTTTTAATAGTTATAGAATCTCTTGATACGTTTTATGTTTTTATGTCATTTTCTAAGCATCTATATATTCTACTAGTTAAGAGTTTCGATAACCATATTGTTTGAGAGATTTTTCCTTATCATGTTTGAGTTGATGATAGGTTTTTTATGCCACATTTCGTTGTTCAGTAACATATTTCTGAATTAGTGATTTTCTTACTCTCTCAATATATCTAAGCTATAATAAATCTTGTAAATCAAAACTTAGACTTCAAAATATGAATACGATATTTAACAAAAAAAAAAAAAAAAAAAAATATGAATACGATATCTAAATTTGTTATTGTTATATTATGTACTCATGTTCAAGAATATCAAAAGCCCCAAACCCTAAAAAAAACTATAAACCGTTCGACACAGCTGACAGCATCACAGTATGCATGTATTCAACTGCAATGGTAAAACTGTACCGCTTATGGAGTTTATCATCTTGTATCTCTTTAAACTTTTAGTGTGGTATCTCTTATACTCTACCTTTCTCTGTTTTGTAGAAAAGTATATATATCACCAATCTTTTAAAAGAAAAATTTATTACCAAAAAGAAAGTGTGGAAGGTGCATGCAAAAAAAAAAAGAATATGTAAAGGATTCATATTTCAATAAACTTATTAGTTTTAATTGAAAAAAAAAATAATGATAAACTCATCTAATGTATAAGAGATGTTTCATGCATATGTAATGAGTGAGCTTTGCATATTTCTTGTTTCTACAAATTTATTTCAGAGGGATTTGAAATCACGTGGTAGAGGAAGTGTCATCAAACACATGTTTAAATCGATAGGGTCCCACATTAACGCGTTCTTATTTATCTCTCTTTTATTACATCTTTTACTACCTTGATGGGCCTGCTTTTACTAGATCCATCATATAGATTATGATTTCTCTACATTCACAATGAAAAGCTTGATTACGATGATTCACTCAAAGCTATATATTATAACCTAAACTTTTTGGAACATTATTTAAGGTAAAACACGACTCATAACACATCTCACATTCTCACTGATTACTGTTTAAGTATCCTCTCACAAGTATTAATATCAACTATATATATATATGCTTCTTGTGTTTCTTAATTGAAATATCTCCTGATTTTTTCCACAATGAATTATTATTATCGAACTAACAACCACATTATATTCCCTGTTCAATTAACTCTCCAACCTCAATTAATGTGTCTATTAAGCCTGAAATTATTAGAGACAGATATTTTGTGCCTCACTATATCATTAATGTCATTCAATTTTTCTTAGTCTAAACTCTAAACGCTCTTTCTTTTCAAATTTATTTATATCAACAAAAACTCGCTCCTTCTTTTCAAATGGTTTTTTTTTTAAAAAAACTGATAATGTCTTATGTATAAACGCAAACGTTTAATTAAAGAATTTTGACATAAATACTTAGTTAAGTTACAAACTACTTTTATTTATTGTAAAATTAAATTTCTTAAAAATTATAGTAATTAGTAAAATATTATAATTATGGAATTGAATCCTTTTTTTTGTCATCATGGAATTGAATCTATAATTATGTTTTTTTGTATATTTAATGTTAAAAAAAAAAGGATCAAATTTATATAATTTGTATCCAGGAAAAGTAAAGAAAGCGAAATAATCAACACACGAAAAGGTGCTATAAAATTCAACTTCAGCAAGAAAATAAAAAATAAGAAATTCAGTTTCGGCGACTTTTCTCATCTTCGAAGAGTGTTCAAACACGAATCAAATAAAACGAATAAAAAGTTCCGATCTTTGACGAACACAGAGAAGAGAAACATAATAATGGCAATAATTCTGTAAATTTTGGTCATCTCTGTCTTTGAAAATAGAGAAAAAAAACAGAGAGATTTGCGGTGACAATCAATCAAAAAAGCTCGAACCTTTAGAGTAAACAGAGAATGTCAAGTCCGATGTTCCCGGAGAAATGGGAGAGCTCAACAAGTAAAAGCAGCAGAAGAGTTTCTAAAAGGAGAGAGAGGAAGATGTGGAAGAAACCCATCAAGATTTCTAGATTCCCCAGTTTCGGTTTCTCCGGTTCCGACTTCACTGTTGATCAGATTCCGGCCATCTTCTCCGGCTACACTGCCGAGTCAGAAGATTCTTCTTCTTCTGAGATGTCTGATGATTCCAGAACTTACTCGAAATCATCTGATGAGAATGAGGAGATTGACCAGGCAAGTCTCACATCTGTTCTGTTTTTTCTTCATCTCTCTCTGTTTTTGTCGGAATCAAGAGTTCATTAGATGTAATAGAATCAAGAGATCTGGGAATAAACATAAATTGTTGAGTTTTGGTTTCAGGAAAGGTCAAGATCGGTGAAGAGACGAGCGAAATCGAAGAGTATTTCTCGAATTTCAAGCATGAAGGTTCTTAGGAGACAGTCAACGAGGACATTATATGGAGGAGGACAGAGACTGAAGAAGATGAGATCTATGAAGCGTTTAACTTCAAATTCGAGACATATTCTAAGGAAAAAGAATCTTGATAGGGAAGATTTTGGATTGTTACAGCCTCATTACTTGAGACCAACGAGCTCTTCTGCTTCAAAGAATGTCGAAAATATTCAGAAGAATCTTGGAGTAGCTAGGTTGAAGAGAATTGCAAGCTTGAGATACAATGGTTTGCTTAAAGCTACATGTTCTTCAGCTATGAAAGGTTCTTCTTCTTCTAAGAAGAGTAATGATGTTTGCACTTATAGGTATTGTTCTCTGCACGGTCGGCGTCATAGCCAAGCTGCGGATAACAGTGTTCCGTCTTTGAAGCGGTTTGTGTCTATGAGGAGGAAGTTTTTGAATAGGCAGAAGAGTTCGAACCGACGTTTGGTGTTATTGAAGCGGACTTTGAGTAGAAAGAGAGGGCCTTTAGGCGGTCGGGTTGTGACTGATCAAGAAGCAAAGGAGGTGGATGATAATGTAGATGGAGATTCTGATCAAGAGGTGTTTGAAGAAGAGGTTTCCAGCTCGGAGAATGGTGGAAATGATAAGGAATCGATTGGAAGATCTAGTGAGACAGTAATGGTAGATGTTGATGATAATGTGGATAGAGGAATGGATTCAATGGAGACTGTGGCATCAGAGGTTCAGGAATCTAAACCGGAGACTTTGGATGATTCAAATGGCACAAATGACAAAGATATGAAGAAAAGTGACACACTATGGCGTGCTATATGTGAGCAAACTGTGATGGGTCTCGGTCATGATGATGGGAAGGTGATGCTCGATGGAACAAAGAGTGAAGAAACTGTGGGAGATAATGAAGAAGTTTGCAAAGAAGGTTCTTCTGGAGAAATGAGAGAAGAGGATGGAAAGAAAACCGAAAATGTATGGAATGAAACTGTAATGCTCGTTAAGCAAGCGTTTGATGAGATACTTGCAGAAATCACCGATGATGACTCCTCTGAAGATATTTCTATTACAAAGGATGAACCTTTAGAGGGTGGATTGGAAAAAGAAGATATAGGAGCGGATTGGAGTGATTCAAATAGCTCGGATATGCAGCCTATTATAGGAAGAGATACACATTTGTCTGTGATTGCTTCTACTTTTCATATGAGAGAAGAATCTGATCATCAGAGAGGTCCCAAGAAGTGGAGTTACTTGAAAAGAGTAATTCTTCTCAAGAGATTTCTCAAGTCGTTGGACCGGAAAGAAAGGCGTAAGTTGTCTGATGGCAAAGAGAGTGAAACAATAATGCGGTTGAGAAGAGAGTTGGTTGGGGAGAAGAAGAATGCAGAAGAATGGATGCTTGATCATGCACTTAGGCAAGTCATTTCGACACTTGCTCCGTCGCAGAAAAAGAAAGTGAAACATCTTGTTAAAGCTTTTGAAAGTTTAATCCCAATGGATGGTGGCTCTAGAGGTCATGATGATCTTGGAAGTCCCACAAGAAAAGAAAACGAAACAGTGAACTCGCAAACGCAAACGATCTTGATAGACAATAAAGACACTACTGATATACTAGAAGCTTCACCACCAAAGTATTTTGAAGAAACAAACTTGACTTGTGAAGCATCATCCTCTCTGTCTATTGGTATGAAACCTGATGAAGCTTTGGAATCAATAGCAGATGCAAGTTTATGCAATCATCTTGCTGTGGAAGAAGAAGTAGATGGGTTGGCTTCGGGTTCATTTATAGAAGAAGAAGAGAAGAAAGGAGATTCTGAAAAGCAAAAGCTTTCTACATGGAGGAACCTTATACAGAAGCACATGGTCATGAGAAACAACAGCGAGGGAATTCGTGATGAAACTGATCAAGAACACAAATGGTCCTATGGAACTGATCAGATGACAGGTATTGATGATGCTAATGCTGCAGCTGTTAAATCGATTCAGCTAGCATTTGAAACGATTCTCTCAGAGATACCCGACTCATCGTCCGACGAAGAGATTGTTTCGGAATCATCTAACTCTCTTAAAGAAGAGAAAGAAGATCACGGAGAGACCAAGAAGAGCTGGAACGGCCTGAGAAAAGTTATACTTCTAAAAAGATTTGTGAAAAGCTTGGAAAAGATACATGTTTATAATCCGAGAAAGATGCGTAGTCTTCCTGTTGAATCTGCATTTGAGGCAGAAAATATATTACTGAGACACCGATCATTAATGGAGGGAAGAAGAATAGATGGAGAGGAACTGATGCTGGATTATGCTTTGAGACAAGCTATATCAAGATTGGCTCCTATACAGAGAAAGAAGGTAGACCTCCTTGTGCAAGCCTTTGATATAGTCCTTGATGGCCATGATACTCCTAAACAAACCAAGACCAGTGATACTCCCCGGAAAAATGATGAAACTAGCGAAGAAGGAAAACCGAGAGTAGAGGAAGATTATGAAGTCAACAAAGATGAGCAGAAGATTAAAAATGTCTTTGCAAGATTTCAGGTACATCAAAAAGACCTGAAAGGAGAAGAGGAGGTTGTTTCTACGCCGAAGGAATCCAGAAAGTTGCCTCCAATCAGAAATGTTAAACAGCGAATCGTGGTTGAGAAAGAGAAAGATTCGAGAATGTGGAAGCTTATCTATAAACACATGGTAACAGAGAAAGAAGGAAATGATTCTGCAAATGGTGACTCAGTGGCTTCACTTGAAGGTGAATGTGATGATGAAGCTGGTGGTCTTCAGATTGATGCGAGAAGAAGCGGAACAGTTACACTTGTTAGAGAAGCGCTTGAGAAAATTCTCTCTGAAATTCCGGATAACTCATCTGATGATCAGTCTATGGACAGTGATATAACTACGGATCAAGAACTATTCGAAAGAAACTCTCAAGTTAGTGAAGAGCCTGTTTCTTCAGCTAGGGAGATCACCTTCAAACCAAAGTCTAATGAGAAAAGAGTGAAGGGATGGAACAATGTAAAGAAAGTCATTCTTCTAAAGCGATTTGTTAGTGATTTAGGAAGTCTGACAAGACTCAGCCCCAAGACTCCTCGTGTTTTGCCATGGGAACCCGATCCAGAAACCGAAAAGATCCGTTTGAGGCATCAGGAAATTGGAGGGAAGAGGAATTCAGAGGAATGGATGCTTGATTATGCTCTACGACAAGCCATATCCACATTAGCACCGTCTCAGAAAAGAAAAGTCTCTCTTCTTGCACAAGCTTTCGACACTATAAGCTTACAAGATATGGGGAGTGGTTCAACCCCAGGGTCAGCAACATCGTCCAGGAACATCTCTCGTCAATCCAGCATTTCTTCTATGGCGGTCCATAGTGAAAATGAAGCTAATGCTGAGATCATTAGAGGAAAATTGAGAAATCTACAAGAGGATCTCAAAGAGAGTACAAAACTTGATAATGTAGCCAATGATTGGGAAGAGAAACAACAGTGCTCGAGCTTGTGGCGGATATTATGCAAACAGATGGAAGACAACGAGAAAAACCAAACATTGCCTGAAGAAACAAGAAAAGAAGAACAAGAAGAAGAAGAACTGAAAGAAGACACAAATGTGGATGGTGAAAAGATGGAACTTTACCAAACCGAAGCAGTGGAGCTATTAGGAGAAGTCATAGATGGAATTTCTCTTGAAGAGAGTCAAGATCAGAACCTAATCCAAGGAGAAACAAGGCAGAAGAGTAAAACTTTACAGGTCTCAAAATTGAGGATTGACCGATGGAGCAACCTGAAAAGAGCGGTTTTACTCAGGAGATTCGTCAAAGCCTTAGAGAATGTAAGGAAATTCAACCCGAGAGAGCCTCGGTTCTTGCCTCCAAACCCCGAAATCGAAGCGGAAAAAGTGAATCTAAGGCATCAAGAAACTCAAAACAAGAAAAACGGCGATGAATGGATGGTCGACAACGCGCTTCAAGGAGTGGTTTCGAAGCTAACACCAGCTCGGAAACTTAAAGTTCAATTATTGGTGCAAGCGTTTGAGACACTTTCAGCTACAGGGTACTGAGACAAAGCAATATGTCTCATTACAAAGTTTTCAGTTCATAAGGTAAACAACGCATCATAATACTGTACTCTTTACTTAGTTTCTCCATTGTTTGATGATAGCTTTTATACAGCTTTGCAGCTTCAGAAATTAAAGAACCATGAAGAACAAGAACTGGAAGATAGCTAAAGACTTTTTATTTGCTCTTGCAAATCTTGTCATGTGTTTCTTTATCTTTTGTTCTTGCATTGATTCATTATTTTGATTAAAATGGATTCAATTACAGAGTTCTCCAACCTTTTTGATTTACAAAAAATAAAACAACAGAGTATACTTCAGTGTGATATTAGAGCTGAGATATAAAATTGTCATTTGTGTTGTTGTGATCAATGAATTCAATTTTTATTTTTTTTTTCACACGAAAAGATTGTGTAATTATAATTCCAAATATATTTTGCAGCTCGTGTGTTGATGATATACATGAAAACGGATCTAGATATCATCTTAATACCGCGTTTTTTTTTACGCGTTTCTAATTGGATTTGAAATCGGTGATTAACAACATCTTAATACCGCTATAAATATAGAGGCTCAGTTCCAAACTTTAAAAAAAAACAAAACAAGTGTTAGACAATCAAACAACTTCCACATGTCCACATACGTGTCATCTGTCTCGTCTCTCGCCACCATGAAACAAAACCCTCTGAAGCGCAAACGCAACGATGAGATCAATGAAGAGACACTCGTACTCATGACTATGCACAAAGAAGACGACGAGCACGAACACACCAAACCGTCTCCACCATCTTGGGAGATTCTCTGCCTTGTTGGTCCTTACATGGACCCTGAGTCTCTAGCCGTAGCCTCTTGCGTCTCCGCCACGTGGTCGAAGTGCTTCTCCTCGGAAGATCTATGGAAGCTTCTACCAGCCACACGTCATTCTATATTCTACAAAGCCATCACCAAGGAGGAAACAACTAAACCGGCCTGGTTATCGTACAAGCGCCTAATCTCTGAAGCTGAATCTGCAGCAAAACGCCGCCGCAACAACCAACCCGCGGAGCCAAAGATCTCTCTCTCCGATCTCGTTTTCATCGTCCACGTGTCAGCTGGATCAAAGGAAGCAGTGGTTGTGAAACAGGGGAAGGATCTTATGTTTGGCTCGTACGAGCGGTTCCAAATCGAAGCTGATGTCAGCGACTCGGGATTCACCGCCGATATGAAAGACGTGAGCATGTCGTGGAACGTCGTGTTAAGGAATTATGAAAGAATGTTTCTAATATCGGAGAGTGTTAAAAAGTCACTAGATTCTAAGATTGGATGGTTCACCGACGAACTTCCGGCGACAAAGAACCGCTACTGTGACGGCAGCAACCTGGTGGGCGAAGTGAAGCCAAGTTTTAATGAAGAGGTTCTTGATAAAGTCGTATTCGCGATAGCAGATTCACGTAACTGGAAATCTCTGTTTGTTGACGATGTCTTGAGATATCTCCAATGTTTTCTTATCGAGTAAAAGTTTTGAGTCTAGTTTGTTGAGCAAGTAACCTAGATATTTTTTTTGGTTAAAGAAGTAACCTAGATATTTCCAATGTATATTCTCTTTTTTTCTTTTTTTTTTTCAATGAATATTCATTCTGTCAACAACTTTTCTAATGAATTACTATCTTTTTGTTTTGCTGGTTGAAGTTTTACAGTGTATTCATTAAGCGACTTTCGATAATCTTTTAATTAATTAGGGCTTTTCCAATACAAATTACAAATATATTCTATAAGAAATTTCCTAACACAAAAAAAATAGAAAGAAACGAACGCGTTTGTTGAATTATCTGCTAAATTAAGATTAATAAATCATAAGATTTTCTAAATTGGTGATTTTGGGGATATTCTTTAGATAATAATTAGAAGATTATCATCCGTTTTTAGTTTCACGAAGTTTAAACTACGTCATCAAGACTAAACGATCGTACTACGAACACGTGTAACTGTAACAGCTACGGAGTCGCCACATCACACAGAGTCTCTTCATCCCAAAAACTTTCCCCAAAAAAGAAAGAAACATATTTGCTCTGCTTCTCTAACATAGGGTAAGCGATCTTTACACATCTTTGCTTAAGTTTTATACTTTATCTTCTTATCTCTGACTATGGTCTGCGATTGAGGAAAACCAAAATTGTTATTTCGATGTCGTGATCATAATGGAAGATAGCTTTGGGGGCATGGTTTACCTTTTTTGTGATCGTGTACTCTAATCTCTGAATGTGTAAACTCATGTATGATTTTTCGTGATAGTTCCTAGATTCTCGGAGAATCAAATTCACATAATCAATGGAGCAAACTTCGGTGGCAGATGGTACAACTCCAGTCTCTTCTTCCACTTTTCTTTTACTCAATTCTATGCATATCGAGTGTTTGCTCAAGGAAGAAAGACTTATTTTGATATATAACCTCACATGTTCTGATTTTAGATTACATGACATTGCTTTCTTTGTAGTTGGATATGTATATTTGGGTTATGATCTGTCTTAAGCCTTGGATTATACATATACGTACACAGCATAGCTTTGTTCGTGAACAACTAACAAATTATTAGTTTCACGTAGTTGGATAACAATGCCGGTTTTGTTTGAATTTTCAGAGTCTAATCATTCCGAGATAGGTGCAGGTAAAGTAAAAGAGTCAAGGGTAATCTCTCCGGGAGGGTCCAAGATCGAAGAGAGGCAAATTCACGGTGTTACTAATGAGAATGACATGAGTCAAGGTAAGAGAGATCAGCCTCGTGGTGAAGTGAACATGGAAGCTTCTATATCAGCAGAAGATGTGATAAGAGCTGGAGGGTTTGGTGCTAAGGACGACATTGGAAGCTTCCTTCCCGTGGCGAGTGACTCCACTGACTTTGAGGAATCACTCCGCTCGGCACGTGACTATGAAGAAACGCAACCGGAGGTTCAAAGACCGGGTCTTGGCTATCCTAAAGAGTAATTTTTTTGCCTTTGGTGGTTCTAATGCTTCTACAGTTTGTTGTTGGGTTTTGTGGAATCAATTGTTGTGTGAGATGATGGGCTAAGGCTGGAATATTTCAAGGTAGAGAACTCTCTAGTTGACTTTGGAGCTGCTGTCGGTATTGGAAACGTCTTCAGTTATTTGGCTACATTTTTAGAAAGTTTTTAATTATGTTAAGATTAATCTAAGGGGGTGTTATTGGTTCCTAATTTACAAAGAATTTTGATGACTTTAATAAAATCATAGAAAGTAAACAAATAAAACGGTCTATTTCCCTATGAGAAGTATGTGTATCACGCTAGATAGAGCCTAAACTATGACCACGATTTAGATGTCCCTGAAAAAAAGTTATATACATATTTCTCCATGAATCAAAAGTTATACATCTAAATCTCCCCGAATTGATACTTCGATATCTATTAATCCACATGTCCGGGTTTTTTTGGGTTTATTATAGACCAATTCAGTCTTAACCATCTTAAAACAAATTTTAACCAAACTAAACCGAAAGTATCAAAATTAAGCCGAACTTGACCGACCATTAACGATCCGACTTTTTCTTCTTCTTCACCTGAAAATATTTTGGTATATTTTGGTTGGATTTTCTTCATTTAAAAACAATACAAATTAGACTAACTTCTTTTGGTTGATGAGATCAATGGGGTCGTCGATTTTGACAAGCTTTGAACAGTCTCTCTTCTTGGCCAAATCAATCTCGGATGCAAGTATTTAGTCTTCTCTGTAACTTCCAATTTAATTGATTTTCTGTAAATTCACTCATCTTCGTCAATTGCTTTTATATAACTTCAAATTCGAGTTTCTTATTCGTGATTTCATAAGATCTCTTCAAACTCTGTTTTTTATAGATTCGATGTGGAGAAGGTGAATACACTGAACATGGATGGGAAATTGGGAAGAAGAAGAAGAAGCGTTGGATTTTGTAAATAACGAAAGCTAATTACAAGAATGCTTACGTCACACTACGTAGCCCTTTGTCGATTTCTAAGGATTTGTTAGGAAGAGTAAAGTGAAACGTCGTCGTGGTGGTGAAAGAGATATTTCTCCGACGAGGGCTGGTGCTACGGTGACGCGGCGGCAACGGCCATGTTTCCAGTTAGGGGGTCATGAGTAGATTATTGTGATCTGGGTTTGTGTTTCCTTTAGTTTTGATTTTGTTTCGGTTAAAAAAGACGAGCTTGATAGTGAATCTGAATCATATAAGCTATATCTCAATTAGAGGTTCTGAGATTTTGGCTAATAATAATCTTAATCATATGTGCTTTAATCACAAGAAGAAAATTCGAATTTCAATTTTGACAAAAAGGAAACCCAGATCTTGAAATCTGGTGAAGAAGAGAAGAAGAAGAAGAAGAGGAAAGAAGAGGAAAGAAGAAGAAGAAGGGCATTTACAATCTCCAACGTAGTGGCTTCGGTAACAGAAGCGTTTTTGGGTTTAATCGGGTTTTCTCTGGTTATAAATGGTTAACTAAACAGTAAACCGAAGAAACCCAAAATTCACCGACGTAACCACGATTCATGGAGATTAAGCTATTAAACTTTCATTTCGTGGGGAAATAGGTATTTAACTTCCGTTTTATGGACATATAGACCGAGGTCAAAGAACGGGCTCTATCTGGCGTGATGTGATAGTTCTCGTGGAGAAATAGACCGTTTTTCCGAAAGATTCTAAACTATTGTTAGAAAATTTTCGAGAGTTTTCTATAATCTTGCTGATTAATACTTCATAATCTTGTAAAATTTTCCAAACAATCTCTTTATTTTGATGATACTTTTCATGACTTTATTTTGTAAAGAAAAGTGTAGAAAGTCATAAACCAATAACATAATAATTTAATTCATTAACAATCATAGATTCTTTTGTTTTAATTGAATAATACCAAATTTTTAATGACTTTGTAAAAGTATGAATCCAATAACTCCAGATTTACGAAGATTTTAGATTATTTTTTTCAAATCTTAAATTAATAACACCAAACTTTAACAAACTTTTAAAAAATCTTGATTGAATAACAATATATTCTACATAACATTTAAAGTCACTAAAACTTTAGTTAAATCACAAACTAATAACACCCCCTAAATGTTTCAAGGTTTCTTATTCAGGAAGACTTGGAGATGTTTTCTGATTTGCTCTGTTTTCTTGCTCTGCTTTATAGCAAAACGTTTTTAAGGAATTTTTAGAATTAGTTTTGAAATAAATACCCTCAAATTGTTTCTGTTAACAACACTTGTTTAAGTGAACATATACATGTTCTTGTATAAGAAACTATAATTGATCAAATATATAATAAGGTTTACCTGTTATATAATACAAAATAAAACTCAATAGCCTCTTGGTTAGTCACTTGAAAATGTAGGGCACAGATGTTCAACCACAAAATGATTATCATACACTACTTATCTTATTTGTGGAAACTGCCACCATAAGTACTCTGTCCACTACTCTGTCCATAAGTAATATGGATGATATAAGGGGGATGGATTATGGAAACTACCAATTATACACCAATAATTCTATAAATCAGAATTATCATATTGTGGCAATTACGTCAAGACCAATAGCCGGTGGGACAAATTAAAAACCAATGAGAGAAAGAAAAATGGAATCATCATTCAATAAGTGGTTCAAGTTGAAGAGACTCCACAATTGCTTTTGAGCTCATATATCATCCAATGTCTTGTTCTAACTTTTATGAACTAAGACTCACATTTTCTTTCCTTTAAAAAAAAAAATTTGTAAACCTTTTATAAAACAATAAAATATTATTTCATTTCTTTCAAAGTGGCTAATCATAGCAAGCACTCAGCTACTTGGATATTATTTGATGACCCTTTTATTGGCAACCACTATACGGTACTAGTTTTTTCGTCCTATTCGATTACTAATTCGGAGGCTGGTAAGGACTAAGTAGGGAAAGAGATTTAAATGAATGTTAATTTCCATCTGCTAAGACCATACACAGTGGTGTATGTTTTGGTGGGATATGAGTATTATTAAAAAAAAAATAATAGAATAGTGTAGCACATAGGTGTGAGATAACACTTGGGTATAGGTATTATTTTAATGTTTTATGTTTCATCTATCTCTCTCCTCTCTCTCTTCTCTCTTTCTCCTCTAACCAAATCTCTCTCTCTTACAAAAAATTATAGTAAATATATTGGTCACACCCAAAACTAAGGTTTCCCACTGTGTATGCCCTAAACCTTGCTCATTTTCATATTATTACATTTTTATCAACATTCAATTGTTGATTATAGATAGATATTCTAAATAATCAATCGAAGAAATCAAACAAACGATTTTACCACCCACTTTCAAAGCATAATGATCATATAGACTAGTGACAAAAACACACTAAGCTATGAGGATATTGGTTAACTTCAAAATAATATAAAAACACTAGAATTGTACAACACATCATTTATAATAAGAGCATTTGAATAATAACCTATTTAAGGATTTTAATATCACTTTCTAATTTTTAGTTTGTCTCTAATATCACTTTCTAATTATCCATCAGCATTATAGCTTCATTATTATTTTTGGACAGAAGAAGCAATTGTTCTCAGCATAACAATGTATATACACCCTACTTGTCTCTTCAGGTCACCAATATCGAATATTGCCCCTATTTATATCTCCACATCATAGACTAACACTCTCTTGTCACCACCAAACAGATAAAACACTGCCACTTTCTATATGGGGAAAGAGAGAATCAAAGAACAATGATCTTTGTGTTCTAACCCACAAAAGACATAACATTGCTCTTCTCAGTTTTCATCTCCGCTCTAATGTTGGAGGACATCTTCAAACGATTCCCTAAGAATGTTCTTCATGCTTCACAGACACACGTGCGTATTTCTGTCTCAAAAATTCTTTCTATTTTTACTAAATTTATAGAGTTAGTTTTTCATGGATCCATCATATCATGTTTGAAATTCACATATTAGGTGTTATCTTAAGCTTAATTCGTGTCTCTTCTCTTAAACTTAGCAAAACCTTTTTCTGTTTTCCTTCTCTTTTCACTTAATTATCTACTGATTGGAATTTTAGAAGAGTATTGATCTTTTTATTCTTGTGGTTTAGATTTTTAAAATGGTAATAAAAAGTTTGTGATCCAATGGTTTTTCAGGACAACTTCCTCAAGATCTCTTAAAATGTACCAGAGAATTTCTTTGGAGAAATCTGCACATGCTTCTTGTTCTTTCCAAAGGTTCAAGAAGATGACGAACAATGGAACTCTCGAGCCAGAGGCATGAAAGAAACTCGTACATTTTCCCGATCATCACCCTCCAAGCGTTTTGTATATTATACAAGAATTGAACTCTTATCATTAACAAGTTGTATATTCAGATTCTTAATTCCAAAATCACCCAGAAACTTATATGCGCATATCATTTAAGTAATAAGATCCTCTGAAACATTTAAACAAAATAATTTTGAGCCATCAATATGATTCTAAACTTCTACACACACACACACCACACCACACTCACACGATATAGTTAACCTACTATACTACAGCTCTTTCCTCAAAAATGTATTATCAACAGAGACTCTCTGTCTGATTCAGAAGGATTCAGTCCAACCCCAAGCATTCGACGAATGCTGCTGAAACCCGCCTCTGCTTCTCCCTCTCCCATTCCTCCATCGACAATCCTCCACTCGATCTCCTCCATGTTGAACTTCTCCTCTCTTTCTCCACCCTCTGCTCTCTCTTCCTTGTTCCCTACCATTCCAATTCTCAACCTTCTTGTGGTTGAAGCTGTTGTTGTTGCATTTCTTCTGATCCCAAGATTCGGCATTGAAGTTGTTGTTGTTATGATCCCACCATTCAGTTTTCTCCTTTATCCCCCAAGAATCTTCATTCCATCCATCACATTTCTGATTATCCCATGAGTTTTCTGGTTTACCCGTTCCAACATTCTCCTCGTTAATCCCTTCAGCGTCTCCCCAACCCGTTCCCCAACCGAGCCCGCTATATTGTCCAGACAAGACCAAAGCATCGAGTATCACGACATGCTCCTGTTCTTCTGCTAAAGGGTCTGGACCACGTTCAAGGTCAAGTATCAACTCGGTGTCAACTTCAGCATCCCAATCAACATCATCAATGTAGACATCAGGATCAGGCAAAGATAAGTCACAAGTAAGACCATTTATCTCTGCCCAGAACCGGGATTTAGCGTTCTTGAATGCGACTTCCCCCGCTGAGTCGTCCCATTGGACTACTCTATCGTATATGTGCATAAACCTCTTCGCCTCTACAACTTTCCACCATGGAACTGAACCAATCACAGCACAGAAATCCTTCTCCCACGCCGGAACAGAGAGCTTGCAATTAGCTGCATAAAAACATAACAATCCGAGAGTTAAAAACTCTGATCACAGGCTAAATTTAAGTAAAGGATAACTTACAGATCAAGAAAAAGCTACCAACAATAAACTAATCAAGAATCAGAGGATTAAGAATCAAATCATCTCCAAACCAATTTGATTGAAAAGGTCATTAACCAAGTTAATCAAAGCTCATAACCTCACAAACCTAACAAAGATGAAGTCAATTAGTATTACAAATTATCTAATTTCACTAACCTAAAATACATAGAAGAGCTTAAAAACCGACATTACTTAACAAACACAAACCCTAATTAAGGACGCAAAGAGGTAAACCCAGTTTCGTTCCCATCAGAAGGAACTCGATTTTCACAAACGACGAAAGGTTACATAATTCAACAACTCAAAAATCACAAATTCAAGAAATTAAAGATGCGAGAAAAAAAAAAAACAGAGAGGAGAGAACAGAGATGATGATACCAAGAGGTGGCTTTGATGCTGATTGCGTCATCGTCGTCGTCCCTCGTTGATGGTTATAATTATGATTGTTGTTGTTTCTGGGTTTTTGTCTTCTCCAATTACTCATAATGACCCGACAAAGATTGAATTTTTTGAAGGAATAAACCCAGAAGAAGACAATGAAAATACCTTCCAAATCAGGAAGATTTTAATGAACAAAATCCCTAAATTTCGACGAGAGAAACTTCAGAGCGAAAGGTGTTTCTTTTAGAGCTCTCTGCAACGAAACAGAGAATTTATAAGAAGATGGGTTGAAGAAAAATCAAGAACAAACAACTTTCGCTTCTCAAGAAATTTCCTTTTTCATTCTTAATTTCGAATTTTTCAGGTGAAAATAAAAATTAAATAAAGCGTTTTAATGTTTATTTCCTTTTCGTTTTAGGCAAAAAAATTGATATTTTCCTTTTTTTTTTTATTAACGGAATTTTGGATACGTTGCCTCGTTTTGCCTGATTCTAGTCGATTCTAAATAATAATGTTTTTTTTTTTATTTATTTCAACGAATGTTTCTTGAAAGAGCCTACGTGGTGGCCTTATTAAATTGCTTTCTCACTCTTGCATTCATTTAATTAACATAAATATAATCGAGTCGGTCAAAATTCAATGGCCACACACAGACTTTATTTTGATTTGGATACTCTTTCAATTTCCATAAGATTTGGATGTTTGGAAATAATTAGTTAATTTGTGTCTATGATGTTGATTAATGACACTTTTCAAAACTTTATAGTATATCCGTATGTAACTGAATTTAGTTGAGTGTGTGCATGGTATATTATTTATTTTCTTTTGGATTTTTTCAAATCTCTCATTCGATATTCTCTTTGATTTATCACTATCAATAATTATTATTGAATACATCTAATTCACAAACTAACTACGAGATTAGACCTCAAAAATGGAAATTCTAACTAAAGATTAGGAAAATTGGACCGGAAAAAAGGGAAATCCAAAGCCAACGAAAAAAAAAAAAAAGGAAAACAAAAACGCGTCTCACTCTCTCTATATATATATACACACACACAACACAAAGCAACAAATCTCTCATCCTTCTCGTCTAATTAAAACCAACACAAAAAAAATCTCTCAACCTTATTTAACAATGTCTACGACCAAAGCACTATCGCTTCTTGTGTTTTTACTCTTCGTGTCCCTTGTTCACGCATCGGATCAATGTCCGATCAACTCCATCTACCAATTCGGTGACTCCATAGCCGACACCGGAAACTTAATCCGTAATGGCCCTGTTGGAGCCAGATCCCACGCCGCTAATTATCCATACGGTCAAACATACTTCCACCGAGCCACCGGTCGTCTCTCCAACGGTCAGCTAATGATCGATTACTTGGCACGTAGGCTTCATCTCCCACTCTTAAACCCTTACCTCAACGGAAACACAACGTCTTCGTCTTTCAAGAACGGTGTTAACTTCGCCGTTTCCGGAAGCACAGCACTCAACAGCTCTTTCTTCGCCGAGAGAAATCTCCACGTTCCGGCAACAAACACTCCTCTCTCCACACAGCTTGCTTGGTTCAAGTCTCATCTACGTTCCACATGTCATGGCTCGTCTTCGGATTGCTTGAAGCAGTCTCTCTTCATGGTCGGTGAGATAGGAGGCAACGACTACAACTACGGTTTCTTCCAAGGCAAACCCATGGAAGAAATCAGAAGCTATATCCCTCATGTTGTTGGCGCCATCACAGCCGCGGCTAGAGAAGTAATCCGTGCCGGTGCAGTTAACGTGGTCGTCCCGGGAAACTTTCCAGTGGGATGTTTTCCGATTTACTTGACGTCTTTTCCCGTGAAAGATCCAAAAGCTTACGACGACAAAGGTTGCTTGAAGCATCTCAACGAATTCGCAATGGATCACAATAACCAACTGCAAGGAGCTATAGCTTCTTTGAGAAAAGAGTTTCCAGGTGTGGCTATAGTCTACGGAGATTACTACAACGCGTTTCAATACGTTCTACGCAGTGAAAGATTCGACAAGAGTGTAGCATTGAAATCGTGTTGCGGGATCGGCGGAGCTTACAACTACGACGGAAAGAGGCCTTGCGGAGCAGCGGGAGTGCCGGTGTGTCAGAATCCAAACAAGTTCATAAGTTGGGACGGAGTGCACTTGACTCAAAAGGCTTATAGATTCATGTCTAATTTCTTGAACTATCAGATTCTTTCACAGATCAAGTGTATAAGGCCTTAGGTTTTAGCAGTGTGTTTTTCTAGTCTCTCCTCAATTTTTTATTATTTGTAGTAATATCTTACAGTTATTTAATAGAAAATTTCTTTTAAGTAAATCTCTACTATATACACCCTTAGATTTTATTGTTTTTCATGTGTGTTGTACCACATTTTTTACTTTAGAAAGATCATATAATCGTAAGTCCAATTTCTCTACTAGACAATGTATTTTAAATGAATACCTAACTGCAGCCTCAAAGACCTCAGTCGCATTCACAAAAGTGAGAAAATACATTCCTAAACCAAAATAAACAATTATGTTCTTGTCACAAAAAAAAGGAACAATATTTTTCAGAATTTAATCTCGAATAAAATATAGAAAATACACAATTTCGTCGTTTGTCAAAAAAATAAAATAATTTTGTGACACAATTTTAACCTCCATATTTTTAATTTTGACCGTTCGTTTTATCCCTTAAATCTTGTCTGTCGATGAAACCAGAGAGTGTTCAGAAAAGTTAAAAAAGTAAATAACACAAACCTAACCGGTCAATTTTACTGTAGTAAAGCCCTATAACTTTCTACAAATTGAGCTAAAGCAAACGAAATCGTACCAAACATAAAAATAAATATATCAAATTAGAGGTATTCATCCAATCAGAACTCTGAATTTTCCATCAGATTAAAAATTGTTCTTAAACCCAATCGCAAACCGAATCCGGTTCAATCGCAAACTAAATCCGGTTTGCAGGAAGTGCTTTGTTCGGATACGGACCCGGTAGGCATTATATACTTGTCCTGTGAAGAAAACGTTTGCATCATCCTTGTCTGTGGTTTCAGCGTTCGTCGTCATCAAGGTTCTTCTCTCTCCCTCTTTAAGCTCTTGTATCTTCCGGTTTCTTGACGTAATGCGAAGTCTTTGTTTCTACCTAAGTGTCGATTCTCGCTCTGTAATCGTTTCCTGTTCTTAAAAATCGTAACTTTGAAGCTTAGGGTTTCAGAAATTTCTGCAAAATTCTCCGACTTTTGTTCTTGTTCCTCGTGGGTGAAACCAAAATAACATCTTTTATAAATTTTTATGCGTATTGTTAGATTCTCTAAGATATTTAAGGTTATTGAGTTTTCCCCGGAGCCGTTGCATTGTGATCTGTAGAAGAAATCCACTAGTTTTTTTGGGCTTGTTTTCTCCAGGATTCTTGAAAATTGATTTGAGTTTCTTTGTAGCTTGTGGGTCTTTTTAACTTTTCTTTTGATTCTGTGTGTTTGTTTTGATTGTGTTGGATTTCTCTTACTGATGATCAAAGAAACAGTGTCTGCAATGTCTTGTTCTGCCAGGTTAAAAACCAGTTTGGGGATGACTTCTGCTTTGAGTGCTCATGAGGTTCTTAACAGTAATGATACTATGTGTGAGATTCTTCTCCTGCTTCCACCAGAAACAATCTACAAGCTGATTTTGGTATCCAAGAGGTGGCTTCAGATTATAGCCAGCCCTTACTTCCGTCATACTTACTTAGCCAAGTGGAACCCTAGCTTTGAACTCATTGGCTTCCTCGTCTGTAGCTCAACGTACCTTGGAAGACGCGTAGATGGAGCCCGTCGCCCTCGTGCTGAGCCATCGCTTCCTTTACTCTCAACCAGCAGTATTGGTGATGAAATTGAATCCTCTGGCATTCTGAAAAAGCTTGGATACTACATCGACTCTTCAGACGGTCTTTTACTTTGTGGCCGCCATCCAAAAGCTTACTACTTGTGGGATCCAAGTACACAGAAGCAGCAGCAACTTCCACGTCCCAGAGTTCATTTCGAAGAACTTTGTATGTCTTTGATTACTGAGGATTGTCCTGATAAAGGGTTTAGCTACAAGGTGATCCGGGCAGAGTGTGTAGGCTTTATTGCTCAAAGTACAAAGTTGAAGGTAGAGACTTTTTCCTCGAAAACTTCTACGTGGAGCTACTCAGAGCTTAGTTGTCCTGAGCCTATATCTCTCAGTCCGTGGACTCTTGGTAGAGTGATCAAAGGTGTTGTTTACTGGCATGCCAGAGGCGGTAAAGTTGCCATCTATGACTCAAACAGTGAGGAGAAACGGGTCGATTTGATAAAGCTTCCGAAAACATATGACTATGATGAACAGGTTCTGGGCGAAACCACTGATGGGTGTTACAATACGGATGGAGCAATAAGTCGGTAATGGAGGTATGGAAGCTTGAAAAGGTAAACGATGTGCTTCAGTGGAACATTCTGTTTAAGCTGAATTTCAAGGCGATGTGGAAAATGAACACAGTGGAAGCTACAAGATTCAGCGTTCGGACTAAAGAAACGCAGCTGCTTGCGTTCCTCAATCAGAAGTCGGACTCGGTTTTCATCAGATGTGAAGCCCACATCTTCATCTATGACACAGAGACTAAAAGGGTCGAAGTAGTTCAGTACCAAGGACGAAAATCGGCATTCATTTGGGATTACTGCAAAGTCGTGCCTTACTTTCGACGTACCTGGCCTTCTTCTCCTCTGTTTGATAACAATGTCATGATGATCGACACTCCTCAATGCAACGCCTCTTCTGCAGGAAGTGACTAAGTAGTTTATGCTATTAATCAGTTTTTGTGTAGTCCATTGAACTATCGTTTATGTTTTGCGGCTAAAGTTTTTGGTTTGACCATCGATGAACCTCTCATGGATTTGATGTATATCTCATGGTTGTCGTTAAAGGTCATTGAACTCTACCGTTTGCGTTTTCCTTTTCAATCTGCGTTTTGCGATTGACTCAGTTTTTAGTTAGTGATTGTTGATCATAAACAAATTCTAAATCAATTTACTTACACCATAATCGATCGACATCACTTGTATATTTGTTCGTAAGTTCCAGGTTGATCCAAATAACTCCAATATTATAAGTTAGATTAATGGGTCACTTGGATGATGAGTAGGTTTGGGAGAATGTCCACATTCTTTGAAATGTAATGACGAATGTTTGTTCTTTCAAATTTAAAAACAAAAAATCTATAATAATTATTAAGTCATGTAGTGATCTAAGAAACAGATCATAGTTTCTCTCTATGTAATCTTAGGTACAGATAATAACTTTATGATCTCATTATTGGTACATTGATTTTTCTTTCATTTCTTTTTGCTTGAAACTCTTTTTCGTCCTTTGGAAAAGACATAAGCTTAGCTTTGATCATTTTTATCTTTTTTATGAATGATGAAAATGTTATGTTAAGACGTGATTTCTCAAATTTGTTGATTTAAACTTTTATTTTTCGTTAGAAATGAATGGAGGCAAACGATTATCATTGGATTTGAAGGTGTTAAAAGAGTGGTGGGACTGTATAACAACTCAAAAGGATCTTTTACTGTGTTGAGAAACTCAAAAAATGCATTATTTAAAAAGGCTAAACCAAAACCTATAGGTCGCTCTATGTTCATATCATATATATGGCTCACATGGCTCATCATTGTTTCAATGACATGATAACTAAAGTTGCAATGATCTACTCAACAACGAGTTTTTGTCTATATGGACCACCATCAACTAATTTTTATTCATATTTTCATCCGATTACGAGATTTGTGAATCTTTGATAAATTTAGCTAATTATTACGGAACTTTTGAAGTAATAAATATTCATACATGTCTTGAGTTTTTACCAAGTTTTGGTGTTCAAACTCAGTTTCATAATATTGTTTTGATATTATTTCGTGTAATGTCTATAAACATTTAGTCGTCGAAGAATAAATATCAGTAAGTGACTATTACGTTTTAGCATTCTCAACAATTACGCCTACCTACAAGAAAATGAAATCCAAATTAGTCTGTGATTTAAAATCTCCAAAGTTAGATATATATCTAAATTTCTTTCTCTATTAATGATTAAACTGTACTATCACTCATTGTTGTCATAATTCTTTTTCTCTCAAATTAAAGCTAAAATATTTCACGAGTCTAATGTATATTGTTATAATGGTTACATTAAAATATGTATGATCGATGTACTTTAACATACTTTGTTATATTTTGTAGGCTTAGATATTAGATACGTTGACAAGCCACATGTTCTTTTATCACAAGCCAAAAGTAGCAAGAAAAAGAAAAGAATGTGTAAATTTATAAAGAAATCAAATTTGAAGTGATTGGTTAAGAGGCAAAAGGAAAAGGAGAGTTAGAGGTTTGAACAAGTCAGTAATCATATAGATAGTGAAAGTGACAGTTGGAAAAGGTGAGAGAGAGAGAGAGAGAGAGAGAGGATCATCACTATATTTAGACATGACTTGAAATCATCTCTTCACCAGTGTCTGAATCTCCCACATCATCACTACATTTCTTTCTTCCTGATTCTCATCATTTGGTTTTGTGTTCGTAGGTAAAGTAAGATTCTTCCATATCTATTAGACAATGTGTTGTTACATCCTTGATTGTTCTATTGATGTGATTTACATATATTGATGAGTCTAATGATCTTGATGGAACATAAAACTGAAATGAATCAAGATTGTAGGATTTGTGGATACACATTTTGGTTCTCTTTATGATCTTTAAAGGGTCTTCTTTAGATTTTTGTTCTGTTTTCTTGATCAACTTAATAAGAGGCTTTATCATTTATTTGTTACCAGAGAACTTCATCTAATGGCGAAGAGGAGGTCGTGGTTCGGTTGGATGAAAAGACTATTCGTCTGCGAGGCGAAAGCAAAACCAGAGAAGGTTTTGTTTCTTTCTCTAGACACTATGAATTGTTTATGTTTCTGAATCTAAAATGATTCGTTCTTTTTTGTAGAAGCCAAGGAGATTGAGATGGGTGTTTAGAAGGCTGAAGCTGAGACAGCAGATTGCAACTTATGGGCAAGAGACACGGACTTTGAACGAAGCAACACAGGATCAGAGAAAGCATGCCATGAATGTAGCCATTGCCACAGCTGCAGCAGCAGAGGCGGCGGTTGCAGCCGCTAAGGCAGCTGCTGAAGTTGTCCGGATGGCGGGAAACGCCTTCACATCACAACATTTTGTCAAGAAGCTCGCTCCCAATGTGGCTGCTATCAAGATTCAGAGTGCATTCAGGGCTTATCTGGCCAGGAAAGCGTTGCGGGCGCTAAAGGCACTCGTAAGGCTTCAAGCAATTGTGCGTGGCCGAGCTGTTAGGCGAAAGGTTTCTGCTTTATTGAAGTCTTCACTCACCAACAAAGCTTCAAGATCAAGCATCATCCAGAGAAACACAGAGAGAAAGCATTGGTCCAAGACCAAATCTGAGATCAAAGAAGAGCTTCAGGTATCGCACCATTCGATGTGTAACTCGAAGGTCAAGTGCAATGGTTGGGACAGTAGCGCTCTCACAAATGAAGACATGAAAGCCATATGGTTGAGGAAGCAAGAAGGTGTGATCAAGCGCGATCGTATGTTGAAATACTCCCGCTCTCATCGGGTAAATTATCTCTCAAAATCTTTATATAACCGGTCAGTTTTGGTTTGAGGTCTCAAGGAGTTGTTTTGCAGGAGAGAAGAAGTCCTCATATGCTTCTGGAGTCGTTGTACACTAAAGATATGGGGATGCGAAGCTGTCGGCTAGAACATTGGGGTGGATCCAAGTCTGCAAAATCCATAAACTCATTTCTCATTCCAAGTGAAATGCTTGTCCCTACAAAAGTGAAGCTCAGAACTTTGCAGAGACAAGACTCTGGTGATGGACAAGACTCTCCATTTTCTTTCCCAAGGAGATCATTCAGCCGTCTGGAACAGAGTTTATTAGAGGACGAGAGCTGGATTCCAAGCTCCAACAGTTTCCAACCTTACATGAGTATGACAGAGTCTGCAAGGGAAAAGATGAGATCACTAAGCACACCAAGGCAACGTGTAGGGCTGATGGACTCTTTGTTTGATAACTACAAGAAGGATGGGGATAAAGGATCTCTCTGGTCTTCTTTTGTCTGTGAAAATAGTAAGAACAACAACGCTAAGAAGTCGTCCCTGACCACATATCAACATAATTGTTAAATCTTGAACATTCATGTCATTTTGTTTGGTTTTTCTCTCTTTTGTTATGTTTATTTTTGGGTCTCATATCTCATGTTCTTTATAGATATGTTTATGAAGAGGTCAATTTTTTGGTGTTTGATGTCTTGGTTCTGTTGATTTCTGTTCTTGAGGAAATGGAAGCTTCTTTCTCAATGTGATTTATTTTGTTCAAACCATGAAAAAATCGTTAAGACTGCTATATGTTCAAGATCCTACATATACTTTGGTTCTGATCTTCTTAGCCCTGTTCTTCAAGGTTTCACCTGCAATGCAAAGAATATAGAACCATAAGTCACTTAGTCTAGGAATAAAAGTAGAAAAGAGACAAAACATACATCCACCAAGTTTATTTTTAACTTGAACCGTGTATAACGGCTAGATTATCTATAACCGAACCTAACAAACCCTAAGTGAAAAGGAAAAAGAAACTTTGGAAAAAAGGAAACTTGAGTCTCAAACAAATAAGTTTATAAATACCTGCGTCTCGCGTCTCCTATCTCCTCAAGCTAAAGACGCAATTTCTCTGGGGTTTTTTTTTTTCAATTCTCTCTGCTTCGAGATGATGATGCTCTGACTCTTTCTTCTCCCTTCGTTTAGAAAGAATCATTCCAGAAGTCAAAGCCCAAGAAAGAAAGACTCATACATATACAACGGCTGTCTCTGTTCACTTAAAAAGCTACGAATAAGACGAGAGATCACACACACACAAGCATCACGTCTCATATAAACGACAGAGAACATTCTTTGTTTTTCTGCCTGCGATGATAAGATCTATGTCACTCACTACGGAACCACATCTCACCGTAGAAACAGAGAGAGAGACGATTCGAAGGAGTTAGAGGCTACATGTCGCCGGAATTTAAGGCTTCGGGAGTCATGATGTTGGAGGTTCTCTTCGGCGACGGAGATTGAGGAAGTGGTGGGATCGTCGGAGATTGGGGGATTCGTTTTTCCGGTAAGGGTTAGAGATGATCGTATTTGCTCTCTCTCAGAGGCCCAACAGAAACAATTCCAGCCCATCAAACAATTGCCAGGTTAATTTTCAGCCCATTTTCTTCTTTAATTTAGAAAATTAATATATTTTATACTTTTAAAGGTTTTTTTTTTCTTTCTCACTGATTTTTTTAAAAGATTTTTTGCAAATTTTATTCAAGTTTTTGTTTAAATTTCGATTTTTTGAAAATCTTTTTTTAAGTTTTTAAAATTTTAAATAATAGAAACTTGGATAATAAATTTACAATACGATGTGAGAACTAACCGGATTTTGGATCCCGTCATTCGACCTAGTCATTGATCATTAGCGATTCCAAACATTCAACTTGTTTTCGCATTATTATGTAAATTTATCATACAAGTTTCTTTATTTAAAATTTTAAATTCTCTTTTTTTCCGGATTTTAAATTTTTTATTTTTACAAGTTGTTTTAAAAATCTTTTTAAGTTTTTAAAATTTTAAATAATAGAAACTTGGATAATAAATTTACAATACGATGTGTGACCTAACCGGATTTTGGATCCCGTCATTCGACCTAGTCATTGATCATTAGCGATTCCAAACATTCAACTTGTTTTCGCATTATTATGTAAATTTATCATACAAGTTTCTTTATTTAAAATTTTAAATTCTCTTTTTTTCCGGATTTTAAATTTTTTATTTTTACAAGTTTTTTTAAAAATCTTTTTAAGTTTTTAAAATTTTAAATAATAGAAACTTGGATAATAAATTTACAATACGATGTGTGACCTAACCGGATTTTGGATCCCGTCATTCGACCTAGTCATTGATCATTAGCGATTCCAAACATTCAACTTGTTTTTCGCATTATTATGTAAATTTATCATACAAGTTTCTTTATTTAAAATTTTAAATTCTCTTTTTTTCCGGATTTTAAATTTTTTATTTTTACAAGTTTTTTTAAAAATCTTTTTAAGTTTTTAAAATTTTAAATAATAGAAACTTGGATAATAAATTTACAATACGATGTGTGACCTAACCGGAATTTGGATCCCGTCATTCGACCTAGTCATTGATCATGAGCGATTCCAAACATTTAACTTGTTTTTGCATTATTATGTAAATTTATCATACAAGTTTTTTTATTTAAAATTTTAAATTCTCTTTTTTTTTTGGATTTAAAATTTTTTTTATATTTACAATTTTTTGGTTTAAGTTGTCGTTTTAAAAACATTAAAAAAATTTAGCTTTTAATTCTCAACCATTGGATCAAACCGATGCTGTATTACATTAAACCGTTATGAGTTTTGTTTCGAGAAGAGAGATTCAGTGATCTTAGCCGTACACTTGTCGCGATCTCAGCCGCGTCTCTAAGGAGAGAGAGAGAGATGGCTCTGTGTCTCGGTCTCTCCTCTTGGCCTGGCCGGGGTTACTAGTTCTAATACGCAGCGTTTCGTGGAAAGCTCACATCGACGGCTGTTACTGGGCCACGTCATCGAAACGGATAAAATGGAGCCATCCAAAAGTTCTTTTCTTTCTCTGCAACAAGATAAAGAAGATTGCGGAGAGAGTCATAAAAAGTTTTGAGCTTTGATCACACTATTCACTACTAATGGAGGCTCTGCAATTTTCCAGCCATTTCTCCGTGAGTAGAGTTCCGAATTATACTCTAGGAATTCGAAGAAGTAGAGCAACATTTAGCTCTGCATTCACCGGTACCAGCAATTCAGCTTCTCTCTCCTCTAGGAATCCCTCAACGGTTTGGCTTCAAATTTTGCTTCTTTTCTTTTCGTTTTTATCTCAGTTGTGTTTTGTTAGATTTTTGGTTATTTAGTGTTCTTTGTGATGTATGTGTTGAGTAGCGAGAGATATGGAGTTGGGTGAAATCGAAGACTGTTGGTCAAGGAAGATACAGAAGAAGCTATGTGAGAGCCGAGATGTTTGGACAGTTGACTGGTGGACTCGAGGCTGCTTGGAGCAAACTCAAAGGCGAAGGTTCGATTTCTATATTTTTGCCTTGAGCTCAAATTAGGAATCTCTTGTAACTATCAAAGTCATTACCTTTGTTCATGTTTCTTTAACCTTGAAGAAATGTGCGAAGATGAGTTAACATAGGCATTGTGTTCATGTATGTCAAGAAAAAGTCTGTCATATATACATAGCTAGACTTTTGGAACGAGGAATGGATTAGAGAGATATAGTTTTCTATCATTTTAGTTTAAGGCCAGTGTAGTCTTGCCACTGGCAGATGCAGAAATGATGGGCACGGTTTAAAGTTAGTTACGGTTTTTGAACTTGCAGAGGTTTTGACCAAGGAGAATATTGCCGAACCAATGCGAGATATTAGAAGAGCTCTCCTGGAAGCAGATGTGAGTGGTGGTTTCTTCTGTTTCAATTAGGTTTCTTTTGAAGAATGTGGTGTAAAAGTGATTTAGTCGCTTGGCGGTTTTGTTAACAGGTGAGTCTCCCTGTTGTTAGAAGGTTTGTTCAATCTGTTAGTGACCAAGCCGTTGGAATGGGTGTCATTCGTGGAGTTAAACCAGATCAGCAATTGGTCAAGGTAATTAGCAATAAAACCGCTTCTTTTTTTTTGTTTCAATAGCATAATGGTTTTGATCGCTGATTCACTCTATGATGATCATTTTGGTTTCAATAGTACTCAAGTGTGGCTTATCATGGCTATGTTGCAGATTGTACATGATGAGCTAGTGAAATTGATGGGTGGAGAAGTATCTGAGTTACAGTTTGCTAAATCAGGCCCTACGGTAATATTGTTGGCTGGACTCCAAGGAGTTGGAAAGACAACGGTTTGCGCTAAACTAGCTTGTTACCTAAAGAAGCAGGTATGTTTTTTGAAAATACAGTGGAGATTTTGAGGGGATTGTTAGTTACTCTCTGTCAAATTACACTGACTAATGATGATGTTTACAGGGAAAGTCTTGCATGCTTATTGCTGGAGATGTGTACCGACCTGCTGCCATCGATCAACTTGTCATTTTAGGTGAACAGGTATTGAAATTTTTACTTTTGAAGCATCATGTGCATTATTAGAAACGGCTTTAAAAAACCTGTTTGTGAACATCATATGATATTCGATTCCGTAAATCAATATTCCTGATGCCCTCTTTGTGTCAGGTTGGTGTCCCGGTTTATACAGCAGGGACTGATGTAAAACCTGCAGATATAGCTAAGCAAGGTCTAAAAGAAGCTAAAAAGAATAATGTTGATGTAGTTATTATGGATACTGCAGGGAGGCTTCAGGTAATCTTTCTTCTTTGAGAGTCATTGTATCATAAAGCTATTGCAGCCTTAGTAATGAAGTTGCCTCTTTGTGACAGATAGATAAAGGCATGATGGACGAATTAAAAGACGTGAAGAAATTTCTGAATCCAACAGAAGTGTTACTAGTTGTTGATGCCATGACTGGACAAGAAGCTGCAGGTAAGCTGTTTCTATTCTACATTTGTCAAGAAGATTCGAGACATCCTGAAAATGGATTAGATTCAAAACCGTAGCTGTATCGACCATATACTAAGATGAGCTTCTGTACTTCCTACAGCACTGGTGACTACATTCAATGTTGAGATTGGAATCACAGGAGCCATTTTGACAAAGCTAGATGGTGATTCAAGAGGTGGTGCTGCTTTGAGTGTCAAGGAGGTTTGCAGTCTTACTTTTTTGATCAATTATTTCATAGGACGTTACTTAACGTTGCTGAACATTGATAGTTTACTCTTAAATGGGTGGCACTAGGTATCGGGAAAACCGATTAAACTGGTAGGACGTGGAGAGCGAATGGAGGATCTTGAACCCTTTTATCCAGATCGAATGGCTGGACGAATTCTAGGAATGGGAGATGTGCTTTCATTTGTAGAGAAGGCAACAGAAGTTGTAAGTTCTTTCTCAATAAAATTACAATCAAAACTTTGTTTTCCTCTCCCTCTCTCTCTCTCTCCATTGAGGTCTTCTTCATCTGTCTTTATAGATGCGTCAAGAAGATGCTGAAGATCTACAGAAGAAGATAATGAGTGCAAAGTTCGACTTCAACGATTTCCTAAAGCAGACTCGTGCTGTTGCGAAAATGGGTTCGATGACACGAGTTCTTGGAATGATTCCCGGAATGGGGAAAGTGAGTCCAGCACAAATCCGAGAAGCGGAAAAGAATCTTTTAGTCATGGAAGCAATGATTGAAGTGATGACACCTGGTTTTTCTCTGTTCCTTTCTTCCATTTCAAAATATCGATCTTTTACTCAGATTTTGGTTGTCTTATTCTTGGTTTAAATATTTTGGAACAGAGGAAAGGGAGAGACCAGAGTTACTAGCAGAATCTCCAGAGAGAAGAAAAAGAATCGCTAAAGATTCAGGAAAGACAGAACAGCAGGTACTCTCAATCAGAGTTTAAGCTTAGTTTCTGCAGATCTCAGACAATAAGAAGATTCTCAATACCGTTTTTTGTTGTTGTTGTTGTTGGTGGTGGTGGTTCAGGTGAGTGCACTTGTAGCACAAATCTTCCAAATGAGAGTAAAAATGAAGAACTTGATGGGAGTAATGGAAGGAGGATCAATTCCTGCATTAAGCGGTCTCGAGGACGCATTGAAAGCAGAACAAAAGGTTTCTTCTATTTCTTTTTCAATTTCTTTTTCATCTTTAACATATGACAGAGTTTTAATGGAATCTTGTCAATGTGTCTTAGGCTCCACCTGGAACTGCAAGGAGGAAGAGAAAGGCGGACTCAAGGAAGAAATTTGTAGAGTCAGCATCAAGCAAGCCTGGTCCTCGTGGCTTCGGCTCTGGTAACTAAAACTATTTCAGTCCAGTTTGGTTAATTTCAAAACGGATTATTTTTTTGTATAAGTTAATGAATGAGATATAAGAATTCATAAACGAGACAGAGACCTTATGAACTTCCTTGAAGTATATGATTAATCAATTTGTTGACAAAACTCATGATTATTTAGGTAGATATATATTGTTATTTAAATACCATATCATTAACCAATGTATACAAGGCTTTGCATAACTTATATATATAAGTTAGATTTTAGAGAGGAAAAAACATTGAAGATAAGTAAGAGTATCGTCAAGGGAAAAATATCTCCCCTCGCCTTGATGGAATATCTGTAGGTCGATCTTGTCAAATAACCCGCTCTTGAAACTCACTGTGATATCGGCGACTAGGCCGCGGTTTAAGATATAACCTTTTGGAGTAACAAGATCGTTGTTCAGCCATCCAAAGTTTGTGTCTAATGGCCTTCGAGCATCAACGATTATGACGTTGTCGTCTTCTTCCCAATCATCCTTATAAATGACTTCGCACTTGATATTTACACCAGTCATACTGGACTTTGACATTCCGAGATGGCTCAAGTTTTCGACTTGTATATGGAACCGATTATTGGAGCCAAACTCTAGCTCCGCACCAAGTTTCTTAAGTGCTAACATCTTTTCTTCGGTAGTTACATAAATGACAAAGGTGAGATCCGACATGGAGATTTTGGGTTTGGCAAGTTTCACTTCCTTAGCTCCGGAATGTTCTCCTTTTTTGGCCATGATGGGGGACTTCTCAATCTACTTTAATCCTCTCTCTTTTCTTTGTTTTGGAATGAGTTTATGTTATTAGCCATCCATATTTATAGTGTTACAAATCTTCTTTATATCACCATGATGAATCTCAATTATTACATTTTTTTTTAATTTGCATTAATTCTCATTAATTGGTAATTGGTTAATTAGTAATTTTTATAACAAAATATTGAATTCAATTGCTTTTCCGATATTCTCCTTTTCACATGCATATATTATTAACTTCCAAATTTATTGCTCATGGTTTGAACATTATGTACTACCTTATAATTTTTTTATATAATACATTATTATTGTATGTATTTATAGGTTTTAATTTTTTTTGTCAAAATATAATATAGAGTTTTACTTGGAATAAATAAAAATATATATTGAAATATGTAGATTTGACAATTATACTAGGTGGATTCTCGGCCATTCTGCACACATTTCCTGGTTCTATATTAGATACTAAAATAATATATAAATTTAATTTCTATAACAGAGAAAAAAAATATTATTTTCCAGATTTTATTTATGGTATTCTACTTTTATATATATATATCTATCTTTCTTTTCAGATTTTCTTTACGGTATTCTACTATTCTTATTGTTTATAAGTGTATTCTATTTATTTTCTTGCAAAATAATTGTTAGTGTTTAGATATTTAATAGTGTGTTCAATATTTTTTAACAAATATTTCTCAACACTTTTTTTTGGTTGACAAAACTCAAATCAATCTTTAGGGGGGTGTATTGAAGAAAGAATTTGGAGCGATTTGAGTTTTAATGAGTTTTGAGATGATTTTGGTGAATTATGGTGAATTAGGGAATTTGATATCAAAACTCTCTCAAATTCCACCTAAAACCATGGGATTTGGATATTTGAATTTTTAACTAAAATGTTCTCTGAAATCCCACCAAAAATCATTCAAGTCATTTCAAATCCACAACTTAAAATGTTTTCAATAACAGTGGATTTGATTGTAGATTTTAAAATCACTAATCCAATAACACTTGATTTTAAAAAGATTTTTAAAATTCATGTTTGAATAACATAGGATTTATCTTTTTAATACAAATCATTTCAAATCCTTTATTGAATACACCCCCCTTAGTGTATAACTAGGGATTGACCCGCGGTACACCGCGGGACTATATTTTCATTTTAAAAAATAATATATGTTTTTTTGAGAAAAGTCTATATATTTTTAAAATATAATAAGTATTTATATAACATATTTACATGTGTGATTAGAATGTATATATAGAAATCTATATAGTGTTCATTGTACAATTAGTATGTTGTATGTATGAATATTTTTAATAATAAAGAAAAATGAGATTACAATTTAGTAAGCAACAATGTACGGCGTGTGTAAATTACGTATCATTTTTTTGTGTTTGTTGTATATTTAAATAGTTTTGAAAGTGTGTAAGTACTTTATATATATATATATATATATATGTGTGCAAATATTTGTGTTGGTTTGTAAATTTGTTTATGGTTATAGATATTGAAATATGATATCTCTTCTATTTTTTTTTGTACAAAGGAAAAAAAAGTGGTGGAAGTGCAAAATTTTTTATGCATTATATCTGTAAAGATTTATTGTATTTATTTGTTATTTAATGTTTTAGACAAATAGGTGTGTTTATATTGTTGTCATAGTCATACTAATATTAGGCATGTCAATTAGGGCCAAAGTCCGCAGGTTGGCCCGGCCCAGCCCTGAAAAACAGCGAACTCGAACCTTTCGAAGTAAGCCCGTTTGGGCTAAAGAGTTTTTAGGACTTAGCCCGGCTGGGCTCGGACCGATCCGAAAAGCCTTTAAAAAAGATTTTGACTTTTTTTGTTTTATTAATATTATCGTTTAATTGAAAGATTTGTATAAAGATTTTTTTTAATAGAGTCTAAAACCCTAAACCTAGTTTTCTTGTGCTTTAAAGATTGACCCGCGGTACATCGCGGAACTATATTTTATTTAAAAAAATAATATATGTTTGTTTGAGAAAAATCTATATAGTTTTTAAATATAATAAGTCTTTATATAACCCATATACATGTGTGATTAGAATGTATATGGAAATCTATATAGTGTTAATTGTACGAAAAGTATGTTGTATGTTTGAATATTTATAAAAAAAAAAAATGAGATTACTATTTAGTAAGCGACGATGTATCTGCAATTGGCAAATACATCCATATCATCTACTTGGTAATATATTAAATCCTTTAAAGTAATATGCTAAAGATTACCATTTTTATAGGAAAGAAATCGATCACATTTATGTTTTCAAGACTAAAAATCAGATCCAAAACCTTCCTTATTTGATTTTTTTGTTTGTTATAATTGCATTATTTGATGTTTATATTACTTCTTTTACAATTATGGAAACCTCGCATTATCGGAAGTATACATTCTTTTATCTAGTTTTGGAAAATTTACTCTTTTAGACAAAATTCATGATTATTTAGGTAAAATTTTTATTATTATTTAAATATCATATCATTAACCAATGTATACAAATTGTACTTTTAAAAAATTTCACAGGCTTTGCATAATCAATAGTTAGATTTAATAGAGGTAAAAACATTGAAGATAACTAAGAGTATCGTCAAGGGAAAAATATCTTCCTTCGCCTCGGTGGAATATCTGAAGGTCGATCTTGTCCAATAACTCGCTGTTGTCACTCAGCTCGATGTCGGCGACTAGGCCGCGATATAACCTATTTGGAGCTAAAAGATCGTTGTTCAGCCATCCAAAGTTTGTGTCTAATGGCCTTTGAGCATCAAAGATTATGAAGCCGCCGTCTTCCCAATCATCCTTATAAATGACTTCGCACTTGATTTCTACACCAGCCATACTAGACTTGGAGATTCCCCTATGACTCAAGTTTTCGACTTGTATATGGAACCGATCATTGGAGCCACACTCTAGCTCCGCACCACATTTCTTAAATTCTTTCTCCGTATAATGATTGCAAGAAGATGATATCTTTTCTACGGTAGTTACGTAAATGACAAAGGTGAGATCCGACAAGGAGATTTTGGGTTTGGTAAGTTTCACTTCCTTAGCTCCGGAATGTTCTCCTTCTTTGGCCATGATCACGAGGGACTTCTCAATCTAATTTTAATCTCTCTCTTTTCTTTGTGTTGGAATGAGTTTTATGTTATATACCATCCATATTTATAGTGTTACAAATCTTCTTTATATCTCACCACAATGACTCTCCGTTATTTTTTTTTTAATTTGCATTAATTCTCATTTATTGTTAATTGATTAATTAGTAATTTTTATAACAAAATATTGAATTCCTATATTCTCCTTTTCACATATTGTATGAGTTTTATGTTATTCACCATCCATATTTATATTGTTACAAAATCTTCTTTATATCATCACCACGATGACTCTCAATTATTAGATTTAAAAAAAAAAAAATTGCATTAACTCATTAATTGGTAATTGATTGTTTTCCGATATTCTCCTTTTCACATGCATATATTATTCATTCCAACTTTATTGCCCATGGTTTGACCATAATGTATTAACTTATTATATTTTATTAATATACGTACATTACTATAATATGTATATAGGTTTAAAGATAAATTTAGTTAATATACATGGCTCAAGGAATAAATTTGTAGAGCCAGCAATAAGCAAGCCTGGTCCTCGATCGTGGCTTCGGCTCTGGTAAATAAAACTGTTTCAGTCCAACTTGGTAAATCTCAAAACGGATTATTTTTTTATTTAGTTTTAATTATTGAATATACGAAGAATTCACAAACGGGAGAGAGACCTTATGAACTAACTGGAGAAACCTTATGATTATGAACTAATTAACACAGTTAATAATTGGAAGAGAAAAATAGGGGATTGGTTACTTGTTCATAAGCACAACAACGTCTTTGAAGTAAATTTTGGTGACAAAACAAAGCTCATGATTATTTAGGTAGAAACGCATACAAATTGTACTATTTTTTTTAACTTTCATAGACTTTGGATATACATAATAATTAGTTTTTAGAGAAGAAAAAACATTGAAGATATCTAAGAGTATCGTCAGGGGAAAAATATCTCTTGTCGTTTTCGATGAATATTTCAAGGCTGATCTTGTCAAGTAAGTCGCCGTTTAAACTCACCTTGACATCGGCGGTTAGGCCACGTCTGATTAGATCTTCTGGAGCAGGAAGATCGTTGAACAACCATCGTAAGTTTGTGTCTAATGACCTTCGAGCTTTAACGATTGTGGCAACGTTTTGCCAATCTTTCTTATAAACGACTTCCCAAGTGATCGTTACATCACCCATACTGGACTTGGGCACTTCGAAACGGCTCAAGTCTACGATTTCTATTTGGAACCGGTCATTGTGGCTAAACTCGCGGTTCTTACCAGATTCTACAAGTGTTAACTTCTTTGATTTGGTTGTGTACACGCTTATGAGTTTATGACAAACATGAGATCCGACATGGAGATATTGGGTTTGGCAAGTTCCTTAGCTCCGGAGTGTTCTCCTTCTTCGGCCATGACCACCGGGGATTTCTCCATCGACTTTTAACCTCTCTTTGTTTTGGAATGGATTATATGTTATATATTCACCCTCCATAATTTATATAAAGTGGTACAAATCCTTATTGAATTAGGAATACTGGAACTAAATTTGATTGCAATAAAATATCTAATATAGAGTTTTCTTTTTGTCATAATCTAATACAGAGTATTAATTAGAATAAAATTAAAATATATGGAAATCTGTAGATTTAAAAATTATACTAGTGTATTATGGGCCATTCTGCAACACTTCATGGTTATGAATGACATGAATCCAACATTTCATATTAGGTGGATTAGATATTAAATCAATAAATAAATTTAATTACTATAATAAATTAATATATTTTCAGATTTTATTTATGGTATTATTATTTTTAGAGATTTATGATTAAATTTATTTATATATTTAGTATTGAATTTTTCTTATTTAATTTTAATCAGATATATAAAAGTGTGTTAAATACTAAATGGCCATAGAAAAGAAAAGAAAAAAGAAAAAAAGAGAATGTACGTTGCCACCAGTTTTTGGATTAGTTTTTAGATTATGATTTTGCAAAAATCCAAAAATTAACCATTCATGATTAAAAAAAAATAGAATTCTTAAAAACGTTTAATAATTAATATTATGTAGAAAAACTAAAAACTAAACAAATTACCATTCAAGATTTTCAAAAACTAAAATCTACACTAAAAATCGAAAACCAAAAAAATCAAAAACTAAAAACCAAAATCCAAAAACTAGAATCTAAAAACTAATAAAAAACTACCAAACATTCATGCTTTAATGTATGTTGTTAAAAGGGCTTTAACGGGCTTCGGGTTTTAAACTCATAAAAGGCCTCAGATCTTAGGGCATATGCAAGGGCATATCTTTGAAATTTGATCTTAAGGGAAAAATAATATTAAAATATTGTAAAAGCACTAATTAAGATCTTTTGTAAAGTAATTGATTATTGGTAGAACATGTTTAGATCATAAGAAATAATAATTTAATAATCAAAAACTTTAAATGTTTTTAAAAATTAAAAAAATTATATCTAAAATTGAAAAATTAAAAACTAAACTTATATTAAAATTGACTAACCAATAAAATACTACTATCTTATATATAATAATCCATCAAAGTTTAGAGTAACAAAAATGTCATGAGACTAAAGGTCTCATTAAAAAACATACTTGGATGATGAAAAAATGATTCACTATAATCTTAAAACAGACCTCTTTCATCGAGCTCCACAACATACGGAACTTGATCCAGCTTTCTGAACACAGATTTCGCGTTCCTGCAATACCTGTTGTCCAAACCACGAAAGGAAGCAGAAGAAAAGTAGAGATGATCATATAGGTACATGAGATCTCTCTGCATAACTCAATAAAGGCCAAAGAAAAAAGCAAAGAGAAGAACAAATACAAAGCACATTACTGAACCTAAATATCCTGAACAAAAAATCTAAGTAGATTTCAACAATAAATCTAGCTCAACAGAGAGATCCCAACCCAACGAATACAATACAAAAAGTAGAGCCATGTAGACAAGTTCATTGGATTCAAGTTATAATGTGAAGATTCTTAGGTTATGAAAGTATACACTAAGCGAGTCTTCACTCAAGTTTCAACTAGTAAGATCTAATATACAAAAAACGCAAATTGAAGTCATCCAAGATCCAATTTTTGTGAAAATCGAAGGATCAGTGATTGGAAATGATCAGAGAGAGAGAGAGAGAGAGAGAGAGAGAGAGAGAGAGAGAGAGAGAGAGAGAGAGAGAGAGAGAGAGAGAGAGAGAGAGAGAGAGAGAGAGAGAGAGTCATACGGGCAGTAGGATTTGGAGAAGATGACGATTTTGTGGGAAGAGATGGTCTTCTTAACAAATTCAGCTTATGGGGAAGAATCAGTAGAAGAAACCATAGAAATGGATGCAACAAGTGTAACAAGCAACACAGCCATCGAGATAGATTTGAACATTGTCATAGCTCCTTTCTTCTTCTTTTCACTCAGATGCCAATTGAGGACGATGATAACTTGCAAGATCAAACCTCCGAGACAATCACAACTCAAACAACACAAATCTGAGAAACTCATTATACAAGCAACAATTACTCAAATCTGAGATATAAATAGCAAAACTACAGTGTCCTTAATCACTAAAACCAATAACAGCAACACTACAATGACATCAAATCTTTGACTAACCAATAAAACACTACTATACAAACCACAACACCACTCAAATCAGGTGTTTCAAATCAGTTTCCAGCTTACTCATTCGACTGAAGTAACTTTAATCTACACTAGAATGAAATGCATGAACTAAAACACCATTCGATCCAACACAGAACCGAGTATATAATCAAAGATTCTAAAGACAACCATATACTCAAATCATAACCTCCGAAGCAATAAATTCTACTATGTGAAAAGAAGAAAATCTGAATCCCAACAACAGCTAACAGACGATCAAGCACAAATCTATCATCTCTGTAAGTTTCAAAATCTATCATCTATGTAAACCTAATTTTCTTCTAACATAACAAACTAATCCGAGCGATTTGGTGAAGCAACGAAGGCGAGAACACGTACCTAGGTGAAGCAGAGATCGATTTGGCTCTGATTTGGCCGGAAATCCGAGCGAAATCGGCGAAGCAACGAAGGCGAGAAAATTAGATGCAACACGATTTTTGTCCAAATGAAAAACAATTTCCGTTAACAAAATTCGAACCAATCCGCAGATGCCACGTGGCCATAAAAACGGGCTTAGATCAGTTCTAGTCCAAGACCACTTCTCATGTTCTTAATCCACTAGTCCAACATTTTATTATTTTTTTAACATAAGATCAGGCCATTAGTTGGCCCGATAAACATGGTCTTAGCAATCGCTTCAATTTTCGGTTTAGGTTCGGTTAAGAAGAAATTATCACCAAATTAGAAATAGAAGTTGATTCGTTTTGGTTCGATTCAATTTGTTTTGGAGAGAAATGTCATTTCTCCTCCGCTTAACACCGCCGCCGTGTCTTCTCATTCCTCCTCCGCCGCTATCTCACCGCCGGAGCTCATCTCTCTTTCTCAAGCATCCATTTCAACCATCTCCGAGACCTCTGAGCTCCGGTAAACCATCCGCTCTCCGTCTCCGAGCCAATACAACAGTCAATTCACTAAAACCCTTCGAAAATGTTAAACCCTATCTACAATCGGAATCTAAAACCATCCTCCTTGGCTGGCTCTGCAGCTGTGTCTCCGTTGTCTCGCTTTCTCAGATTGTTCCAAGGCTAGGCTCCTTCACCTCCAGCCTAAACGCAAACGCCGCGAGCTTGATGAAGCTCAAAGGCGAATGTCTCGTTTTGGCGGGTTTGGTTTTAGCTAAGGTTGTTGCTTATTATCTGCAGCAAGCGTTTCTTTGGGAAGCTGCTTTGAATACTGTTTACAAGATTCGGGTTTTCGCGTATCGGAGGGTTTTAGAGAGGGAATTAGACTTCTTTGAAGGTGGGAATGGGATTTCATCAGGAGACATTGCTTACAGGATCACTGCTGAAGCTTCTGAAGTTGCTGACACTATCTATGCTCTTCTTAACGTGAGTAGAAATGAAATATCATCACTTTGCAAAGAGAAAGTTTCCTTCTTTTCCAATTCACTGGATAGATTGTGTAGATGTTACTGATTTTAAGCTACATTATACTTATGGCAGACAGTTGTGCCCAGTGCTATCCAGATATTTGTAATGACGGCACATATGATTGTTGCAAGTCCTGCCTTGACACTAGTCTCTGCAATGGTGAGTGAAGACATTGTCTTTGTTTGTGGCTCTTTTGCTCCAGACTTCCTTATTAGGTTGGGTTTTCTTCTAGGTGATTCCATCTGTTGCGCTTCTTACAGCGTATCTTGGTGATCGGCTTCGTAAGATATCTAGAAAGGCACAGATTGCTTCTGCTCAACTTTCTACTTACTTGAATGAGGTATTCGTCTTTTCCTGATTGTTCTTGAGATACATTTGGTCTAGGGGAAATTACTAAAGCAGAGACTTTTATGTTTAGGTTCTTCCTGCAATTTTGTTTGTGAAGGCTAATAACGCAGAGATCTCTGAGAGTGTGAGGTTTCAGAGGTTTGCTCGTGCTGCCCTAGATGAAAATTTTAAGAAGAAGAAAATGAAGTCACTCATCCCTCAGATTGTTCAAGTTATGTATCTCGGATCATTGTCGATATTTTGTGTTGGAGCAGTGATACTTGCAGGCTCTTCTTTAAGCTCTAGTGCAATTGTGTCCTTCGTGGCATCTTTAGCTTTCTTGATTGATCCTGTCCAGGTAAATACATGTGTCAGTCTGGCATTCCATGCCTTTCCTCTATACTTTTTAATGTATAGAGGAGCTGTCTTATTGGGATTTTGAATCTAAAGAATCATGCAGGATTTGGGAAAAGCTTATAATGAATTGAAGCAAGGAGAGCCAGCGATAGAACGTTTGTTTGATTTGACCTCTTTGGAATCTAAGGTACTACACCCTATATTTTCTCTGATCTTCTCTTCAGCTTACACTCCTAATGATTTAGTTTTGTTTCTTTGCCTATCTCAAAATCTGATGCAAAGTGCTTCTGGCCCTGTTTTGAAAATTAGGTGATCGAGAGACCTGAGGCCATTCAATTGGAAAAAGTTGCTGGCGAAGTTGAGTTATGCGATATATCATTTAAATATGACGAGAATATGCTTCCTGTTTTGGATGGGTTAAATCTTCATATTAAAGCAGGAGAGACTGTAGCTCTTGTTGGGCCATCTGGAGGAGGAAAGACAACACTGATCAAATTGCTCCTCCGCCTTTATGAACCTTCATCTGGTTAGAAAGTCTTACTTCTTAACTTGTCTTTATCTGATCACAATGTTAAGAACCAACGATTTGACATCTAAGCACATGTTTGTGTCTGTTTTATTTTCCCCCTTGAATAGGCTCTATCTTCATTGACAAAAGTGACATCAAGGATATCAAATTGGAAAGTTTGAGGAAGCATGTTGGTCTGGTTTCACAGGACACAGTAAGTTCCAGTCCTCAAATAATACTCCTTTCATGATTTATCCCAAGATTTTTATAATGGTTCATCATAGTTACAGAACTTTTTCTGCACATACAAGACTCTGTTTTCAGGGACAATTGCTGACAACATTGGGTACAGAGATCTCACGACAGGAATTGACATGAAAAGAGTTGAGCTTGCTGCAAAAACTGCAAATGCTGATGAATTTATCAGAAACTTACCAGAGGGATACAACACAGGAGTTGGTCCCAGGGGTTCAAGCTTAAGCGGAGGCCAGAAGCAAAGGTGGGGTCTGGAAGACTGATTGTTTCATTTATTCTCTTCAGTTTGCTTACTGTCTTGTTATCATTTGGCAAATGTGCAGACTAGCTATCGCAAGAGCGCTCTATCAGAATTCATCGGTACTGATTTTGGATGAAGCAACATCAGCATTGGATAGTTTGTCGGAGTTGCTAGTCAGAGAAGCTCTTGAACGTGTAATGCAAGACCATACGGTAAAAAGCACACATCTGATTCTTCCATCCTAAATAACCTTTTAAGTGAATCATCACTGATAGTATTCAAAAACTTCTTGGTTCCATGGCTCTTATGTTTGCAATTACAGGTAATTGTGATAGCACATAGACTGGAGACAGTGATGATGGCGCAGAGAGTGTTCTTGTTAGAGAGGGGAAAGCTAAAGGAATTGAATCGCTCTTCTCTGTTAAGTACTCACAAGGACTCACTATCATCAGCTGGACTCGTCATTTAAGATCAATGAAGTAATGCTCAAGAGCAGGTAGAGAGACCAACTGTTGTGTAAATTAAGAGAAGATACAAGATTCCTCTTTGTATAAATCTTTCCATTATTGTTTAAAAATAGGATTAACAAATCACTTGTTGAGCTATAGAAGCCTACAGAGTTTTGTATCTTTCCCTAGTTATGCCTTTTGATACATAGCAAAACTTCTGACAGTATACATGTAATAAACAAAAGATCAAATTTGGTTTCTAATCCATATAAAGAAGATTGAGTCAATGATTCACTGTTTCACCATGAAGGAGCTTTTACAACTGCATCCACCCACTGCGGCCGGGTTTTCAGCTACCTGAGCACCAAATGAAAATCTTACATAAGGTTACTGAAAAACATACAGTTTCAAGATTATCTCTCGTCTCCAATTCAATAACACAGCGCACAAGGACGACATGGTACAGATGATAATGACGAATCTTAAGCTTATGGGATCCTATCAGCTCAGGCAAAACATACAAGAAAACGTCCATAGATTATCTAAGCAATGACGAAAACGGAAAGAGTCAAAAATGGTGACTATCGAGTCTCGAAAGATGAAAAAAAGAGGACTTTACCACAAAAGCAGCACGGATCAGTTCCTCGACATAATCAACCGTAGCACCTTTAACGAAGTCGTATGAAACATTATCTACAACCAATTTGACACCATTCTTCTCGAAAACCCTGCAATGTTTAAGAACAGCTATAACTGAGACAAGGAGAAACATGATTCTTCTAGCTTGAGGGAAGGCATAGTAATAGTAATAGTAAGACTTGGGGGTGAGCAACGTACCTGTCATCAGGATTGGTTCTATTATCAAGCTCAAACACATACTGGAAACCAGAACAGCCTCCCGTCTCTACGCCCAAGCGAAGCAGTTTCTTTTCCGGCTCACTAGATTGTAACTCTTTCATCCTCTGACAAAATGATAACAACACTCATAAAGGTCAAGAGAAGGAGCAAAACAACAAACAATGTCTGCTTCCAACAATCTTAAATAGGTAAGTCGAAGGATCCAAAATGTTTTAAACAATAGAAATCTTGCAGAAGAGCAGAAAGTTCAAAGCTTTGAGAATGACAGAGGAGATATAACATATACAATTCAAGCAATTTAGAGGTAGAAAAGTTTCTCATTGTTTCCATTTTTGCAGAAACCGTGAACTATGATGGATGTTCGAAATAAACAGAATATTTGTTTTAAAGTTTACAACTTCATTGAAAAAATCGTCAAATTAGAGCAAAATCCAATAGAAATCAATTTCATTAAAACCTAGGTATCGGATTACAAATAGATCAATTCAAAGCATCAGATGCCATACCCGGATACAATTGTCGCTGAGATGGACGACATCAATAGAAGACGATTCAGATTGGGAAGAAGAAGAAGAAGAAGCTTCTTTGAGAGCAGAAGCAGAAGAAAAATTAAGCAATCGATGATTTTCTCTTATCCGACCAACCAAATAAGGAGCAACGCGTTTCACCAGAGATCTCGACATGATTTTAAAATCCTTCAGAACTTTTTCTCTCAATCTCTTTCTATGAGTTTTTCGCCATTGAAGACAAAAAGTTTTAAGCTTTCTCTGGAAATTTTCTTCCTTGGTGACGACGGACGGAGGGAGGCAAAAGAAAGATTGGTCTTGTGAAGACCACGCTACTTTTAGCATCCACGTCATCTATTTCTTTATTGCTCCCACTATTTTTAAGCATTTGCCAAATTGGCCCCATTAATCCGTTTCAAATCAATATCGTCCTTAAATTGCAAATTAATAATGGGTAATTCATCAATATTCTCTACAAAGTGAAGAGGAAGATAATACATTGAACTTTTCTTATGACCAAGAATTTGGACTTTCGTATATACAAATTACTGTACATAATCTATCGTTGCATTTGTAGTATCTCTCAGGAACAAAAGCAATACTTAGATCTCCTGGATGATATAAACAAGACCAAGCTTGTTGTGTTAAGGTGCAGCACAAAATGGTCTATTACTTCTAGAGCTTAAGAGACCTATAAAACCAATTATTTTCTTTGTCTCAGAGAGAGGAAGAATGTCTAAATAGTATGTACTATGGCTTGTGTCATCCGCTTGAACTCGAGCTCCCATGTATGTTTTTTTAAGTTGTTGGGATAGTTCTGTGTTGCGGATGATGTGTGAGCTGCTACGTAACTTAGCATAGAACAGCAAAAGGTCACAAGTCCCTAAAATTCAAATGCAAAATTGGATGAGGTCGATTAAGAGATGTACATGATTCATATAGAACCATTATTAGTAGTTGCATTAAGGAAATGTGAAGCTGTTTCATTCACTTACTAGATTTCAGTTTTCAATCCGATTTTTCCAACTCTTTGAATCTTCTGTCCCACTCATCTGTCTCATAGTTTTGTTCCATCATATCTCTATCTGTACTATACACGATCCGATCCCTCCCGATGACTGTATTTTGAGCCATATCCCTTGCACTTAGTAGCTGCATTGCATCATTTAAAGGAGTTATTTCATAACTCTCAAGTTATAAGAAAAAACATACATATATATACATATATATATATATGTATATATATGTGAAGTTTCGAGGAAAAGAATCCAAGAAATGTGCTTTAATCTGGCTGGTGCTAGAGAGCACGATAAGAGTCACATAAAGCAATCACAAGTGGGTAATCACATAAAGAGATCTCCCACAGATATGCAGGCATCATAGAAGATTTAGAACCTGACCCTTGATGTTAGTTGGCAAGGGTTTACCCACTAATGGAAAATGTAGGCAAAGCTATCTCCTCTTAGGAATATAGAGCATGCTTGGGCGTCGGATTACTGATTCTATTTAATGCAATCAACAGAAACCAAATAAACATCTCCCTAGATTTATGTTACTACTGATGTGCCTACCTTACGCCGTAGTGCGATATCTGGAGATTCAAGTGCTCGTGCAAATTGTAACCGAGCTTTGTTTCTGTTCTCTATCTGATTATTCTTTCTCTTGATTGAAAACCACCGAACCAAAGGGATGGCAAAGAATGAACCTGCGTATATCTGCATATTCGTTCGCACAATCATGAATGAGATCAATATAATTAGTTCAAAAGGTTTCAAACAAAGACCAGTCATCTGGATAACTGAATTACGAAAACATTAAGAACTTGTTTGTGTCAGTAATCATGCTTAGAAACAACCTTATGATCATGTTTAAAGCAAATACGAAAAACCAGAATCAGGAAACAATTTAATAAAAGTAGTTTGCCATATCAACAGAAACTAAATCATACCTGAAGCAGTGGATATATGTTCTTAACAAATGTAAGAAATCCACCTGGCCTGACAGCCATCTCACTGGAAACGAACACAAAAACAAGGTTGCGTTAGAAATTTATATATACACACTAGGGAATATAGGTAGAGTATAAACTAGGAGGGGCTTACTTTAGCAATGTGTTTAGAACAATAACACCAAAAAGATTAACCGCACCTAGGCCAATGACTAATGCTCTCTCGGATGTACTTGTTTTACTGTGAAGAACGAAAATTTCATTATCAGGAAGTGAACCACAAAAGCAATTAAAAAAACTTCTCATATTTGTAAGATATTAAATTCCAGGAGCAAACAACGATAAGAACCTAAATTGCCATTTTTTCTCCTTGAAGAATTTCTCCATATCTGCAACCCAGTCAAACCATTTTCCCACATATTCTTTTCGTCTACTAGATCCAGAAGCTGTACGTTGCAGGGACGGAAAGCGATACAGAATATTTCCCTATGCAGCAGGAAATCATTGTTAATAAAAATGACCAATGAAAACGTTGCAGATCATGCACATTTGGGCATCACATTTCAAGCAACCAGAAAAGAGGATTGGTATACCTCGTCATCCAACTCAGGTTGACCATCAAACCGAAGAAGAACAGGTAGAATGTAGGATTCATCGTTCTGTAAACATCAAAAAGAAAACTTGAGAAGCTAGATAGCAGCATAACAAAATTAGTTTCATTAGCTCCCTTTGCAAGAAACAATAAGCAAAACATACCATAGCACTCTTTGAAGATGGCACATCAAGGTATGGAGCAAGTTCATCAGCTGCAACAACACCTCCTCTAGAAGTTATGTACTGCCCAATCTGAGAATATGTATCAAAAACGAGTAAATTACTAATACTTCATTATATGAGCTGATGTACCAGTACCTTTTAAACTCATAACCTTTAAAAGAAGATTTATAGGAGTAAAAAAAAGCATTTTACTACATTTCTTTTCCTTTAGATATGTGGAAAGTAGTCTTCTTATTGAAAAATAAAAAACATCATCGAATATGTCTCCAGATCTAGAAATTGAAGAAAAAACATGAGTATATTCAAGTCCTGCACGTTACCATCTGCCATCTCTCTTCTTCGATTCCTTGATTTGGGTCTCCATCTCCAAATACAAACGAGAAAACCTAGAGATGAACCCTCACTTAGTTCAAGCCATTATCACTCATAAGCAGTGAAGGAAGAAACATTTAGCAAAGCATGAAAGCTCTTAAGTTCAATTTCTACTTACAGATTCAATGAAATTCATTCCCTTTCCTTCGTCTTCTCGAGCTCGTCGCCTGTTGTAATAATTGGGATCCCAGTACCTTACATAAAAACACTAGAATATGACTAGGAGGTTCCGTTAAATCAATTATTGATCTGTTCTATTGGCTGAGAGTAGAAACCTTTAAATCAAGAAATTAAAATTACCAAAGCAGATCGACAGGGTTGATATAGAAATTGAATCCAGAATCATAACCGCGCCCGCGTCTTCTTTGACGATTATCATCATCGCTTTAACAAAATCCAAAAAGGTTAGTGCAAAATCCAAACCAAGACCGGAGTCCATAATGATAATATATCTTGATAACACGACAACTTAATTGCAGTCAAGTGAAACACATACCTTCTGCTTGAAAGTAGGGCTATAATTGACGTGTAGACGATAACAATAGACGCTATAAGAGCCGTACCAAAAGAAACACGAGCTAAATAGTCTATAGCACCCTGCCAGGCACATAACAGAGCTCAGAACATTCAAGTTCAAAGCAATTCATTGTTAGAAGGAAATAGATAAATCAAAACAAAAAGACACTACCTTTGCTTTTTCAAGATATGGTTCAATTTGTATCCTTAACGACTTGGCAGCCAACTTAGTTCGATAGTCCCTTGGAAAAACATAAAGCACATCACCTTCATCCGACACCTGAATCAAGAAAACATTTCATTGAATTTAGCACCTTTCACACAGCTCAAACGAAACATGAATCGCGTAAAGATCAATACTTTACATCAGAATCTCCTCAAATCTTCGCAATGGAGTTGCTCAAGTTCAATCTACACTAGTCTCATGACAACTATTCAAATTCCTAATGTATTGTTGTTTTCGTACTTTATAAAGATCAATACTTTATATCAAACTCTCCTCAAAGCTTCCCAATTGAGTTAATGGGCATGAAATTGAACTAGCCAATACCTCTAAAAACCCATCAGTATCAGCCGCAAGAGCTTGAAGTGCTGTCTGAGCTTCAGTAACCTTCAAGCCAGCTCTACTAGCAACATCACCAACAGTGACTCTCCGGCCACACTCATCCACCGCATCCATCGCTCGTTTCCGTACATCAGTCGGCAACTTATCACTCTCCACCAATCCTCCTGGTTTGATTGCGCCGCTAACCTTATCTAAACTCGCAGCCTTCACCAACGCGATTCCATGGCGATTAAACTTCCGACGAGTGCTCACACACCTCTCCGTTAAGATTCCGGGGAAAGAGTAACGATCAACGGGAGATCTGAGCCGAATCAAAAAAGGCTTCTTTGATGATAAACCCACCTGAGTTAACCTAGGGGATAGGATTAAGCATGTCGATACACACGCCATTCTATAAATTACAAATCTTTATCTTCTTCGTCTTCTTTAGTTAAGACTTCGATTTTCCGCCATGGAAGAGGATTTATATGGTTCAAAATCGAAGCTTTTGCCTGGAAAAAGTGATGATTATCTCTCTCCCACGACGATAGAGCAGCATAATCCAAAACCGAATCAAACCAATCCGTACGGCTCTTAATCTTCCGGTTAGACTATCTTAAACCGGAAACGGTCCAACATAGAGTGGTCGTTTACCAAAACACATTACTTTCTTTGTTAACTATAATCTTATACTGATGCAGAGATTTAAATTTGAAGAAACATGACCAAGAAACTAATTAAGGCTGGATCTGAAACATATGCTATATACTGTATTATTAAGTGCATATAAATTTTTGTTCATTTTATATTTAATATGGTTGGTACTTTTACTTTTGAGTTCTTCTCATTCCATGGCAAAACATGGATGAAATTTTCATTTAAATTTACTTGGAAAAAAAAAAAAAAAGATTGACTTAAAAGCTCATAGTGTCATCATCAATATCACTCAGTCATTTTCTATAACATAGCTTCAAAGCTTATATACAACAAAACCCAAAAACAATTTTTTTCCTTGGACATAGCTCAAGACTGTTTTTTGTGTATATATATATATATATATATATATATGATCTATCTGTTATGTTCTTCTGAGACTTTCAGATTCGGGTATGCTATCTAACGCAGGTCTCCAGCCGCTATTACACTCATCAAGATCATCACCATCATCAGTTAGCAAAAGTTGTTTCTCGAGAGTCTGGTACATCATCTCATGGACCGACCCTCCTTGAAGTAGCTTCTCCAACTCTTGCTTATGCACAACGATCTTCATTCTCACAACAGTTACGTTCTTGTTGTCATCACCATCGATCTTGCTGTTGCTTTCACTAGTATCTTCTTCTTCACTTAGTGATCTTTCGTCGTCTTCCACCTCCGGATTTGCAAACGTCACTTTCTTGTTGACCTTCTTCTTGTTCATTGTTGAAGGCAGAAGATAATAGAGACGACCAGAGAGAAGCTTAGCATCAGGCAGAAGCTGAGTGTTGTTGTGAGAGAGAGAGTGACCAGAGAATTGAGTGAGGATGTGATGAACATTAATTGGTTCTCTATATTCAAGTACCTTCCCATCATTTCTCACTATCTTTATCACTTTCTTCTCCATTACTAAACAGTTCCCCATCTTCTTCTTCTTTTTCTTCTTTTTCTTCTTTTTCTTCTTTTCTTACTTTTTTCTCTTTCGTTTTTCTATTGTTTGCTTGGAGATTTGTGTTTGTATATTTATAAGAGTTTTGGGATTTCGTTAGTGCCATTATATCAGGTGGGACCTGTTTTGATTTTTCTCTCCTTGCCCTTTAATATTTTATAGTGGGTGGGGTGGGGTGGTGTGGTCGGGGTGGTGCATTTTGTTCATTACTCAATGTATCCTTTATATGATTTTTCCTTTTTTATTACGAAAATTGAGATTGAGTTGGCGGTGCAAGTGTACAAGATGATCTTATTAAATTACGGCTTATGTCTTGTGTGCTTAGTAAGTTAGAATCATCATGATCCCAAGTTGTTTCCTCTTTGATATAATGATCTCATACATGTAAGATATTTATTATTCTTACTTTGTCAAAAAAAAAAGATATTTATTATTCCTAGTATACATATATTTGAAGAAATTATTTGGTACGAAATCAAATCCAAAAAAAGTCATGGTAATTTACTTTAGTAATTAATATTCATTCGTCAAATATCAAAAACGTATCCCCTTAGATCATGTTCAAATACTCCACCACGGACAAATCATAAACACTATGGATACACTTGCAATTGCATGCCCATACTAAGATACAACATGGGCTTACAATACGTTAAAATCTCACATACAATACTACGTATGCACGCGGATATTATTGAATGCGTATGCCATGTTACTTTAAAATTTTATGATATTGTTGTTATTATTTATATATTTTAAACGGATGATAATTGTGGTTTAGATTTTCATATTATAGCTAGGTTTCCCCAAATAAATTGGTATGAGATAAAATCCAATTTTATTAATGTTCATGATCTGAGGAGATGTAACTCGATTTAGTTTACTAACTCGCGACGAAGAAAAGTGAATGTTACTTTAATAAATGAGTGTGATTACGACATAGAGGTGAAACTAGAAGATAAGAGGTATAGCCGTACAGGTGTATGGTCATCACAAGCTATTAAATAATAACTTTAATAAATAAAACAGGTAATGGGTGGGTATATTTGAACTATCTAGGGTTTTAATTAAATGTTTATGACTTTTTGATACAGTGCATGGTTTCATCTTAATAGGAAAGAAAAAGCATGACATTGAATTTTCCTTACAAACGTAAGGTATTATTGAATGCGTTTCCTAGCTCTCTTATAGTGGTGGTGGCAGAAAAACTGTTTACATACAGTATCTCAATCGGTGGAATTTGTTTTGGAAAACTTTGACCAAGTCCTAAGTATTCGTTAATGATTCAGACAATTGGTTATTAGATAAGTTTATTCACATATTCTTTAATTTAATTCCTAAAGTCGTTTTGCACAATAGTAAAATTATATTTACATAATTTGTATGTGGTTATTACACATTTGGATATATATGTTTATTAATATTCTTTACATTGAGATTATTAAAAAAACTTCCTAGTGGCAACTCACCATGCTTGTCCCATGTCCAAAAGGTCCACTAGATTTGTGGGGATACACTTTGATAAGAACCAAATACTATAAAATCAATCAAATCGGATTGGCGAGGGGAGTTAGGTTTCTATAAAACCGAAGAGGTTGACTAGTTCAAATGAATCTAAGCATGTTGGTTGATTGCTACTCTGGCTTAATTGAGAATATTGTAAGAATTTCAATTACAAAAGATTCGACAAACTCAAATTTAATGGAAAAGAAAAAATCATATGCATGTATGTCTAACCTAGGAAGTTATGTTATAACGAGAACAGATTTTCTTCTTCTTTAAAATTTAAACTAAAATTTGTACCCAAGAACATCAAGAGAAACAACAACAAAAAAAACAATAAGAGCGTACATAGGTGGTGAATGCAATGCACTAGTTTTACAGGTAATGATCACGGACTTAGAAAATAGTGTTTTTAATATTGATGTCATTGTCTCTAATTTGTCACCACATATATTTCCTAGGAAAAAAATTGTTTTCAAAGAGCATACGCAGCCCACATTCAAAGGCCAAATCAACAAATGATTTGCTTCGGTTCACTTTTGAACATTCAACTTTCTTTTTTACAAATCTTTTTTTTATTCTTTTAATGTTTTTTTTTGGTTATATATTATGTTAATTTTCTAGAGTAAGAGGATTCATGTAATTTACTATCCATTAATCCATTATACATTATACACTACCCTAGCAAAGGTATATATCTCTATAAACAAACTATATTCAAACTATTTAAAACTACTATTCAAACTATGTCTACGCACTCCATATATAAATTGGAGTATATAGACACATACAAACTTTAAATCATGTATAGGTTAGCTAGTATATTACAGTAAAACGCTAAATCATGTGCGCATAAATCATAGTATGTAATTCAACTTAAGAAAATAATTAAGTTATATGTTGTAAGTTGTACGTAGAGTTTGTAACGAAATGAGTTTACCCGAAAAGAAGCAACATAAATCCAGATAAGGATTACTATAAATGACAATTTCAGTCAAGATTGAGATTCCATTCTCATTCTCTTTTGGAAAGTACAGAGCCCTTTTTGTGATGCCTTTTGGACAAAACACGAAGTGACGAAGGCAAAAGGAATTTAGATTTCTCAGCCTTTAGTTCCCATGCTTTTGGTCGGCTCACGTGCTACGCTCCAGCAAATCTACTTACAACACGTGGCAGTCTTCTGTTGGAAGGCACCGTCCAAAGACCTCTTTTTCGAAACTATTGCTTTTTTTTTTTTGGTACAAGAAACTATTGCTTTTGCTTCCAAGTTTTACACGATGTCTTCGTCTTATAATTATGTCGTTATAAGGGAAAAATGTAATTTAAATCATCACTTTACCATTTTCGTTGGTTTAAATGATGAATTATAGTGCTGGTGATTTAAAACTTTAATTTTATGTTAATTTTTATTTTAATCATAAATTTTCACTAATAAAGCCAATTGAAACACATCATCGCTAACTGGCTAAACGGATCAATAAAACGATGTCATCGCATAATTTTTCTTCTACAAACATCATCTTTCTCTTCGTTCGATGCTCCGTTTAGCCAGTTAAATCACCAGCTCCAGAGTTGGCAAATGGATATAATGTTTTCCCTTGACATTTTTCCCTTTAAAATGTTTTCTTCCTGTCTTGAAAATGGATTATAAATTTTCCAACGTGAATAGAACCCGTGAGGAAGGTAATTATGATCAGTTTCATTCATAATTTTTGACGTCATTTTCTTTTTGTTTGGGCCTTGGCAAATTTAGTTTTCGACTTATCAACATTCTGCCGCATTTTTTCACTTGTTTAGTTGCTACATTTTGGGCCGAATTTTGTTTTGTTTGTTTGTTGTGTGTGTCTAGCGATTGTTATAGGAGCCGCGTTGTCACTCGTTCTACTAGGCATTGGGCGCTAGCGCTACTATTCTCTACGCTCATTCACACGCGCTTCTCTTCTCTATGCTCACTCACACACACATCTATGCAGCCTATACATTCTCTACTAGATATACATTCACATCCTATACATACATCTATACATTCACACCCTAATCATACACATCTGTACATTCACACCCTAATCAATCATCTACATACATGCATCCATGTGTCTTAATCCGGAAAGAAAAAGGAAAATACAAAAATTGCTACTACATACACAGTCTGGTCAATTTTAAAGGCTGGCAAAGCAGAAGATGGAAAATGCTGGACATCCCAAGGCTTTGTTTTCCCTTCTTCAACCCACCCTCTGCGAAATTAAATAATCAGAATCAATTTTCATTACAATCTTTAACCAAAAAAAAATCATCATAACAATCTTTAACCCAAAAAATTCTTCATTACAATCGTTTTGTTAATTTTGGTACATGCAGCATATATATACATAAAAATAAAAAAAAAAGCATTTCAGTCAAAACCCATTCTGTCTTTGTTTTTCATAGAAAATAAAAACTTCGTTCTATGTTTTCTTAGACAGAACATATATATAGCTCATTTCAACAGCAAAATCTGGCTAAAAAGTTCTGTCAATTAAAGACACATATATAGCTAAAAATCAGTTTGTGTCATAAAGCATTTAAATTTTAAGTTCAACTTCATAAAAGATGTTTAAAAGATGAAGACATGTATATAAACTAACAAGAACCATTTAAATGGTAAACAAACTAGAAGAATTAAGACCAGAGTATAATTTACCTTGTAAGAGGATGCTTTATGTTTTGTTTCTGTCGGCTCATGAGAAATGTAGATAAGTTTGAGTGACAGCTCCTCAAGTGGAATCACAGAACTAAGAGAAGTAAAAAAAGATTGTATTCGACATTTGTAAGAAATAAAACCAAGTAAAGACGATTCAGATTTCTGATTCAAGAAAGGAGTATTTATAGAGAGTCATTATCTGATCTTTTTCCAATAAAAATACTATATTTTCAAACGGTAAGAAAATGTTACCGTTTCAACAACGTTCATATTTTTCCACTGTCCACAAGTCAAATCAAACTAAACGTTGGAAAAATATTGGAAATCGTAAACACACTTATGACCCTTCTATTCGTTTACCGAGTCAAAATCTCCGAAAGCTTAAGGCCCAAAAGTAAGGCCCATTATGTGTGATATAACAACGTTAATATAAATAAATTTAATTAAAAAAAAAATTAGAAGAAGAAAAATCGATGGCGGGGATACTAGTGAACAATATCCTCCCTCAACCTCCGATTCTCCGATCGGTTTCTTCTTCGCGAAGAAGTTCAATTCGAGCCCTAGTTATGGTTAAAGCTTCCTCAGAACCTTCCGAGTCTATTTCGGTGTCCACGAAGACCAGTGACGACACTGGAGCTGTTGTGTTCACTGCTCCTCCTGGTTTCAAGCCACCAGAGCCGAAACGCTTCGCCGTCAAATCCGGAAAACTATTCGATGTCTTTGGTGCAGCAATTGGATTGTTTTTCCGATTCGGCACTGGGGTTTTCGTTTCTGGGTAACTGTTCCTTTCTCTTTTCCCCCAATTTTGTTTCTGGGAGTTTTGAGCTTGAATTGAGTGTGTGTATAGTCGTATTGCTACTTTGTATACTTGATTTAAATCGATCCATATGCAGCAATTTGATTTGATTTTTTCGAATTGTTCTTGTATTTTGAGTAGGTACTCTGCATCTTTCGTGTCTAAGGAAGAGATTCCAGCTGATCAGTATGCCTTGCGTTTAGGCGGTAATCATGAACAAGTTCTATGCTTTCACTTTCTGTTTCTAGTGGTTTAAGTTATTAGAGCGGATTTTGATGCATATGTGTTCAGGATTACTAAAAGTTCCCTTCAAAGCTGTGGTCTTTTTTGTTTTGTTTCAGGGGAGTTTGTGCATAAATGGTAATCATAATGGTTGATGATGTGTGTAGGGATCACGGTAAAGGAAACCGCTAAGGTCGGGCCTCGTCCTGAGAAACCCATTGAGATATATGAGTTTGAAGGGTATGTATATATAATGACTCTGTGTTTGATTGTTCATTTAGAAACATTTGGTTTCTGTTTTCTTTTGATATTGAATGAATGATTTCTTTTTCTCCATTTCCGATATGTGATTGAAGCTGTCCCTTCTGCCGGAAGGTAAATGCTTTCTTCTTTTTTACTTAATCAATGTCATTGTCTTAGATGATTCACAATTAGCTAGGATTCTGAGGATTTTATTTTACTTATAATCTTTGCTTGATACCATGAAAATAAGTTGTTGAATCTTGCCCAGTGATCATTTAGCTTTTGCTTCTTCGTTTTTTTCTGGTTCCCCTTAAACAAAATGTATATCTTCGTAGTTATCTTGATGTATTGCTACAGCTTAGTAACTCTACTAATATGAAGGATTTTGCAGGTCAGGGAAATGGTTGCAGTGTTGGATCTTGATATTCTGTACTATCCTTGTCCAAGAGGGAGTCCAAATTTCCGCCCGAAGGTTAAACAGATGGGCGGAAAACAACAGTTTCCGTACATGGTTTGGCATTTTACCCTAGTTGTTTTCTATTTCTTTGTCATTCTTACCACAAAACCCATTCTTAGAAGTGATTGTCTTTGCCTTGATATGGAGTTCAAATTCATGATGCGTTAATCACAGAAATGTGGTTCAAGAAGCCATCTATAAATGCTAATTCTTTGGAACGAAAGTGTTGCAATATAAAGTTATTTTTTTTGTTCATGAACTGTCAAAATCCTTAGAATTCCCTTTTAACTTTCATGCTAATATTCACAAATAATATTTAAAACTCTTTCTGTTACCTTGCCACCACTTTCATCAGGAAGAAATAAGATTTTGATGTTGTGTTTAATTGTATAATTTTGCTTTAACTATAGGTTGATCCCAATACTGGAGTGTCCATGTATGAGTCAGATGGAATCATCAAATATCTATCTGAGAAATATGGTCGGTTTCTGCTTATGCCTGATTCTGCTTCTATTTACCAGATCCTTTTGTGGATAACTGGTTATCGACAATCGCATCATCTTTGCCATCGTCTACTCATTTCTGTTGAACTAATACCTTTTTTCTCTGTTTGGTTGAACTTATTCAGGAGATGGAACAGTTCCTTTAAGTCTGTCACTTGGTGCTTTAACGGTTAGTTTCTTTGTACATTTTGCAGTTGCTTCAGAATCCAAGAGTAATACTAACATTACTACTTTGATGCTGTAGGCTATAACAGCTGGCTTTGCAATGATTGGTCGTATGGGAAAGGTAAGAAGGAATTCAATTACATTCTTTTGACATATTTTCTATAAAGACAATGTCAAAAAAAACTTGTAAGATCTAATGCTTCTCTACTGAAGAGTATGCTATAAATATGGTTAGGTAGCATCACATCCTGATACAGTAATTGAAATTCTAGTATGAATACTATGTAATATACAATATCGGTAATCGGTATAAGCCACGGTTTTTTGTCACAATATATTTGTGTTTCTACCATGCAGGGTAACTTGTACACACCAGCAAAACTACCACCTAAGCCTCTCGAATTCTGGGCATACGAGGTTTTGATCTCATTACTCTCTCTCGGTCATTAAATACTGAATCTTATTTGCAATGAAGATGCATCTTTGTTTGAATTTCCCTATAGGGTTCCCCATTCTGCAAGCTTGTGCGCGAAGTTCTTGTTGAACTGGAGTTACCACACATTCAGCGCAGGTATGGCAACAACAAAAAGAAAACTCTTAGACCAGTGCCACAATCTGTTCTTCATATATTTGTTCAAAACCCAAGGAACAAAGTTACAGTCTTTTATTGATATTACCCTGTTTTATTTGTTCTTTTCCATCAGTTGTGCTCGCGGTAGCCCTAAACGGCAGGTATTGCTCGAGAAAGCTGGTCACTTTCAGGTGGGTTAGAGAAATACATACATAGAGAAAGAGAGAAGAAGGTTTGAAGTAAGTTGAAACTAATGAGTTGTGTTATGTTGTTACAGGTGCCTTACCTGGAAGATCCAAACACTGGAGTTGCTATGTTTGAGAGTGCAGAAATTGTAGAGTATCTCAAGCAAACTTACGCTGCTTAAGTTTTCTTCTTCCTCACTCTATACGTATAGATACATGTTAATTGTTGTGTGTATGTTCAGCTACTTTCTGTTCCAGCAATAAACTGACTGAAATCAGTTATGTGTAGGGTTTAAATGAAGAAATGTACTTATATATAAGTAAAAATATTGTGACAAAAATCCTCCAAGTTTTGGGGATCTTCGTAGAACACAATTTGAAGGTGATCCATCATCTTAAAACTGATTTTTTTTTTTTGGGGGGTAAAATATATCTTTAGTTTTTACTTTTTACTAAAATAAAAATAAAAAACAAAGAAACTCATGGGATGGATGAAATGAGACTGAAAGAGGCACATGCTGGTTGTCCGAGAACTAGAAGTGGTCCGAGTCCGACTATATATGATTACAAAAGTCTATCAACACATTTGGTGTGGTCCGTTTATTTTAAATTTTGATTTGGATGGTCTTTTGTTTCTTTTTCTGTGTCTTTTTGTATATAGATTTTGTCAAAATTAGTTATTTAACAAATAAACTAAAAATCGGAAATTCAAATCTAAAGTTTCAAAATATGACCCTATAAATTGTTTGTTTGTTGTTAGTGGTTGAATTGTGTCGTTTTGTGCACTTTAGTTACTTGTTATGGATAATGTTAGTTAATTTGCTTGTTATGATTGCATTTTTATCGATATCTTAAGCTTAAAAAAATCCAATTTATACATAAATGGAGGGAAATATAGTTGTGCCAAAATTAGTAGGGTCAGGAAATAACGATTATCAAAAACTAATATTTCTTTGTACTTATATAAATTCAATTTATTGTTGTGGCTCATAAAATTCTATTTTAAAACTAATGCCTTTACAAAAAGGTAGACTGGAAAAGGCTAAGCACGGTTTGTTTCTGTATGGTGTCATTATGATTCAGATATGCAATTTTCTGTTATTATTATCAATCTTTTACTTTAAAGTGCAATCTTTGGTGAGGGTATTGGTCTAGATTTCTATTTTATTTATTTATTTTGAAATAAGCATGTCCTCCTTTAATCCTCGATAAATTTGTCCCTCTTTAGTAAAAATAATAATAAAACTATTATTACATGTAACTTATTTATTTGCATCCTTACCTTTACAATGTTTTTCGATAATTATCAAATATCGTCGATATTGAGAAGGCACAAATTGTTATATGTTTATTATATTAAGTAATATTTTAAGTAAGTAAGCTTTCAACAATTTAACCAAAAATATTTCAACAATTTTTACATATAAGTATGTGTAAGTTTATAATAAATAATTAAGAATGGTCAACTTTTGTAATTCAATATATAAATTCGTAAGAACAGGTAAAATTGGAAAGCGTTTAACGTTCGCTTAACGTACAATAATAGACCGTTGCAGTCTGCAATTGAAAGAATCTAGACAAAGAAATAAAAGAGTCCAAGGGTAAAAACGTAACAAACGCATACGTTAGGGAGAAAATTGAAATAAATTAGGAGTTTAAGTAGGGCTATTCAGAAACTTTTTAAGATATTACGGTAAAAACGTAATAAAACATAAAGATCAGGGGCTTCCGACAAAAATCTCTCGATCCACTTACACTTCCACAATGTCCGTTCGAAAATATGACCGTTGAAAGTAATTAAATTTTAAGAAAATAAAAACAAAATAACTTCTCTCTTCTTCTTCTTCAATCTCTCTGTTCTTCCCAAAAATAAAAACTTTCCTCAGTAAAAAAAAAACGAGACAGAGAGAGAGAAATGGGTTGTGTTTCTTCGAAACTAGGAAAGAAGAAACTCATAAGAGAGATTAGAGTCAACAATGGCGGCGATCACATTGTCTCACTTACTTCAACTACTTATGGTCATCTTGATCTCGATGAACGAGCAGAGACTTCTCCTAAGTCACTGGAAGTTACTAAAGGAGAGGTCTTTGAGTCTGAAATCAAAGCAAGAAGATCAATACAGAGAGATGATCCGGAGATTATCAATACATGGGAGCTTATGGAAGATCTTGAAGATTCAATGCACGTTTCTAATCCACAGAAGATTAGTCCCAAATCTCGTGGTATTTTTGGTAAATCATGGAAGACTCCGGTGAAATCGGTTGTTGAATCTCCGAAGAGAGGAAGTAGTAAGAGATTTGGAGGGAAAGAGAACAGAGGAGGTAATAACTCGAGAGGTGTGAGTCCGAATCAGATTCTGAAGCCTAAGAACATTCTTGAAACTCCGAAGAGAGGAGTGATGCGTTTGAGTTTTCCTTTGAAATCTGAAGAACCTTCGGTGGTGATTACGCAGAGGAGGAAGAGTTATAGTCCAATGTTTGATCCAGATCTTGTGGCTTCTTACGAGAGAGAGTTGTCTCAAGAGCAAGAACAGATCAAGATGGTGATTTCTCCGGTGGTGCATGAGAGCAGAAAAACAGAGAAAACCCGAGAATCGGAGAGAATCCTTGAGAAGTTCCCTGAGAAATGTCCACCAGGAGGAGAGAACTCTGTGGTTATCTACATAACGACTCTTAGAGGGATAAGGAAGACGTTTGAGGATTGCAATGTGGTAAGATCGATATTAGATTCACACGAAGTTCGATTCTCGGAGAGGGATGTGTCGATGCACTCGGTTTTTAAGGAAGAGATCAGGGGCATTATGGGAACGAAACATGTGAAGATACCGGCGGTATTCGTTAAAGGGAGGATGTTAGGAAGTGTTGAGGAAGTTATGAAGTTAGAGGAAGAGGGCAAATTGGGGATTTTACTTGAAGGTATTCCCGCGGCGAGGCTAGGAGGCAGTTGCTGCCGTGGATGTGGAGGAATGAGATTTGTGATGTGTGTGGTTTGCGATGGAAGCTGCAAGGTTAGGGGAGAAGACAAGAAGAGTATGGTTAAGTGTTTGGAGTGTAATGAGAATGGTTTGGTTCTATGTCCAATTTGTTCTTGAAAAGGAAAATTATCTTTATCTTTGTTCTGTTTTGCCCTAATTTTATTGGTTAAATTGGGGAAAACTGGAAGAGTTTCTAAAGATGTGTTTAGGGCTCTTGGTGTGTTACAGTTTAATGGAGTTTGTTTCTGATGTTTGTAAACCTTTTCATTTTATTAAGATTCAATTCAATTCAGTGGGTATAAATTTCAAATAAAACCGGTGTAGTATTATAACTTGGCAACCTTGTTCATGATAGTTCTATATTTAGTCAAGGATGGAGAAGTACCAATCTAGAGAAAAATTGGAACTACCAGTCTACCATCTCTGTTTCTGAAGTTTAGTTTTCTCCTTAGTAGGTTAATGATCATTATAAGAAAGTAAAACGCAAGTGACGCAGTGAGTAATTGTTATGCAGTCAAAAAACAATGACTGTTGTAACAGTAACGGTACTTTGACATACCGATAACTTCTTTTTTTTCCTTTTTTTGCAGCAACCTAACTTTCCTTAGATTAGATACACAACTTGATGTTCATTACACTCATTTTTATATATGATGAATCTACTTGTTAGAAACCTAAATACATGGGCTATATATGGGCTAGTAAATAAGAAATACATGGGTTTATCATGTGGGCTTTAACATGTTGTAACAGTAACGGTAACTTTTTCTTGCCGATAAATTTCCTTTTTTTTTGTTTTGTTTTAGTGATTTCCTTTTATCAAAGGAATTTCCTTTTTCTCCTCACCAAAAAAAAAGGAATTTCCTTTTTCTAAGAAACAAGGTCATAACCTTTGCTTATAAATATTGACCTCTTCTTTCGTCTTTGAGAAATCATAATTCTCATTCTTTCACAAACAAAAAAAAATAATGACACACCACCAACGAATGCGTTTTCGTTCGGAAGACTAGGTTTCACTCGGTCTCGAATGTATATTTCCAACTAGACTCACACCGAGTCCACTCGCGAGAGCGTGACGAGTCGTTCGGCGTTGAAAAGGTTGACGAATCCGCATACATCGGTTGAACTCGGGATGGTGGTGGTTCAACGAGTCACGAATCGAATTGGCTAATCCCAGAGGTGTTTCTTCTTCAACTCGGTTTGACTCGGTGAGAAACCCTAAACGACGAGAATGACGCAGTGGGGTTAACACCAACGGCTACATCGATGAAGACAGAGAGAAGCTTTCTCTAACCGGTCACGTGCGGGGGAGGTTTCCGAAAGTCAAAGCCACGTGAGGATATCTCAGAGACGGATTCGAGTAACAGAGCACCTCCTTGCCCACGACAATTGAATTACAAGGTATGTTTATCTATATAATTATTTAATTCGATAAGATAATAATTTTCGATTTAAAACTAAATTTTAAGAATTTTTTTAAAAAATTATTTTAGATAAACCGTTTAGAATTTAAACCAAAAAATTTTAATTATATAAAATCTAACTTTTAAAAATTAAGTGTTAAATTTAAATACGTCGGAAACAAACCGGACTTAGCATCCCGTCCTTTTGGTCCGTAAATCTTGAGGTGTCACAAGTTCGACAAGTTTTCACGTATTGAAAATTTAACACTTAAAAATTAATGTTATTTTAAACCAAATTTTTTTAATTATATAAAAACTAACTTTTAAAAATTAAGTGTTAAATTTAAATACGTCGGAAACAAACCGGACTTAGCATCCCGTCCTTTTGGTCCGTAAGTCTTGAGGTGTCACAAGTTCGGCAAGTTTTCACGTATTGAAAATTTAACACTTAGTTAATTTTAAAAGTTTTAAAAATTAATGTTATTTTAAACCAAAATTTTTTATTTATATAAAAACTAACTTTTAAAAATTAAGTGTTAAATTTAAATACGTCGGAAACAAACCGGACTTAGCATCCCGTCCTTTTGGTCTGTAAGTCTTGAGGTGTCACAAGTTCGGCAAGTTTTCACGTATTGAAAATTTAACACTTAGTTAATTTTAAAAGTTTTAAAAATTAATGTTATTTTAAACCAAAATTTTTTATTTATATAAAAACTAACTTTTAAAAATTAAGTGTTAAATTTAAATACGTCGGAAACAAACCGGACTTAGCATCCCGTCCTTTTGGTCCGTAAGTCTTGAGGTGTCACAAGTTCGGCAAGTTTTCACGTATTGAAAATTTAACACTTAGTTAATTTTAAAAGTTTTAAAAATTAAAGTTATTTTAAACCAAAAATTTTTAATTATATAAAAACTAACTTTAAAAAATTTAGGGGCTTTTGCAAAAATGCCCCTTTTTCAATGCCACTTTTCAAAAATGTCCCTTCTTTAAAACCTTATAAAAAATGCTCTTAAAAATATAAGATTTACTCAAATATGTATGTAACATTATTAAAACATACACAAACTACATTTCTATGTATCTAAAATTTTATAAATATTTTATAAATACCTTATAAATGCATTTTAAATACCTTTAAAAACCTTTAAAATATCTTGTAAAACCTTTGAAAAACCTTTATAATCCTTTAAAATAACTTGTAAAATCTTTAAAAATACTTTATAAAACCTTATAAATACTTGGATCGAGTCTTCAAGTAGTAGTTACAATCCATAAGTACCTTATAAACCTAATAAAACTTTATAAAAATTTCAGATTTAAAAAGGGGCATTTTTGAAAATGGACATCTAAAAGGGGCATTTTTGAAAAAGGGCACACCAAAAGGGGCATTTTTAACAATTTCCCAAAAATTTAATGTTAAATTTAAATACGTCGGAAACAAACCGGACTTAACATCCCGTCCTTTTGGTCCGTAAGTCTTGAGGTGTCACAAGTTCGGCAAGTTTTCACGTATTGAAAATTTAACACTTAGTTAATTTTAAAAGTTTTAAAAATTAATATTATTTTAAACCAAAATTTTTTAATTATATAAAATCTAACTTTTAAAAATTAAGTGTTAAATTTAAATATGTCGAAAACAAACCGGACTTAGCATCCCATCCTTTTGGTCCGTAAGTCTTAAGGTGTCAAAAGTTCGGCAAGTTTCACGTATTGAAAATTTAATACTTAGTTAAGTTTAAAAGTTTTAAAAATTAATGTTATTTTAAACCAAAATTTTTTAATTATATAAAATATAACTTTTAAAAATTTATTGTTAAATTTAAATACGTCGGAAACAAACCGGACTTATCATCCCGTCGTTTTGGTCCGTAAGTCTTGTGGTGTCATAATTTCGGCAAGTTTTCACGTATTGTAAATTTAACACTTAGTTATGTTTAAAAGTTTTTTAAAAAACTTAAAGTTTTATGTAATAATTATTATTATCTTTAAACAAAGTTTTAGTAATGCAAAATATTTTTGTTTCTAAATAATTAAGTGTTAAATTTAACTACGTCGTTTTGATCAAAAAATAAATAAATACGTCGAAAACAAACTGGATTTTGCATCCCTTTCTTTTGGTCCGTAAGTTTTGTTGTGTCATAAGTTCAATTTGTTTTCAATTGTAAATTTTAACACTTAATTAAGTTTTGAAGTTTTCACATATAATGTTTTAAGTAATTTTTTCTTTAACTACGACTTGAAGCAGCTTTTGGTTTTTATCTCATGCCCAAACTTCTCTGTTTCAAACTCTTAGCACCCTCCTTTGGACCACAGTGTAGCAACCATAGTGTTCGGAGGAGGATCAGATTATGTGCTTTACCCACTGACCAAAACAAGATCCAAAGGAGCAATGCCCATTTCAGCAAACTACAAACTTATTGATGCAGTCATAAGTAATTGCATCACGTAAAAAAAAAAAAAAAAAAAAAATTGCATCAACAGTGACATCATCAAGATCTATGCAAGCACCCGAAAAAACCGCCATTTTTTTTTTGGCCGTTTAATACGTGTGTTTTTAAACTTGGAATAAAAATACCTCATTAAATTTCGATTGCCTTTTAAAACTATCGTTTTTTTTAACTTGGTAATTTCGAACCCGAAACTTAACAGTCGTTACTGGGCTTAACGGAATTATTTAACAGCATTAAATTTTAACTCCACGTGTTTATATAAATATATACCATCTGTTTGTAATATTTCCAATGGTCGTTAATGTGGCCTGGTGGTTGCGCGTTGGTTTTGCAAACCTTAGCTGCTGGGTTCGACTCTTCAACCTCTTCTTTTATTTTTATTTTTATTTTTTTTTGTTGTTCTTCGTCTTCTTCACCGGTCCTTGTGAACTATTTTCTGCGAATTTCTCGAGTTTTAAGCTGGATCCATAATTGTCGAATCGTGTCAAGGAATCTGAGCTTCGTGCTTTGTATCTTCTGAGACAACAACATCTTTCGCTTCTCTCTCTTTGGAATGGTACGTTGGTGAATCCTTCTCTTAATCAATCGGAGAATGCTTTGGGATCATTTGTGTTGTTTGAGGATGTGAAATCTGCTGTTTCGAAGCAGATTTCATTGAATAAAGAGATCCAAGAGGTGTCCGATGATGCAAAGGAGAGAGATTTGTAATTTGATTTCCAATTTTCAATATCAAAAATCTCTCATTTTTTTTCAGATTGAAAGTTGTTTTCCGAATTGTTCATGGGTTATCACAATACCCACAAGATCATGATTTTGTTTTCAAATCCGATGTGATTCTTAAAAATGATTTGTTGATTCTTTGGACATTGGAGATCTGAGAAGAAAAAGTGAAGAACAAAGAAAAAAAAAAAAAAAAACAGGTTCACGACTTGAACCCAGGTCGGGTGGTTTTCCAAAAGAGACCCGTTACCACCAGGCCACATTAAGTATAGTTGTAAGTATTGCAAACAGATGGTATATATTTATATAAACACACGGGGTTAAAATTTAACGCTGTTAAATAATTCCGTTACGTCCAGTAACGACTGTTAAGTCTCGGTTCAAAATTACCGAGTTTTAGAAAACGATAGTTTTAAAAGGTAATCGAAATTAAATGAAGTATTTTTATTCCAAGTTTAAAAACACGCGTATTAAACGGCCAAAAAAAAATAGATGGCGGTTTTTTCGGGTTTTTTCCCTCAGTTTAATTCCACTTCTGTCTAGAGCTTACAGTGGATTTGGACTCGGAAAAGATAGATTCCGCTTACCGGAGCCTTGAAGATCAAGGATGGTTTCAGGCTAAAATCATTTTTTCCTCTTTTTAGATTTGTTTCGTGTTCATCACGGAACCTTTGTTTTTATGTATGTATGAACTCAGACTGAACTATTGCTCTACAACATTCAAATTCATAGCATTCTAATTCCAATGTGTATTTGTATTTTGTGGATTAATAATGTAGAAGAAGAGAAACAACAACAGTGTATCAGCACAATCATCAAATCAATAGAACATAATATTTATAATGAATACAAACATCATTAAGAACTGCAAACAAACATCTGAGTCCATCAAAGTGATAAAAAAGTTGGCGTGGGAAATCAGATAAAAGCGTGTGCCACTTCCCTAATAAGGGTTATCTATATTCATCTGAAATTTCTTTTGTCTTTAATAACCAGTCGACGCCTTTCAAGACCATCAACCGTTGGATGATGAAACCGATATGGTGACGAAAAAGATATTATTATAAAAATAAAATTTGTGATAATCCTATCCTAACCGATATAGTGACGAAAATCATACATAACTTGGCACACTTTCCCAAAGAGGCACACATGTCAATGCGTTTCCCTGATTATTCCTATCCATTTCCACCTTTATAATTCATAATATACGATCACATTTATACACGTAACAAAATTGGAAAAATAAAAGGCAACAAAAAAAATGGAGCTCGAGACCTCAGTTTATCGACCAAACGTCGCCGTCTATGATTCTCCGGATGGTGTCGAGGTTCGAGGACGGTACGACCAAATCTTCGCTAAGATTTTGACAAGAGAAGCTCTTAACTTTGTGGCTGAGTTACAGAGAGAGTTTCGTGGCCATGTGAGGTATGCCATGGAGTGCCGGAGAGAGGCACGACGGCGTTACAACTCCGGTGCCGTTCCTGGGTTTGATCCTTCCACTAAGTTCATCAGAGACGGTGATTGGATCTGTGCCTCCGTCCCTCCCGCCGTTGCTGACCGGAGAGTTGAGATAACCGGTCCGGTCGAGAGGAAGATGATCATCAACGCTCTTAACTCCGGAGCTAAAGTCTTCATGGTCAATCTACATCCCTCTCTCTTTATATAACGCCTTTTTGTTTAACAATGTTTTCATATATTGGACCCGGTTCGGTTTGGTTTGGCCGGAATTGGATACGATTTGATAATAACCAATTTGACTGGTATTAGTTAAAGTTTGATACAATTCAAACCTTATTACTGGACCGACATCAATTTGGTTCCAAATAGAGTCGAGTCTGGTTTAGTTTATATAAGTTTGAATTAGGAGAGATTGACCAAATTTAGTTGGGTTTGTTTCGGTTCTGTTGGTATGCTAGTTACTTTGTCCAGTTTCGGTTTGGTTTGATGTCCGGTTCCCTGTGTGAATGTTAATATCAAATTGGGTCGGTTTGGTCTACTTTGATTTTGTTTGATATTCTTGCGGTTCGATCCGGTTCGGTTTAATCTTCTTGATTTGTAATGCATCTGTTTGATAGATACTCCAGCAAGGCAACAAACAACATGCAAATCAAGTAATATAATTTGTTGTGTTTGAACAGGCTGATTTCGAGGACGCATTGTCTCCGAGTTGGGAGAATCTGATGAGAGGGCATGTGAACTTGAAAGATGCAGTGGATGGATCCATTACGTTCCATGACAAGTCAAGGAACAGAGTTTATAAGCTCAACGACCAAACCGCTAAGCTCTTTGTCCGGCCAAGAGGTTGGCATCTCCCGGAGGCTCACATCCTCATCGACGGTGAACCCGCCACTGGATGTCTTGTCGATTTTGGCCTTTACTTCTTCCACAACTACGCCAAATTTAGACAGACTCAAGGTTCCGGATTTGGTCCATTCTTCTATCTCCCCAAAATGGAACATTCTAGGTACCTTCCTGGTTCGGTCATTAATTTGATGTTTTTCGGTTCAGAGTTAACTAGGTTACTTGGTTTCTTGACAGGGAAGCAAAGATTTGGAACAGCGTGTTTGAGCGAGCTGAGAAGATGGCTGGGATAGAGAGAGGAAGCATTAGAGCAACAGTGCTGATCGAGACCCTCCCGGCTGTCTTCCAGATGAATGAGATACTATATGAACTGCGTGATCACACTGTCGGTTTAAACTGTGGAAGATGGGATTATATCTTCAGTTATGTCAAGACCTTCCAAGCTCACCCTGACCGGCTCTTACCAGACCGTGTCCTAGTCGGCATGGGCCAGCATTTCATGAGAAGTTACTCTGACCTTCTCATCCGTACTTGTCATAAGCGCGGTGTCCACGCTATGGGTGGCATGGTTAGTCCCCTCTTAACACTAGTTCACCATATGGTCCTTATGTCTCTTAAGATGCATGTGTGAATGCACCAGTTGCACATGTTTTGATTTCGATGTTGATTTAATTTGTTTGGTGGTATGAATGATGTCAGGCGGCTCAGATTCCAATAAGAGATGACCCGAAAGCGAATGAGATGGCATTGGATCTAGTGAGGAAAGACAAGCTAAGAGAAGTAAGAGCTGGGCATGATGGGACATGGGCGGCTCATCCAGGACTCATCCCAATATGCATGGAAGCATTCACAGGCCACATGGGCAAAAGTCCAAACCAAATCAAATCAGTGAAGCGCGAAGATGCAGCCGCGATAACAGAGGAAGATCTGCTTCAAATACCGCGAGGAGTGCGAACACTCGAGGGTCTAAGGCTGAACACACGTGTGGGAATCCAATACTTAGCTGCGTGGTTAACAGGATCAGGATCTGTCCCACTATACAACCTAATGGAAGACGCGGCTACGGCTGAGATAAGCCGAGTCCAGAATTGGCAATGGATTAGGTATGGAGTGGAATTGGATGGAGACGGGCTCGGAGTTCGGGTGACTAAAGAGTTATTTGGGAGAGTTGTGGAAGAAGAGATGGAGAGAATTGAGAAAGAAGTTGGGAAAGACAAGTTCAAGAAAGGAATGTATAAGGAAGCTTGCAAGATGTTTACAAAGCAGTGTACCGCGCCTGAACTTGACGATTTCCTCACACTTGCCGTCTATAATCACATTGTAGCTCACTACCCTATCAATAACTCTAGGCTCTGAAAGAAGGAAGATGAAGATGGAAGGGGAGTGAGAGTTTGAGATATGAGTTTGTGCTTTTGTTTCTTTGTGTCTGTTTCTCAAATGTTTTGTTCTTTCTATATGTTGGTATATTGTAATAAGCAGAACTTGTTCTTTTATTTCCAATAAGAAATAAATGTTCTATAGCATCCTTAATGTGTTTATGGACATTGGAGATACACCAAAATCCAAAAGCAGAGCATTTGATACATACACAAAATTGATTAATGAAAGCATGGAAAAATAAACACAAGAATAGATCAACTCATCCTCGAAAACAAAAGAATAGAGACAAAACTATCTTTTTTTTTTTTTTTTTTGCCAATATCTTAGTATCAGCAAGTTTGTTAACTTAATAATATATATCTTTTATTTGATGTTCAAATCTAAAATAACAGCATTCGAATATAAAATGTAAACGCCATCTTTAACAAAAAAAAAAGAAAGAAAGAAAGAAAATGATGATGCAATTAAACAGAGATACTAAATTGATAAGATTAACTGATTAAGCATGGATTTGTAAATAATCTAAAGCATGGATTCGTTCAATCCAAATTATCGAACCGGCTGGGCGAAAATAAAATAAAAATAACTGAACCGATTCGGTTATTGAAAAAACCGAGTACCGTAAGCAGGCCTATAAAATCCAAAGAAATCCCTCATTCTCGCGTCTCTGCAAAATTAGGGTTTTGGCCTCTCTCTCGCCTATCGCCGCTAAACTCTTGCGTCTCCGTCAGCCTTCATCCGTCAGCCTTCATCTACAGGTTTCTTTATCGTTTACAATCTTCCCTCTTGTATCTCCAATCGAATCTGTGTATTATCGAATCTGTCATTAGAATTATCCTCTCTTTGTTAGATCATTTCAACCCCTAGTTTCGCCTCTTTTGCGATGTGATACAAATCTTCTTAAACTTTCAAGATTGAAACTTTCGTAGCAAGTTATTCTGATTGGCAATAGATTAATATCTTCCCATGTTAAAGTTGATTGCTTTACATGAAACTATGTACTGATTGCTGCTGATTGTGTATGCATTTCATTGGTTTGTTCAATCAGAATGGATTCTCAGATTAAGCATGCTGTGGTGGTTAAGGTCATGGGTAGGACTGGTTCAAGGGGTCAGGTTACTCAGGTTCGAGTGAAGTTTACCGACTCTGATCGTTACATCATGAGGAACGTTAAAGGACCGGTGAGGGAAGGCGATATCCTCACCTTGCTCGAGTCTGAGAGAGAAGCTAGGAGACTCCGTTGATGCGTCTTTGGTTCTTCTTCTTCTTCCTACTCCATAATGCGGAAACAAGAAAACATTTTGGTTATTTTCTCTTTTGCTTTCTATGATTGGATTAGTGGATTATGCTTTGGAGTCTTAATTTCGTTGTTGCTTTAAGACAATTGCCGGATTGATAAGTGTGTTATGGTTCTTTGGTATTCCAAATCTCTTGCCCCTTTTCATATTGTTTATCAAGAATTTGCTCTATATTCTCCATTTGGTTTTATCTTAACCAAGAATCACAACCTTCAAATGAAGGGAAACTGTTTCTTGTGTTTTCGGTTATATTTGTAACTGTGGCTTAAATCCATTGGACACAGAACAGACCCTCCAAAATGTCTCTGGAGTCAACTTAATGCATCAACCAAAACTGATATAGGAAGCTACAAGCCTTGAGATTTCATTCAAAGTGAATATGTTCTACTACTCTAATGTTTGAAATCTCTGCTTCAAAGTAATACTCCAAGTCTCCAACCAGAACAACTCATACCTCATCACAATGACTTTCTTTAATCCCCGGCCGCTTTGAGTCCAACCTTGATTTAGCCCCGTGGTGGACTTAGTCTTAAGACTGTAGCGAGTGTAGACTGGATACAGGTCAGTTTGGACCGATCTTTTGGGTTTACTGTAACATTCCTACTTTGTCACCATAGTGACCAGGCTTCTCGTATTTGGGTTCTGTGGCCCTTAGCTTATATATGTGAGTTTTGCCAATACAGCTATCTTTGTCAAAAATTATAGCCAAAGTTAATAACCAGAGACCGGGGATTGAGAAGATCCCGTTGGTGGTCATGATTTATGAGTTGTTGCTACATCTTTTGGATTAAGCCTCCTAAGAGAGACTTCATTGGAAATGCTCTAAGAGCATGTGTAATGGAGAGTTCTCACATGGATTTTCAATAATTAAAAATAAGAAAATAATAAAAAGTGAGAGAGAAACCAGAATCGATTTCCATCTGAGAATACTTTGAGAGACTACCTTTACACATGTCAGAATATAATTGATTTTTAGTTTTCTTTGTTATTTAAAATTAAATAAATAACTGAATTAAATGATATATATTAAAATAATATATTTGAGAGACTTGCAAAATTTTTATGTGCTGCACATGCTCTAAGAGCATAAACAGTAGAAGTCTCTTACTAAGACCATCCTCAATGAGGGGATATTAAGTTGGGATTCTTCAGAATTGTTTAATATTGATTTTGAAAAAAGAGATTTTGTCGCCAAAAAAAAAAAAGTCGAAGAAAGAGAGAGAAACAGCACCTTTTTTTTGTCGCCAAAGATAAATACACTGAGACTTTGTTTTCCTATCTTAGCAAAAAGCTTCAACCAATCTAATTGTGCCACGTCATCGAGTCTTATGGGCTCTATCAACTCCCATTTTAGAAGCGCTTCTTTATCTGTTAGACTGTTTTTGATTATTTTATGATCCAAAAATAATAAGAGCTCATGATAAGAATTGTTAGGAAGTGCCGTTGAGGATGGTCTAAGTCTCTCAATAATATTAAAAAAAAAAATAATGAAAAGGAGGAGTGAAAAAGGAAAATCGATTCTCACATGAGAACATATGAGAACCTTTCTAGAGACTCTTTTCACACATGACAAGATTTGATTAGCTTTGTTTTTTCTTTTTAATTATTAATTTAAAATAACAAATAAATTATATTAAAAACATTAAAATAATATTTTTTGAGAGAATATATGAGTCTCTACCATTGCTTATGCTCTAAGGTAATTGATATGTTGTCTACTAGTCTTAATTGCGCGCATTGATGTTTTTTTTTTTTTTTTGAGAATTTTGAAGGGTTGTCTTGTTTTGGAGGATTAGATGATGTAAACAAGTTTATCTCTTTTACTTTGTGCCTTTATTCTGATTAATTACCAAATCTTAACAAAGTATAATCAAGACTTGCTTCTATAAGCAAATAAATAAATTATTCTTTAGTGGAGAATCCATAATAACCATTAATTATATTCCTCAAAAGCTTTGGGTGTTTATATTTATTTAGTCTACGGATTTTGTGATGTTTATAACACATTTGGTATTTCAGAGTATGATTAAACATGCCTTTGTAAAATCTCCAACAAGGAAGTTTTAAGGTTTTATAACCAATAATCATACATTCAATCCCAGTTCTAAGAATCGTTTCTTCACGTAAACTCTTGGTTTTACTGATTTCGATACATAAGATTTTTATCGATGTTTCTTTTTTTAAGAATCAATGCGACAATGCGTTGTCGTTCCACGAGCGAGGAGTCCCAAATTTGCGATATTTTTCTTTTAAATTACCTCTGAGCAATAATTGTATCCGTAGTACGATGAGAGTGTTTTTATAACAAAATTCCTAGCTAGAGTGTTTGAATTCATGGGCCAATGAGAGTAAAGAATAGCTCTTTTATTCGCCGAGGTATCTAGCTAGGAATTTTGTCAAAATTTAGACGTTAATTAGTGGTTTTGTTCTTGGTGACACAAAAGATATTAGGATTCTATATATTAACGAAATCTAGCGATCATAGATAGGGGTTGACACCATGATATGCCAATGTTGTTGAAGCAGTCAATAAACCTCAAGTTGTGTATATACTATTTACACAAATATCATGTATTTTTTTTTATTCAAATCATATTTAATTTTTAGCACTTCACATATTATATGTAATTGAAATCTATTGAATATTGTATTTTTAATATTTTGGATTATCTTCTGTCAGTCTTATAGTTAAAAGCAGTGAGCAAACATCATGGTCATGTGTGATAACTATACTTATTTTTTAATATATGCAAGTGGACAGTGAATAACAAAAACATTGATATTTCTTAATTCAATTAGAAATAAAGCTTTAAATCACCTAAATTCCATTACTTATTTGATGCCCCCCAAATTTAATTCCTACTATGAAAAATGAGGTTAGTACATGTTTGAGACAAAAGAAAGAAAGAAAGAAAGAGAGGTTAGTACACATAATTGAGAATTGATGTCGACCAATCTCTCTTTCTCTCTCTAAGTTGCAAAACCCCTCCCTATAAATAGATGTCTCGGTCGTGTCTTTGTCTCCCACATCACTACAAATCTCTCTTTTTCTCCAAGTTCACTAAAATTAAATAGAAAGAAAAAGAAATTTGACAAAAAAAAAATGGAGAATATGGGAACTAGAGTGATAGAGCCATTGATAATGGGGAGAGTGGTAGGAGATGTTCTTGATTTCTTCACTCCAACAATTAAGATGAACGTGAGTTATAACAAGAAGCAAGTCTCCAATGGCCATGAGCTCTTTCCTTCCTCTGTTTCCTCTAAGCCTAGGGTTGAGATCCATGGTGGTGATCTCAGATCCTTCTTCACTTTGGTATATACATATATTTAAACTATTTCATAATCATCAATAATGTTGAGGTTGCTGGATTTGTATATATTGTGCCAAAAAAACATATAAAACGTCTCACTTTCTTTTCCTCTTATAAGTTTTCTACTTTCTGACTCAATTATCTTATAAATTAAATTGTACCTTTAGTTTTTATCATTCCCTTTTCCAGTCATTTTTTATGGTAAAACTCAACCGAAATGCAAAACAGGTGATGATTGATCCAGATGTTCCAGGTCCTAGTGACCCCTTTCTAAAAGAACACCTGCACTGGTACGTTCAATTTATTTATTCTTTATTTTCATTTTGGGCCCATATTCCATATGCATTGCATTTCAATAATTTCGTGATAACCCTAATAAAGTTGTTTTGTTTAGGTTTATACATTAACTTTGTTGATTTTCTATATTTTTCATATGAAATAATAGCATCAATTACTTTTGTTGAATGTTCTAATAGGATCGTTACAAACATTCCCGGCACAACAGATGCTACGTTTGGTAAGGCCTCTTCAGGAATCTTGTAGTCTAAATACTTGCATATAATATATGTTAAATATAAATAAGATTTGCATTGAAATATAGGCAAAGAGGTGGTGAGCTATGAATTGCCAAGGCCAAGCATAGGGATACATAGGTTTGTGTTTGTTCTGTTCAAGCAGAAGCAAAGACGCGTTATCTTCCCCAATATCCCTTCGAGAGATCACTTCAACACTCGTAAATTTGCGGTGGAGTATGATCTTGGTCTCCCTGTAGCGGCTGTCTTCTTTAACGCACAAAGAGAAACCGCTGCTCGCAAACGCTAGTTTCATTATTGTCCATCGAATGCCAAAACGAAAGAAGAAAAAATTGTAATCTCCTGTTTATTTATGTTCTGAATTCCCGTACTTTGAATAAAACTGCCTTCAGATGAGTTGAATCCGAAATATCAGTTTAGTTAACAAAAGTATTGATAACGACACTATCACAATAAAAACTAGATTGCATATCATGTTTCGCATCTTGTACCACTAAATAAATAGTAAACTCTTGAGTAATTAATAAAATCTAAGTTATTAAAGTATAAATCCTTTATACATGGCTTGATAGGTCACATCACTTTTTTTAGTTCTGGTCAAAGTGACAAGACCTTGATGACAATCTAAAATAGGATCCTCTCCTCTTACTCGACGATCATATTTTCATATCTATTTATTACTGTTTGGTTTTGTGACAAAAAAAAATACTTTGCTGCAAGTCGTAGTACAACTTCTGAGAAATGTATAGTGAATAAATCAAATGTTAAAACATATAACTACAACAGCTTCCTTTTTCTGTGAAATCTAATAGCCATTTCTTTCAATGTCACAAATTAGATTTATTGGTTATATCCCTCACCAATGTAGTATCGACATGTCCGCAGTAAACAAAATGTATCTTTGACTACAAACTACTATATTAATTATCACATATTTAAAACATATGAGATCAGAAGCCAGTCTTCAATAAAATATTTAACTATATGTGGATATGAGGTATGAGAATTATATTTTTGTCAAGAGTTTCAAGAAAGCATATCAATATTCAGCCGAATAACCATTATATTACAAGTCTTAATCATTAAAATGCTTACAATATTTCATATAATTAAGTAATTAACATTCTAGTTTTTGACAACAACAACAACAAAATAGCAAACTACATTCAGTGTTCACATGGAGAAAGGATTTTTTTTTTTTTTTTTAATGAATTGGCCATTTTTTGGTTTATACAGAATAATAGAATATAGTACAGCATGAATGATTTCGAGAGGTGCAACACAAGTGGCAAATATTACTTTCAACGGTAAACTCAAGAGACGTCACGTGTCATTTATTGAGTGGTTAGCGGCTAAGTACTGTTTACCATTATCCTCAACGCCGACCAATTTCTGGTTCTCTACATGTATATTCGCGCTATCATATCAACAAATCTAGCAAAATACTAGTAACTTGTTTCGAGTTTGTTAGATTACTATACATAGTTTGGAAACTCATTTCTGAAGAAATTACCAAATATCATAATCATAAAAGGTATTGAAGTAGAGTTTTAGTTCAAATTGGGTTTCAATTATTTTATTTTATTTTTACTTAAGAATATTCAAAGCAAGATTGATTTAATATAAATTGGTTTTGGTTTCATTGTGCATTAAAAAAAAATTGGGAAAAGATAAGGGTTATCTACACATGTGTCAAAACAAAATCTTATGCAATTATTGCTTCCAAGACTCCAGAGTCTTAGACCTCAAGTCTAACTAATACGTTCGCTAAAAATAAATAAACTGAAAACTGAAAAAGGGGAAAACAATGTGTATACAGTACACCTACGTAGGCAAATTGATTCACTACCAAATCAAGGGCATGCAAAGACTTTAGGATGTGCCTGAAAAAGACACTGTGAACTAGAACATTATGTAGAGTTTTAGGGTTGCAGTTAGACATAATGTGCCTGTGTTGTGTTTAGCCACTTATGGTTATTTTCGTAGCTAGATATTTTCCCAAAAGTGAAACACCATTTTTATTTATAAAATGACTGGCCCCTCGTTTGGTGTTATTACAAATCAACACGTGCGTGCTCTGTTCCATTTCATCCCTGATTTTATTCAAAATTTGCTACATCTATATATGTTTCGAACTAAAACATATATAGTCTATAATCTATATAGAGTTTTAGGGTTTCAGTAAGACATCATGTGCATGTCTTGTGTTTAGCTACTTATTATGGTTGCTTTTATGGCTAAATATTTTTCCAAAAGTAAAACCCATTTTTAATAGTAAGGTTTATTCATAAAGTGAGTGGCCCTTGTTATTACCAATCAACACGTACTCTGTTCTGTTCCATCCCTCATTTCACTCAAAAATTTGCCAAATACTAATTAATATATTTGTCATTGACAATTTTTTTTACTATTTGGGTATGACCGTATGAATCGTTTTGAAATGCTCTTATGGGAAATGAAAATGCTTTTTTTGTTAAAGGATCTTCATAAAATGAATATGTTATCTAACTTTTTTTTTTTTACTTATCTTAAGACATATAAATACGTGTTTTAGAAAATCGTTCAAACATATGATATCTCTCGCAAGTATATGTATTATTTGCATATACATAATTTTTTTAATTAGAACTCATTGAAGCTCTCGATTTGCATCATTATATTCGTTTTATTTCTATTTTCATCAAAATATAACAATCATGCAAAATAAAATATTGTTATCTTCTTAAAATTGATGTATATGATCTACAATTTATGCACCTCAAGTCTTGTCACAAGTAATTACTTTCTACTTGTACGAGCATAGTTATTTCTTTTTCATTTCACGGTACACATAGAAATCACATCATTCAAATCACACATTAACTAACGAATTATATCTAACGGTACATAGATTTAAAAGTACATTAACATCTTCTATTTCATCGGTACGAAACCGCAAACCTGGTGATTAACCAGCAGTGGAAATTATTAGCCGCCATACTTCGGTTTAGAACGATTCTCGAGGACAAACCAACATGCAATAACCTTACGATTAAAAGAGACGACCTGTCATGTTTCATGTAATAACAAAAAAGAGAAAGCAAGAAACATACCAACCCTTGGACCGAGTCCACTGGTCCTTCGTATAAACACAAAAAGATTCTAATCTTTAAAATTTTAAGGGCTTTGTAATATGGAAGGGCTGTCTAAATTTGATTGGTTAACGTGTCGAGGAGTCGTGCTAGGTCCCCTCTCATGTGTTAAGGTTTGATGATCCCGTATAGTTTTGGTCTGTGCGGTTCATATATACTCACATTCTCACAACAAGTAAACAACATAAAGTGAAGAGGAGGTACATTTACACATACATGTAGACAAATTAGGTAAATTCAATGATTTAACCAAAAAAAAGGCAAATTCAATAAAAACAAATTTTACATTTTTATGACTACCGCATAATATTGTATTATTGTTACAAGAAAAAAAAACTATACGGATTTCGATCAATCCCTTTTCTTGGTTTAAGTTTTTGAGTTTTTTTTTAGGATCTTAAAATATTAACCAAAGTAAAACTGAAACGAATAATTTGTTGTTGTTGTTAAGGATAACTATTCTAACAATTTCATCTTTGACAAGATCTCATTGTAATATCAATTTCGTATTGCTCCCGTTAGAGTAATTTCATATATATTCGATTATATCGGTTTTTGGTTTGGATTGGATAATGTGTGTTCGTATAGTATTACTATGTTGAGTTACGTTTTATGAGTTTTCAATTCAAAACTAATTTACAAATAATATCTTCAACTGGTAGGAGCTTCTTCTGCGATGCTTTTGTACTGCGAAAGCTGCAAAAAACATCATCGTGTCTCTTTCTCCTTTTCCATTTATTTCTGGTTTTACTTCCCTTTTTGTTTTCCTTTTTCTTTTGCAAATGACTTAGTATTATGCAAGCTGCAAAGACTTTTTTTTTTTTTTTTTCTTTTTTCGAACATAGCTGCAAAGACTCTTTTGGAAGATTAGTATTTGCGACCAAAGTAAAATATCACAAGAAAATTGTCTTTTGGGAGAGTCCAAGGGTTGAGGAAGAGAGTAGATAACACATTTTCTGTTCACAATCTTGGTTCTGATTTACACAATCTAGAACGAAATTTCTGGTTAAAATAATCATCTATACATAGCCAACTATATTGTTCATTCCCAATTCACCACTGTATATATCCCAACGCGCTGTGATCCACCACACATACTTGAGTACATTTTGTCAACACTACTGTTTCATCTTCTGAAAATTTCTCATTTTGACTATATCTATACACATACTTTTATAAGATAATATAAAGTTTACACAAACCCGTGCATTATAGTAAACTAGACAGAAAATAACTCTAGTATTACGCATCATATAAACCAATCTACCTCTGTTTCTAACTAAACTCCCAACTCTTACAATTAAGAATCATTAATAGCATTTCACATTTTTTGAGATAAACCCTTTAGCCCAAAAAAAAAGGTATTAGACATTGTCTCAGTTCCAGTAATATGCAGGGGAAGAAAGCCGGAGAGCAACAAAACCTAGCACTGTAATAACCTCATCAAAACTGGCGAAATCTATAAACAACTGACCTGTGAGCCGAATCTTTAAGAAGAAGAAGATGTTCATTATTGTTCGTCAATGAGAGACTTCAACCTCTGTCTGAATTCAGGAATCTCTTGTGCCTCCACGACCATCACAAGACCCGTCAACTGATAATTCTTCAACTGCTAGAATCGGCGTTATACCCTAAGTATTACAAACCACAAACAAGTGAATCAAACTTATGTGATTCCGGAAATAGTATGTTGGCATTAAAGAGATAACTTACCTCTTGAGATGTACCGAGCTGCGAGTGTATAGGGAATGTAAAGGACCAAGAGGTAAGCTGCAATGCATTTTTTCAACAAATGGTTAAGAGTATAACCTTTTCTTTTCACACGGGAAGTCGAGTAGGTAATGTGAGAATAAGTACCTCGAGAAAAATTTCATCTTCAGGAATATTGTTTCCTCGTTCTCTTCTTCACCACGACAGGGTTTCCTCTGCTTGGGATGCTTCAACTATATAACCAAGTATCTACATCACATAGTTAAAACAAGAAAGAGAACTCGAGAACCGCAAAAAAATCTTACAAGAACACTTACCTTATGAATCTTAGTGATTAGAATATATGACTTGAAGCGGAATGACCCTCGAAGCTGTTCTGTAGGCTGTAAACAGAAGTTAAAAATTGCAAAATTTCGTAGATTTTTAACATTGCTCATAAGAAAAGAAGTTGCCTAAAGTTAACTTTGAATGATCAAACCTCGTCTTCAGTGGCCCATGAGACTTCGTCGAACAATCCATCATATAGTGGAGGAAGGAGTTGTGGAGGAAGATTCATCACTCTTTGAGATACCAATAAACCGACATCTTTCGCCTTTTTCTCTACGAGTAGTTCTAGATCACTAGCAACATTCTTCTCCGAACAAACTTTGAGAAGAAACTCTTTTAGCTCTCTAAAGCACTTATTGTCCTGAACACACAAAAAAATATTATACAGTAGTTAATAGATTGCTTACCGCAAAGCATAATAGCAAATACGAACAAACACCTTTGAACATTATAATTACTTCAACAAGCTTAGCAATCAAATGAGATCATTCATAATCACAGCACATTATCAAGTCGATCATTAAGCATAGATAAAAGTAAATTCACTTAGCAAAGGTGAGTTACATGGCTTGCCTTGTATCTTGCCAAGTTAAGAGCAGTGACAAGAGCAAATAATGCATCATCCTCATCATCTGCTACTTTGACCACAGTTCCCACTTCCCACCGTTGTTTGATCCAATATCAAATCCACAAAACCACTCAAATCCCACTCCTTGTCATCGAGATAGTTTTGCAGGAGAATCTTGACTCCATGAAAGTATGTACCTTTCCCTTCAAAGATCAAACACCGAAATTACAACGTCACAAAAAGATAAACGAAATCAACAGCAGAGTAACTTCACAAAATCGCTTACCTGAGAGTCTTCTTCATCAGAGGATTCCAACAGTTGTTGCTCTTTCCTATTATTGATAAATTAGGGTACTTTGAATCTACAAAGTTAAGAATGAGACATACTTATCAAGTCACTACAATGTTCTGAATTGAGAAAGTCTCAAACTTTAAGGTAACTACTAACCAAAAGATATATCTGGAAGAGGCAATTTACGTCTAGCCGTTGAAGCAAAGGTAAGAGAACGCATAAACGGTGAAAATGCTAAAGGTTGATACTTTGACAATCTTCTTCTCCCTGATGGCCTTCGAGGCATCTACTCAATAAAAAAAAAATTCAGGCTAATTCACCAGAACCTATGCAAAGTTTGTCCCTTCTCTATGAACTGAAGATAATAATCATAGTTCATAAGAGAAGAGAGTATGAATAGCAAAACTTATTCATTAGACTAGTTTACCAGAAATCGAAAGTACTTAAAAATTTAAATTGAGAGGCTGTAAAATTTGGATTGAGATTGAAAAGTCTTTTAGTACTCATGAAACTTACCGACGGTGGAGCGAAGTTGAAACACCGGTCAGATAATCGGCGGCGACTGGATAGAGACGAAAGTCAGGGAAGAAGAACCTAGTCTACTAAAGAAACGGGACTAAACCGAATGGTTCAATTAAATCAGTCCATACCGGATCTTTTTCTTAATCAATCGTACCGGGACGGTTCGACTGTAAACCCGATCTCTGTTCTTTCCAAATCAAAGCCCACTTTTTAAACTGACCCAATTGGAGCCTAAACCGGAAGGAAAGGAGTGATGTTTTTTAATTAGGTGGTGAATGGAACAGTAACACAACAGCTAAGGTTTGGTACTAATTATTCACATCATCACATGGTCAAAACCAGTTTTACTGCTCATATTTTGAATAATGTTGCTCTCGTCAAAACCACCTTTTTCTAATTTGCTAAGTACACTTTACTTTTGTTTCTAAAATCCGATATATTTACTGTGTTTTTGGTTTTGTGATAATTACTTTGTGAGTTGTGGCAATAATTAACGAAGAGTTTAGCAAATTAGAATTTTCTTCGAAGAAAACAAAAAAGGTTTGTTGCGAAGAATTGAGGAAGTAAAAGTTAAGAGAAAGTTAGTTTCATTCACATGCTAAAACATGTGATCTCTTCGTAGATCTTTTGACTAAACCCAACGAATGACAAACTATTTAACAAATGAGTCCCGAAATATTAATAATTAAATTTTATTTCTTGTGTGTTTGCATGAAAAATGTGAGAGGTGACGAATGTCTTCTTCTGGATGAATTGCGTGTTAAGGTTTACCATCTTTGAATTCGAATACGACGTTACTACCTAAGCATGCAGCTTCAAACAAACTAACATTGTATCTTTTTTTTCAAGCAACTTCCTTAATCTCTCTTCCTTAAAAACCCCTAATCATTCACCACTTCTTCGCTCACTCCTCTCTATCTTTTACTATATTCAAACAGAAAATGAAGATGTTTATTATAATGTTCATGAGCTTTTCAGTTATCGCCTGCGTTGGGACCGGTCAGCCACTTGTACCGGCTCTAATCATAATGGGAGATTCAGTTGTCGATGCTGGTAACAACAACCACCTCAATACCCTCGTTAAAGCCAATTTTCCTCCCTATGGCCGCGACTTCTTCGCCCACAATGCCACTGGCCGTTTCTCTAACGGAAAACTTGCCACTGACTTTACCGGTTTGAACCAGCCTAATTCACTATCCACGTTACATATAGTAGTACCATTTATCATTTCCTTATCCTTAGGCTTTGTTTGTTGTTTGAGCAGCTGAGAGTTTAGGGTTCACTTCTTACCCGGTGGCGTACCTTAGCCAAGAAGCTAATGGGACAAATCTGTTAACCGGAGCCAATTTCGCCTCTGGTGCTTCCGGTTTTGACGACGGAACTGCCCTATTTTACGTAACTAACCTCCTCCTCCTCAACCCTGTTTAATCCGGCTATTAAGTTAGTTAAACTGGAATACTTTTAACATTTTATGGGTTTATCATATTGTAGAATGCAATAACATTGAACCAACAGCTGGAAAACTACAAAGAGTACCAAAACAAAGTGACGAACATTGTGGGAAGAGAAAGAGCAAATGAGATATTCTCAGGCGCGATTCATCTTCTAAGCACGGGATCAAGCGATTTTCTTCAAAGCTATTACATCAATCCGATCCTTAACCTGATTTTCACGCCTGATCAATACTCGGATCGTCTCTTGAGATCCTATTCCACCTTTGTGCAAGTAAATTAACCAATACCGTACCACACCGATCGAACCAACTTTTAATTTTTCCGGTTTACTCTGAACCGGTGGTCGATTTTTTTTTTTTTTTTGTTGGCAGAATTTGTATGGTTTAGGTGCTAGAAAGATTGGAGTGACGACGTTACCGCCCTTGGGTTGTTTACCTGCTGCAATAACGACGTTTGGTGAAGCTGGGAACAATACGTGCGTCGAAAGACTAAACCGGGATGCGGTTTCCTTCAATACCAAACTCAACAACACGTCTATGAACTTAACCAACAATCTTCCCGGTCTGAAATTGGTCGTCTTTGACATCTATAATCCTCTGTTGAGCATGGTCATGAACCCTGTCGAGAATGGTACGGTTTTTATCCAACCGCAACTTTATTTGACTAACACCGAAGACACTTTTTTCTCATTAAAAATATTACAATATTTATATATTTGAATGTAGGGTTTTTGGAATCAAGAAGGGCTTGTTGTGGAACCGGGACAGTGGAAACTTCGTTCCTATGTAATGCAAGATCGGTGGGTACATGTTCGAATGCTACCAATTACGTGTTTTGGGATGGTTTTCATCCATCCGAGGCAGCCAATCGTGTCATCGCAAATAATCTTCTTGTCCAAGGAATCCCCCTTATCTCTTAAACCTAAGTTTATTCCAAAATATTGATTCAAACAGTCAAAATATGATGAAATATATTCTAGATCATTATTTAAAGGTTTGGTTTCGAAATTATGGTTGCTTTAAACAAAACAGTCAAAATATTTTCTTTTTGTTATTCACATTCATCTTTTCTCTTATGTAACATCATCTTAACTAGTTACATCAAACACAGACTAATAGAGAAGAAACTCAAGAGTAAACTAATTTGTAATGTATATAATTTCAGTTACGGAGATATTGATCATATCAATAGTACATGGCGAAATGTATATATTGTATAATAATATAGGGATCCTAAATAAAATTTCTTCATTACAAAATTGGTCTTTCTCTTCTGAAGTAAAGAGGGACAAGTGAAGGTTTATCCATGGCGATTTAGCGCCCAAAAGCTCAAAAATTCATTCATGTCCACCGTTAATCATCACTGTATCCTCAACTTTCCTCATATCCCACCTTCAATTCCTGCGAATCATCGTCCCAAACTTCATTCTTCTCTTTCCCTCTATCGAAAACCCGAACGCCTCTTTACCATCTCTGCGTCTCTGTCGCTTTCACCAGCAACCATCCATGAGTGTTCTTCTTCCCCATCATCTTCTTCTTCATCGTTCGAGAAGGAAGAAAGGGAAGAGATTGAATCTATTGTTGATGGGTTTTTCTATCTGCTTCGATTGTCTGCTCAATACCACGACGTCGAGGTAACAAAAGCTGTACACGCTTCGTTTCTTAAGCTCAGAGAAGAAAAAACCCGTCTTGGAAATGCCCTAATCTCTACATATCTCAAACTTGGTTTCCCTCGTGAAGCTTTTCTCGTCTTCGTGTCTCTTTCTTCACCAACGGTGGTTTCTTACACAGCTCTTATCTCGGGTTTCTCAAGGTTAAACCTTGAAATTGAGGCTCTTAAGGTTTTCTTCAGGATGAGAAAAGCAGGTATTGTCCAGCCGAATGAGTATACTTTCGTAGCGATTTTGACTGCTTGCGTGAGAGTTTCGCGATTCTCGCTTGGGATTCAGATTCATGGATTGATAGTTAAATCAGGGTTTTTGAATTCTGTGTTTGTTGGTAATTCGTTAATGAGTCTGTATTCAAAGGATTCTGGGTCTTCGTGTGATGATGTGCTTAAGTTGTTCGATGAAATTCCTCACAGAGATGTGGCTTCTTGGAACACTGTGATTTCGAGTTTAGTGAAAGAGGGAAAGTCTCATAAAGCTTTTAATTTGTTTTATGAGATGAACAGAGTCGAAGGACTTGGAGTTGATTGTTTTACGCTTTCAACGCTTTTGAGCTCTTGCACTGATTCTAGTGACTTATTGAGAGGCAGAGAACTCCACGGTCGTGCAATTAGAATAGGGTTGATGCAGGAATTGAGTGTCAATAACGCTTTGATTGGGTTTTATTCTAAATTTGGGGATATGAAAAAGGTAGAGAGTTTGTACGAGATGATGATGGTGCAAGATGCCGTTACTTTCACGGAGATGATCACTGCTTACATGGCATTTGGAATGGTGGATTCCGCTGTTGAGATATTCGAGAATATAACTGAGAAAAACACTATTACCTATAACGCGCTCATGGCTGGGTTCTGTAGAAACGGCCATGGCTTGAAGGCACTGAAATTATTCACTGAAATGCTGCAGAGAGGTGTTGAGTTGACGGATTTCAGTTTAACAAGCGCTGTGGACGCTTGTGGTTTAGTTTCAGAGAAGAGAGTAAGCGAACAGATTCACGGGTTTTGTATTAAGTTTGGATGTCTTTTAAACCCTTGTATCCAGACTGCGTTGCTTGATATGTGCACAAGGTGTGAAAGGATGGCAGATGCTGAGGAGATGTTTGAACAATGGCCTTCTAATCTCGATAGGTCGAAGGCAACGACGTCAATACTCGGTGGTTACGCTCGGAATGGCTTACCTGATAAGGCTTTATCGCTATTCCATCGCACTCTCTGTGAAGAGGAGTTGTTTTTAGATGAAGTTTCGTTGACTTTGATTCTTGCGGTCTGCGGGACATTAGGGTTTCGGGAAATGGGTTATCAGATCCATTGCTATGCTCTTAAAGCTGGCTACTTTTCTGATGTATGCTTGGGGAATTCTTTGATTAGCATGTATTCGAAATGTTGTGACTCAGATGATGCCATAAAGGTTTTCAACACTATGCAAGAACATGATGTTGTTTCTTGGAACAGCTTGATTTCTTGCTACATCCTTCAAAGAAATGGTAATGAGGCACTGGCTCTATGGTCGAGGATGAATGAGGAAGAGATCAAGCCTGACATGATCACGCTCACTCTTGTTATTTCTGCATTTCGGTATACAGAGTCAAATAAGCTTAGTAGCTGCCGTGATCTGTTTCTCTCCATGAAGACTATCTATGACATTGAACCAACGACTGAACATTACACTGCATTCGTCCGTGTTCTGGGTCATTGGGGTCTTCTTGAAGAAGCGGAAGACACAATAAACTCGATGCCGTTTCAGCCCGAGGTCTCTGTTTTGAGAGCTCTGCTTGATAGCTGCAGAGTCCATTCAAACACAAGCGTTGCAAAACGAGTAGCAAAGCTTGTACTATCGACAAAACCAGAAAACCCGTCTGAGTACATCCTCAAATCCAACATCTACTCAGCTTCTGGACTCTGGCATCGCTCTGAAATGATAAGAGAGGAAATGCGGGAAAGAGGTTACCGGAAACATCCTTCTAAGAGCTGGATAATCCATGAGAAGAAAGTACATTCCTTTCACGCGCGTGACACATCCCACCCGCAAGAGAAAGATATATACAGCGGATTGGAGATACTGATAATGGAATGTCTGAAATCTGGATACGAACCAAACACAGAGTTTGTTCTTCAGGAGGTTGATGAGTTTATGAAGAAGAGTTTCTTGTTTCACCACAGCGCGAAACTCGCAGTGACTTATGGCATTCTCACAAGCAATACTCGGGGAAAGCCGGTTCGGGTTGTGAAGAACGTGATGCTCTGTGGTGATTGTCATGAGTTCTTCAAGTATGTTTCAGTTGTGGTAAAGAGAGAGATAGTTTTGAGAGATTCGTCAGGATTTCATCATTTTGTGAATGGCAAGTGTTCTTGTAGAGATCTCTGGTGAATCAACGAAGACCTTAGTTTTTGTAATGTTTAATTTATATAATCATAAGTTGTTAATACGAGAGTTTTGGGAGCTCTGCTCGATAGCTACAGAGTCCATTCAAAGTTTCAAACAAAAAAGTTGATATTACAACTTGGATACAAGAGTGTTTTGGTTTGGATTGGTTAGGACGGGGTTGAAATTGATAGAAATCAAAGTTTGGGGTTAAAATTGATAGAAATAAAAGTTTGCATGTGAAAAGAAAAGAGAGAGTGGAAAGATGGACGCTTGGCACGAGGTGACGAGGGAGCAACCACTTATTACCAAATGTTATTCTTCCATTCACCTTCTTTTAAATTCTTTGCTCCTAAAACCGAAAGCAAAAAAAAAGTTAAAATAAAACTCTCTTCTTTAATTTTGATTCTTCGTCTTCTTATTTCTTCTCAAAGAAAGAGATATTAAGCGTGAGAGAGAGATGGGAGATGAAGATGTTGATGGGAAGTGTAGAAACATGTCTGCATGTTCCTCAACGACTTCGTATTCAACTAAACTCTTTCTCTTCATGGTTCCTCTTGTTGTCATTTCTGCTTTCGTCTTTGTAAATATTGGTCCTAAAACTCCAACTTCTTTCTTAACCTCTTTGTCCACTTCTTCTCATCATCTCCCTCCTTCTCCGTCTCTGCCTCCGGCTCCGGCGCCGGCGCTATCTCCTCTGCCACCGGAGATGCTTCCCTCGTTGTCAGCATCATCTTTATCTACTAAAGTGGAATCTATTCAGGTTAGAGAAATTACTTAGAAATACCAAAATTATTCCTTTCTTCATTCTTCATCTTTGCATGTCTTTTCTTCTTTCCGGCTATTTTATTTATTTATTTTCTATTCTTATTTCTTACAAACAAATATTTATTTTAATGTTGTTTTACCAACATATATCATAACATTTATCATTTATGTTTTAAATTCCGTGGTCAAACTACAGTCAACTGTAAAAAATATTTTGTCAACTAGTCAAATGTGAATCTTAATTCGTTTTCATTTAAGACCAGTCGCCAAAACCGCAAAATAAGGAAGCAAAGATTACAGAGAAATGTTTTTTTGATATACGTAGGGACGGGTGATATAAATTTGAACTAATTAATCAACAACAACACATATGTTTTTATTTCTTTGAAAGTAATTTATTTACTGATATGGAATCATTCTTTAATTTCATTTATGTACAATAGTCTAAAGAATAACATTGATTCAACAGGATGATTATAATCGCACGATTCAAATGAATCTGATCAACGTTACTACAACGAGTAGTAACGTCACTTCTACGGCATCATTGGAACCAAAGAAGAGAAGAGTTCTTAGCAATTTAGAGAAGATCGAATTCGAGCTACAAAAAGCTCGAGCCTCCATTAAAGCCGCTTCGATGGATGATCCCGTGGACGACCCGGACTATGTTCCTCTTGGTCCTATGTATTGGAACGCGAAGGTCTTTCATCGGTAAGTAAAAAGAATATTTATGTTTACTTTCTAATCTTTTAAGAAAGAAAAAAAAATTAAGTTACTACAATTTGGATTCGCTAATAATTTATTAGAATTTAATTTAAGTCAAACGGGTTGGTACTAAGAATTTATTGGCTCGTTAAAAAAGTATCTGAATTAAATTAAAGTCAAACAGGTTGGAAACTATGAATTTATTGGCTTGCTAATTATTATTTGAACTAAATTTAAGTCATACAGGTTGGCATTATGAATCATAATTAAGGCTTGGAACTGGTTTTTACTTTGTACTAAATTGATGGGGAAACCTGGCAAGGAAGTTTCAATTAAATTTGAGTTACGTTTTTAGTAATTTTTTATATTTAATTTCTTGCTAAATTGTAGAAATTTTTTTTCATTAAATTAGTGAATGCAAGAGATTTGTGGTGTCCCATCTTATACAGTTTATATACAGTTTATATGCGTAGCGTAAGCAGAGTAAGGAATCACATACCTTATTTTTTTGGGGGAACTATATTCGTAAAAGCAAAATATTATTATTGGCCCATGTTACATGGTTTAGTAAAATAAGGTAACCAATGACGGCATAACTTGAGGATTGATCTTGAAAACCAGATTAAGTAAAGACATTCTAGCCTGTGCACAAAATGTTTCATGTGGTCCAGTGTAGAGAATGGGACAGATTTTCTTATGATAATTTGCTAACACTACATGATGTGCTTACAATTTTTTTTGTTTCTGTAATGAAATGTTTAGGAGTTACTTGGAGATGGAGAAACAATTCAAGATATATGTGTACAAAGAAGGCGAGCCACCGTTGTTCCATGACGGTCCATGCAAAAGCATCTACTCTATGGAAGGAAGTTTCATCTATGAGATGGAAACCGATACGCGTTTCCGGACCAATAATCCTGACAAAGCACATGCTTTTTATTTACCCTTTAGTGTTGTCAAGATGGTAAGATACGTGTATGAACGCAACTCCCGCGATTTCAGCCCCATCCGAAATACAGTCAGGGATTACATCAATCTTGTGGGTGATAAATACCCATATTGGAACCGCAGCATCGGAGCCGATCACTTCATACTTTCTTGCCACGACTGGGTACGCTAACAATATATTTCCCCCACTAGGACGTATATCGTCTGATTAGCTAGTTATCGTTATAATCTTGAAAATCTCTTTGGTATAGGGTCCTGAGGCAAGCTTTTCTCATCCACATTTAGGACATAATTCGATTCGAGCTTTATGTAATGCCAACACGTCAGAGAAATTCAAACCAAGAAAAGATGTGTCAATACCGGAGATTAATCTACGGACAGGATCATTAACTGGATTGGTCGGTGGGCCATCACCTTCCAGCCGTCCAATCCTTGCCTTCTTTGCAGGGGGTGTACACGGACCGGTAAGGCCAGTCCTGCTCGAACATTGGGAGAACAAAGATAATGACATTAGAGTCCACAAGTATCTCCCTAGAGGAACGTCTTATTCTGACATGATGCGGAACAGCAAGTTCTGCATTTGTCCGAGTGGTTATGAGGTTGCGAGCCCGAGGATCGTGGAAGCACTTTACTCGGGTTGTGTCCCGGTTCTGATAAACTCAGGCTACGTTCCTCCTTTCAGCGATGTATTGAACTGGAGATCGTTCTCAGTCATCGTTTCAGTGGAAGACATACCGAATTTGAAGACGATATTGACAGCGATATCGCCGAGACAGTACCTAAGGATGTACAGAAGAGTTTTGAAGGTAAGGCGACATTTTGAAGTGAATTCTCCGGCCAAGAGGTTTGATGTGTTTCATATGATTCTTCATTCGATTTGGGTAAGGAGATTGAATGTGAGGATCCGTGAGGTCTAAGTTTGGTCGGGTGTGTTTAATAAATTTGTCAGATTTTTGTCTGTTTAGGGTGTGTAATACAAATAACTGGAGTTTTCATGTGTCATTATTGTGAAATCATTATTGGTGTTTTCATGTGTCAAATATGTTGAGTGTTTTAGTTCATTAATTTTGTAATAAGCCAATAATGATTATATTTGCATATTTTTAATTTGTTACTCTCTCTGTTTCACAAAGAGTGTCATTTTAGAGTTTTGCACACAGATTAAGAAAATATTAAATTTTTTGTTTTTTCTAAACAAAAACATCATTAACTATATACCTAAACATAATCTGTCCAATAGTAAAACAATCTGCAGAATACTAATAGTCATAAAACATAAAAAATCATTAAATTTTGCATTGAAAACCTAAAACGACACTCTTTGTGAAACAAAAATAAAACCTTAAAACGACACTCTTTATGAAACGGAGGGAGTATTTGATATGTCACAAATAATCAAGTGTAAATAGTAAAAATAGCTTATGCATTGAAATACTGTGACTATTAATTAATCGGATAAGTGATAATTAGGTGACTTTTCGGTGTTCATTTACCCTGTTAACTAAATAATTTCAGTTGAACTATATTTTATATTAGACAAATTGATATAAATACTTTTTTTTATTTTTTTTGCTAATAAGAATGTAAATACATGTCCAAGGTTTGGGCTCAGCTATTCAAGATTCACATGTAGCTGGGCCTGGGCCAAGCCGGGTAACGATTTGTCCATTGAGAAAAACACTAGTGGCAGATTCGTAAATTTTATGTTCACATAAGGGGTTTTACGTCATTTAACGGTGAAAGCTTCGACGTTTGAGCATCGGAAAGCGCAGTAGCAATAGTAGCGGATGGTTGTCACGTAATTTCTCTATCTCCTTCTCTGCTTCTGCAGCTATAATTGCTCTGTCAAGTATTATTGTTACTATCATTCATCTCTTCTTGGGATTCACGTTATGCGTGCGTATGTATGTCCAATTAATCTGAGAACTTGTTTGATCCGAAAGCAAGTCCCTTGAAAGGTCATGAGAAAAACGTTTCGTTTGGTTTAACGCTATAGTTTTGTTTTGACTGACTTTCTATGAGAGACTTTCTGAGACTCACAAATTTTCAGATTCTTGGTATGGAAAGCTATTCAATAAACTAGACCATTTGGTTGCGTCCAAAACATTGTCGAGTTTTGAATTTTGGACACAAGAACGTTCCAACATTTATATTAAAATCGTACAATGAGCAAAAGCTTATCATAGTACTAACATTACTTAAACCTAAAAGTCCAAAGTTTAGAGCTCTATATATGTTAGACTCTTTCTCTCCAAGATCAGCAACAACTACCACGGGTTTGGGGGCTGCGATATCGGTGGCCAGCCAGAAGAAGCAACCATCATCAGACTATTGTATTGATCACCAAGACCGATAGTTTGATCTCCTCCGGCGGTTTGGTTGATGTTCATCATCAAACCCTGATCTCTTAGTATTATAGCTCTCAGCTTCTTCACCTGCATCACAAATCAGTTTTGTGGTGAGGAGGGGTCTCTTTGACAGAATAAAAAAACCTAAAGCGATAAAACAAGAAAACATTGTAGTAAAAAAAAAAGGACCCCATGATTTTATGATAGTGTCTAGACCTCATCTTGTAGCATCTGCTTCTCTCTCCAAATGACATCGTACTCTTGCCTAAGCGAGTCGTATGACTCTTCTAGATGCTTCACCTTCCACCGTGAACGACGGTTCTGGAACCAAACCGCGACCAGACGTGGCTCCAGACCAAGCTCATTCGAAAGCTTCAGCTTCCTCTCTGAATCTAATTTGAAATCTTCTTGAAAACGTAGTTCAAGCGAAGCTATCTGTTCACTCGTTAGCCTCTTTTTCTTCTTTATCATCTCGTTGTTGTTACTCGGACATTGGTACGCATTGATCAACTTGTCTGATTCCGGTACAGTGATAACCGGTCCGGTTTGCGTAACAGCATGCGTATACGAATTTCCTGATATATATATAAAAAGATTAAGAAGAAAGGAATAACAAAAGAAACGACAAAACGCACTACATAAACGAATCTCAACGTTTGAAAAAGTGACGTCCATTTGTTACTTTTAGAAAAACAGAAGAACATCTTCTTTTTTTTCTTTTTGCAATGTGAAACTATATTGCAACAAAAAAAATACAATTTTACAGTAAAATGTAACTGAAGAGATTTGAAAGAATTAATGAAACATAATAATGAACGAAAGAACATCTACTAAGCCTTAACCAAAAAAAAAACATAAGAACATGTATTCCACTTCTCATCAGAAAAGTGTGACGATCCAAGATTTTAGAATGACGTCTAGAAATTAAAAACTATCTCTAAGAAAAATTCATATACCACTAAATAAGTGTGGTAGTATATCTGTATATGAATTAATTGAAATCAAACAATAATGGTATAGGGTTTAAATGATAACGATAAAATCTAGTTGAAGGGTGATCTTTTATTTTTTTTGGTAAAAAGTTGAAAAAAATGATCTTGACGGATAATCTAAGAATGTAAATGGTATAACAAAGAAAATCTGACGAGTTATCTAACAGAATAATTGATTTTTTTTTTTTTTCCTAATTGAATCACTGCTTATATATATAGTAGTAATAATCCACGAAATAGCTAAAAACAACCAGAAAATGAAAAAAAAAAATGGACGGTTTAACGTAGTTAATATATAGGTTGATAAAACAAATTATTTTAAAAGTATTTTCACAATTACTGTGAAAAATCTTTTGGCTAGTAAAAATGGAATTATTACTCTGGGTGACTATTTTTAATACTGAATATTTTGTCCAGATATATACTTTATTTGAAAATTATTTCACAACCTAATTTATACTACATATTCGTCCGTTTTTATTTCCAATAAATTTTGTTTACCAATTTCGTAAATTAAGCTATTGCGCTTGTTTTTACCCGACTCCTTGTAAATGTATAACAAAATAAAAATAGCTATGGTTTAGTACTTTAGTGTTTAATTTTCTACACTATTAATTGAAGATATTGTTTAATCTTGAATTTTCATCAGAAAGTAACGTTTCTAGATAACATATCCCAAGGTTTTTGGAATGCCGCCTAGGCCTAGGGTGCTTCCTCACATAAATCATATACGAGAAAGTATGCGGTTGTATATATATTCCAAATTTGTGATTCTTTTCATCAATTCACAAGAATTTCGAAAACTCATGAAGGGGAAAATAAGGTATATATATGGAATATTCTGTCTGTATTAAATGAACAAAAAAAAAGGTGACATTGTTGTTAATTTGTTACAAAGAATCTCAAAATTGAAGATAACTATCACATAGAAAGAAACTCAAGGTAAGTGAAGCATTTAAACCTAACGGGAGGATGTACTACATTCTCTTCTTTTATTTAAATTTCATGGATTTTTCTAACGTGAATTAAACCAGCACTTACACATCTATATGTTCTTATAAAGAGTTTTTATATATAGTTCATGGATTTGTTAGGGCGAAAACAAAGTTCATGGATTTGTCAACCGTGAAATTAAACCGGCACTTGCAGTGACACATCTATATATGTGCTTCTAATATAAACCTACATTTTGATTAATATGGATTGAAAAACTTACTACATTAGAACAACACCACAAAGAGATAAGATCATGAATAAACCTACGGAACGAAAGCATCTATATTTGTAAATTGATCTGGCATGTATGTGTGCATATGTATGTATACCTGCATAAGGATCATAGTTGAAGCTGTGTAGCCAGTTATTAGACTCCAACCGTGGTGGTGGCATGAAAGCAACTCTCTCGTTTTGTACGTTGCTCGTCTTTGACCATTCCATTTTCTTTCCTTTATTAAGAAGACATGAAAGATGATTCTCAAAGGAAGAAAACTTAATTAGGGTTTCCTACAATGAAGAAACTAAACATAGAAAAGTTAGGGTTTTGTTGGACCATACGAGCGGTAAAGGCGTTTCTTCTACCCACTTTGTCTTTTGGAGGTGTGCAACAATTAAATTGTGAGAGCAAGCAGTAGACAGGAGATTACATATATAAGGAGATATATAAAGACAGAGATCGATGCTGATGTGATGTTTTGTCTCACTTGGACGTCATCATTCATCATCTCCGATCCACAGCATTTACGTAAATTGATATATCTGTTGAATCTAACGGTCAAACTTAGATTTTTATTTTTCTGTTTTTTAATAGTCGTCTCTAACAAATGGTTTAAACGCAAATTAGGGTGTGATTGCGGAGGAGGTTAGTAGAATTTGCAATTGTTAGTGTTATGAAACGATTTATTCGATTGGTATATGATTCAAACAGAGACGTTCGCGAACTAATAATCATGACTGGTTAATTAACATATATGTTAAGTTAAGGGTGTAAAACGCTAATACTATGATGAGTACGTATGAGTTAAATTCTTTGCTCGTGAATTTGTATAAAACCTCTAATATCTGTATATATATATATATATATATGAATATATATTATATAGTACTTTTAAACACATATATAATTAGTAATATTTATTTAAAATAATTATATAGAAAACATAAAATGTGTAATGTCAAAATGTTGTCTATTACAAGTTTGAGCCAACGAAGACTCTTTCGTATTATTTGGAAGCCATGTAAAACTTTTAAATCAGATCGAATTGTTACGAGACTTGGGATTCCAATTTCCAAAACGTTTAAAATAATGGATTGGCAAATTCTGTACAACACACCAATTCTATACTTAAAGAAACGGTCAAAGGATAGAATCATCAAATGGTTAAAGCATAAACTCTCTGTGGGCTTTAACATTTCAATCACATTACTTGACTGATTTGTATATGGAATGTAGTTGAAAAGAAAATTGACGGAACATTGATAAAATTTGAGAGGAAGATTTGTAACATTTATGTAGTTGATAGAGGTTGAGGTATCGACAGTCAAAGTCAAGCTTAAAATAAGAGAAATGGTCCCCTAAGAAAACTCCATCAAAAGTTCAAAACTGACGACATGGTTCCCCCTGTGATATAAACTATATTTGCCATCATTTTTTGCCCCTAAGATTTTTTGTTCTTGTTTTGTCTTATATATATATATATATTATATACAAGCACCATCTAAAATTCACAAAATTTTATATGATAATGCAATAAGGTTTGTCATTATTAGTAAGTCCATAACCATATATATATATATATATGTGTGCAGTAAACTGAAAGGCCAAAAAGCTACGGTAAATATGTATATGTACAGTAACATGAAAAAGCAAAAAGCTAACTTTGAAAGCAACCTTTGCATTTAAAGCTAAGAATCAACACAAATAGCCAAGAAGATCGTATATATATAAATTAACTTTAGTCACTGATCGCAAATTATTTAGACCAACAAAAAAACACCCAAAGAAGTTTAGTATCAGAGGACTTCCAAGTATAAAGCATCAGCAAATCGATACATATTAACGACAAGATTAATTGCGCCTTGTCCAGTTGATAATTAAGACAAAACGTTGTTGCGTTAACGAGATCGTCCTAGTGAAATTGTAGTCAAAATTTGAAAATTGGAAAAGTTGTTTCATCAGAGATTATGAGCTAGTTCCATCTTAGCATCCCAAATTTTACAATTGAATTAAAGCTGCGAAAGAATGCGTTTTTGGTTGATTAAGGATGTTCTTTTAATTTGTAACTTTCTGTTGCGTTTTGAAGATTAGGCTACATAAATACATGATAGATCAAACGATGAATTTTCGTCTCAGAATAATGACTTGTATAACAGAAGCTCTCTGTCTCTATTGGGAGAACCGGAGATAATTGTATAAAATACATTCTTTTATATAAGATGATATTAATCTAAGTTTCCTAATTTAAGATAAATATAAATATAAATAATACTTTAAAGATAAATGTAAATATTCCTAAACTAACTTATGATAATTTTCTAGATCCTTCTCGAGATCTTCATGATTTTCATAATCTCGGTCGATCTCCGGTTCTCCCAATACCCCCCGGCAAGCTCATACGTGGTTACACGTTTGAGATTGGACAAGTCTTCAGAATAACGGCTTTTATACCAGGCCGTCGTGTCATCATCGACGTTTATACCCGATTGAAAGGTTCAAAACGGCTACAATACCTAGCCGTTAGGTCATCGACGTTTATATCCGATCGTAGGGTTCAAAACGGCTACAAAACCCAGCCGTTAGGTCATCGACGTTTATACCCGATCGTAGGGTTCAAAGCGGCTACAAAACCCAGCCGTTAGGTCATCGACGTTTATACCCGATCGTAGGGTTCAAGTAATAAAAATAACACCCGCGATTGCGAGGTTCGGATGTTGCTCGCGATGGCGAGACTAAAAAAAACAACTCACGAGGGCGAGTAGTTTAATCAAAAGGAGAAAGTTAAACTCGCGAGGGCGAGAAAACATCATTGTTCCCGAAACTGGTTTTTTTTTTTCTTTCTTTGCGGAAGCTAACGTAACGGATCCAAAATCCACAAAAAGGATCTTGGCTCTGATACCATGATAAATTGATGAGAGTAAGAACACAAAAGTGTTTAGGAAGAATTATAATAGACTCTCATGAGAATAATTGTATAAAATACATTCTCTTATATAGAGATGAGATTAATCTAAGTTTTCTAATTTAAAATAAATATAAATGTAAATAATACTTTAAAGATAAATGTAAATATTTCTAAACTAACTTATAATAATTTTCTAGATCCTTCTCGATCTTCATGATTTCCATAATCTTGGGCGATCATCTCGATCATCGATTTCGGTCGATCTCCGGTTCTCCCAATAGTCTCGTTTCATTTTTTCCACTTATTGATGAACAAGATCGTTTCAAGTGGTCATCTTCTATACTTATCAAAGCTTGCGATATCGTTTTAATTAGAAGACAAGACAACAACTCAAATCGATTAATTAACTTCTAAACTGATATATATATATATATGGCATTTCAAATGATATATATATACCTAGAAATTTGGATATAAACAGAAATTAGCACTAACGCCGTTTATGAATCCATATCGTTCTTTAACTATCAATTGCTCACCGATCCATCTAACTTTTGTGTACTATATGTTTCCACGTACGATAACAAATCATATAATCTCTATTCCACATATATACATTTCATTTTGAATAGACTATTTGTTCCTTGACTTTTTGATAATAATCTTTCATATAGTAAGAAGTTATGTTTAGAACCAGAAGGTAATTATTGGCTGGTATCATGATTAAAACGACAAATTAACATTTTGATATATATGATATGGTCGTACAAAATGAAAATCCTCATAAGACCTTTTAACAGAGTCCGATGCATGCATTAGACAAAAAGGAAGACAGAACGAAAAACTCAGATATTCAGGATCAGAAGAATCCATTATTATTGTTTTTTTGGAAATATTTAGATATGATATCATTTATTTAGAAGAAATTCATTTTTGATCTCTTTTTATTGTTATCAAAATAATAGAAAAATAATAGAAAAAATTAGTTACCAGAGAAAACTACAAAATTATTTTTGAAATAAGGCAGTCAAATTATACTGGTTTATAAAATAAAATAAAAATTACTGGTTTCAAAATTTTGTTTTTGTTTACACCGATTATCTTTTCGCAGTTTATTTGTTTTCGATTGTGTAGTGAAAGTAGTTGAAAGTCTGTGGATGTCTTTGGTGAAGTATAATAATTTAACATTTTCGTGGATGTCTTCCGAGTAATTACAACAACTATAATTTCATTGGATTTCATTTAATATGCCAATGGCAATAGGTGATAAATTAAATTAATATATATATATATATATATATATATATATATATATATATATCACGTTTGTCTTTTTTAAATCAGAAAACCAGTTTTTTATTCACACTTAGGCCCTCAATGTTTGGTAGTTTTTAATTGGTTTTTAGATTCTAGTTTTTGGATTTTGGTTTTTGATTTTTGTAGTTTTTGATTTTTGGTGTAGATTTTAGTTTTTGGAAAAATTTTGAATGGTAATTTGTTTAGGTTTTAGTTTTTCTACATAGAATAAAGTTTTAGTTTTAAATGAATTGGTAAATGGTAAAAATAGCATATCTAAAATAAAATTAAAAAATTAAAAAAAAATTGACGTAAATTATTTGGAAAAACCCACAAAACTTGGTTTTTGGATTTTGTGAAGAAAAGCCACAATCTCCTAAAATCTGGTTTCCCTAATTTTTAAGAAATCTACTTTTCGTAAAATCATAAATGTGTAATTATTGGATTTTAGCACAATCATAAGCAAAAATACTGCAGTCATTTAAAGGCCTTTATCTTATTTTAACAACAACAACCCAAATAGAAGCCCAAAATTTAGGCCATTAAAGAGTTAAACAAGCAAGCTACTACATTTAGGCAGACTAGAACCAAGCCCACACATTTCACATTGCCCTTAGTTAATTAAGGCGTGTACAATGCATTCGTTCGATTTTTTTTATCAAAAGACAGTAACTGGAACACGTTTGATTGGACGTTCATTTATGTTAAAATCATACAAGCTCCTCGTAGTCCAACGTTACATAAAACTAAAAGATTGTATCTCTCGAAGATCAGCAGTAACGAACTACGACGGAAAAGGCTATGGTGGCCAGCAAGAAGAACCAACCATCATCCGATATCATATCCACCAGTACCGTAAATTTGATTTCCTCCGGCGATTTGGTTGCTGTTCATCATCAAACTCCGATCTCTTAGTATTATAGCTCTCAGCTTGTTCACCTGCATCACAAATCAGTTTTGTGGTGAGGAGGGGTCTCTTTGACATAATCAAAAACTAATTAAGGGGATAAAAAAAAGAAGAGATAATAATAGTAAAGAAGACCTCGTCGTGTAGCATCTGCTTCTCTCTCCAAATGGCATCGTACTCTTGCCTAAGTGAGTCGTATGACTCTTCGAGATGCTTCACCTTCCACCGTGCACGGCGGTTCTGGAACCAAACCGCGACCTGCCGTGGCTCCAGACCTAGCTCCTTCGCTAGCTTCAGCTTCCTCTCGGAATCTAATTTGAAATCCTCTTGAAAACGTAGTTCAAGCGAAGCTAATTGTTCACTCGTTAGCCTCTTATTCTTCTTTATCATTTCATTGTTGTTACTCGGACATTGGTACGCATTGATGATCTTTTCTGATTCCGGTACAGGGATAACCGGTCCAGTTTGCGTATTGGCAGACTTATACGAATTTCCTGCTATTTAAAACAATAAAATATCTTAACAACAACCAAAACAATAAAAAATCAAAAACTTGAGTTCTAAACGACAAAACGTACAACACTGATACTAAAAGACGAAAAAGAATTGCTGAATTAGCTGAACTATCAGTTCAATTGGCTGAAAAAATAAATAGTTGCTGCAGATCTGAACTGGAAAAAGCATCAGTTTAATAACCATCACAACAGCAGATTCCTTGACTTAAGAGTCAAGATAATCAAGTCCCTTAACCTCTCATCAGAAAGGTAATGGTCAATTGGTCATTATTTAACATTTCCCAAGGTTTTTGAAATGCCACAAAGGAATGTTTCAGATAAATCCTATAAGAGAACATTAGAGTTTTTTCAGCCTAAATTTGTGATTCTTTGCATCATTACAAGAAAACACTTGAAAGTGGGAAAATAAGTTTCCTTTTTTCTTGTAAGTTCATGGATTTATTGTGACGAGAAACAAAGTTCATTGATTTGTCTAATGTGAATTAAATCAGTACTTACACATCTTTGTGTGCTTATAAGACTTGGATTTGTTGTGACGAAAACAAAGTTCATTGTTTTGTCAAACGTGAAATTATACCGGCACTTACACATCTACATATGTTATTGTGTTTAATTATACAATATAATAGTATAAACCTACATTTAATAATTGATGAATATCTATGGATTAAAAAACATACACTTGTAAATTTGTTTGGTATATATAATAATATATGTGTGCGTATATATATATATACCTGTGTAAGAATCATAGTTGAAGCTGCGGAGCGAGTTAAAGGAGTTAGACTCCAGCCACGGTGGTGGCATGAAAGCAACTCTCTCGTTTTGTACGTTGCTCGTTGTTGACCATTCCATGTCCTTTATTTCCTTTCATAACAAGATATGAAAGTCGATTAAAAAGGACGAAAACTTAGGGTTTATTAAAACGAAAAAAAATAAAAAATAAATAGAAATTAGGGTTTTGTTGGACCATACGAGCGGTGGAGGCGTTTCTTCTATCCACTTTGTCTTTTGGAGGTGCAACAAACTAGTGTGAGAGCAAGCAGTAAACAGGAGATATAAAGATAAGATCGTGGAGATAGAGATACTGAAGAGAAAGAGAGAGATATGAAATGTGATATTTTGTCTCACTTGCTCGTCATCATTCATCATCTTACGTGGATGTCATCATTCATTTACGTAAGTTTGATATATTAATTTTGTTGAATCTAACGGTCATACTTAGATTTTTTGTTGTTGTTGTCGTCGTCGTAACGGTGAAAAAATGGTCAAAACGCAAGTTAATTAGGGTATGATTGTGGTTGCTAGAATTTGCATATATAAGCGTTAATGAAAAGTTTATACGATTTTTATATTATTGAAGTGGATATATAAGTTTGCAAGAAAACCATGAGTGGTTTAACTTATATTAAGTCAAATTAAATGTGTAAAACGCAAACACAAACGACTATGATCTAACTATTATTAAACTTAAAAAAAAAAAACTTTTAGAAACATTGGACTGGCAAACTCTGTACAACATACAACGCACCAATTATATACTTTTAAAATGGTCATTAGAACCATCAAAAGGTAAAGCATAATGTAGATATACGGATTAATTGTATTAAAAAGCTCGATCTTCTAAACTTGAATCATTTACCATTTACATAAATCTACTTGTGGGCTTTAACATTTTAATCACCACTTAATATATACCGATTACTAAAGACATGGAAATATAAATGTAGTTGAAAAGAAAATTGACCGATCACTGAAAAAATTTTGGATGAAGATTTGTAGTTTCATGTAATTAATATAGGTGGGGGTATCAATAGTCAAAGTCAAGCTTAAAATAAGTGAACTGGTCCCAAAACTGACAACATGGTTCCCCCATCTATTGGGTATTATAGAAATATGCTTCCATTTCTTTTGCCCTAAAATTTTCTTGTTCTTGTTTTGTCTTATATATATTCAGCATCTAAAAATTCCTAAAATTTATATAGTAATGCAATAAGGTTTGTCACTATTGGTAAGTCCACAAACCACATGTATGTGCAGTAATCTGAAAGGCCAAAAGGTACGATAAAAGATGTATATGTGCAGTAACATGAAAAAGCAAAAAGCTTACTTTGAAAGCAACCTGTGCAAGCTAAGAATCCACACAAATAGCCAAGTAGATCATTTATATAAAGAGTGTAACCAATAAAAAGAAGTATTTGTAAATTAATATTTAGTAATGGAATCAAATTAGACCCCAAAAAAAATAGAATAATTTTGAAAACTAAGTATATATCAAAGGACTTCCAAATATAAGTACCAACAAATCGATAAATCAAAAGAAAGATTAACTGCGCTTTCTCGAGCTGATAAGAAAACGAGCCTCCTATTGAATTTGTAAAAGCCTTACGAAATAACAATATAATATATGAGGGACTTGTCTAAAATGTGTGTGATCTTGAATTTTGTTAGGAGATTTTTGGTTCATCGATCGGAGATTGTGAGCTGGGCACACTTTATGGTTCCATTTCAGATATTCATCCCAAAATTTACAATTTATTAAGGCTCATAGTCATAGCTGTGTAAGAGGAAGTTTTGGTTGATAAATTTAGGAGAGTAAAGGAATCTTTCTATATGTTAAAATTGTATAAAAATGTATAGCTTTTGAAAGAGATGAGACATCACAATCTTGATAGCGCTTTTTTTGTATCTGTGTTTGATAAATATTAGTGGCTTTGATGACTTAATAGTGCATACGATAATTTTGATAACAACTTTATATAGGATTAATATATATTTGGCAACCTTCAATAAATTAAAGTCTTTGCTATGGACCAAAAAAAAAAAAACGAAATCCCTATTCCACATCAAATTTTGATTTGAATAGATTATTTGTTCTTTAGGGCTCTTAATTTTCTGATTTTTATGTTTTCATGAAGAAAGGTATTAATCAAATTATATGTTAAAACCATAAGGTACTTGGATGGACGTATTTCACAGAATGAGCCTACATATGAAACGACAAAAAAAAATAAAAATATGATAGGGTCAAAGAAAGTAATTGCAACCTCATAAACTTCTAACAGAGTCTGATGCATCCGACAAAAAGAAAGGCATAAGTAAAAAGTCAGAAATTTTAGATGAAGAGAATCAATCCGATCAGGACAATCCATCCGTTGTTATTGTTTTTTTTGGAACTTTTCAGAAATAGTTTCATTACTTTAGAAGAAATTCGGATACCCTAGAGTCTAGAGATTGTGAATACAAGTACGGCTACGAGCCTATGTCTACTGGAAATTTAGTTGGTTTGTAAAATTGGTTCAGAATTTGATTTGCTCATATTTTTTTGAGTGGCCCATTACAAGTTAGACATCTTACAAAAGTTTGGGCTCAGGTTCACTGACTAGGCCCAAACTAGCAACGATGGGTCCAAATAAAAACTATAGAGTGGCAGCCTCGTAATACTTCTGATCACTTAAGGGCTTTTGCGTCTGATGATTTATCAATCAGAGACGATTATTGAAATACGTACGTTTGATCGTACTACGGTACTACCGCTCTAAGGCCAAATTGTTTTTTGATGTCTAACTCGAATTGTAAAATTCTTTATAACAACTAATTAATAAAGCCTTCTTCAAAGCTTACCTGGACACAGTCATGTACATATAAAGATTAGCTATTTACCATTAGATGACACAAATCTATAAAAGTAGTATGGTTCGATTTTCATTTAGCTGGTGTCTAAATTATTGATGAACACTTGCATGTTGTCCTTTGACTTTGCAATCTTTCATATATTCATTCCATAATATCACTATTTGATGTGCAGTGAAATTAATTAGGAATGTGTTGCAGCCAAGCAACACAGAACACACAAAGCCTAGGGAACTTTTTGTGTCAAGAGGTCTCCAGTTCGGTGAAGCCGTGAAGGGAAGCGGAAAAATGCTAAGCATCAGTGTCTACTTTTGTAAAAATCTCTTTTACCCTCTTCCTTTTTGTTCAGTTTACAGCTAGTTTTGTTTCGGACATTCGCCGGTTGTGAGTGTTCATAGTATAGTTTTTCAACAAACTAACAGACTCAACAAATTTCAGATTCAATCTCGCATCCAAGAACGTACCATTTTATGTCTTAAGATCGTACAATGAGAGAAAGCTGTCTTAGTCTAACACTACTTAAAGTCCTAGTCTAAAGCTCTATTTGACACACACACTCTCTCTCTCTCTCTCTTTCTCCTTCTCTTTCCCTCTCTCTGGGATCAGCAACATCTATCACGGGTAAGACAGCCAGCCAGAAGAAGCAACCAGCATCGGATTGTTGTATTGACCGTAAACTTGATTTCCTCCGGTGATTTGATTTGTGTTCAGATTCTCTGTTCTTGGATGAGCTACTACCACCGATGAAACCTCCGTGGTGTCTTCCTCACCGGAAACTTTGATGGTCCCGGCCGAGATTTGCTTCTTGATCAATCCCTGGTCTCTTAGTATAGCTCTCAGCTTCTTCACCTGCACCAACAATCCAATTTTGTAAGGGGGCAATCTGATAGAATCAAGACTTAAGGGATAAAACAAGAAAGGATATATATATAATAAGATCACACAGACCTCTTCGTGTAACATTTGTTTCTCCCTGAAAACGACGTCGTACTCTTGTCTAAGCGAGTCGTACAACTGCTCGAGCTGCTTCGCCTTCCACCGTGCACGGCGGTTTTGGAACCAAACCGCTATCTGACGTGGCTGCAGACCGAGCTCTTGCGACAGCTTCACCTTCCTGTCTGAATCTAATTTGATATCTTCTTGAAAACTCCGTTCAAGTGAAGCTAATTGTCCACTCGTTAGTCTCTTCTTCTTTATCATCTCGTTGTTGTTGTTGTTCGGAAATCGGTACGCATTCATGATCTTTTCTGATTCCGGTACAGAGATAACCGGTCCGGTTTGCGTATCGCCAGGCGTGTATGAATTTCCTGCTGTAAAACATTAAGGAAATATTTTTTAAAAAAATAGATGCACACAACAATAATAATTATACAAAAAAAAAAATCCTTCGGTAAGTAAACCATTTTCTTAGAGTGAACTATACCATAAACGAATCTCAACTTTTCAAAAGTGACGTTTTAACTTTTTGCATTTGGATGGATCCCAAGATATTTTTTTGTAGGATCCCAAGAAAAGTAAGAAACTTAATTTATAGATATTCTAGATTGAAGATGAAAAAAATCTTAGCTTCTCATCAGAAAAGTAACGTTTTAGGAATGCAATATTTGTAATTCTTTTCATCATTCACGGAAAAAACACTACTTGAGATTTTTTGCAAGTGGGATTACTAGGTTTTTAAAGTTCATGGATTCGTCAAATATGGAATTAAACCGGCACTTAACACATGTAACTGTAAAAAAAAAAAAAAAGCGTCTACATATGTAGATTTGGTACGATGATGTGTGAATATACCTGCGTAAGGATCAAAGTTGAAGCTGTGGAGCGAGTTAAAGGAACTAGACTCCGGCCATGGCGGTGGCATGAAAGCAACTCTCACGTTTTCTACGTTGCTATTCGTTGACCACTCCATCTCCTTTCTTTCTTTTGTTGTTCTTATGAATATCTTAATACATATAAGAAGACATGAGAGATGGTCTAAAAGGAAGAAAGATATAGGATCTAATATAATGGATAAAAGAAAGAAAAGAAAATTAGGGTTTTATTGGACCACAAGGGAAGGGGTAAGAGAGGCGTGACAAGAAGTTTCTTCTTCTATATGCTTTGTCTTTTGGAGGTGCAACAAAGTGTGAGAGCACGCAGTGTTCGAAACAATACATATATAAATAGGGATATGTATCTAGAGGGAGATATATAGAGGTAGTGATAGAGACAGAGTGAAATTG